ATGCATGATAGTCAGTCGTTGATAGATATTTCCAATTAGTTTAGAACGATCTACACAACTTAACGGATCTTAAGACACCTAATACGTTCTCATATTGAATGATGCTTTACTAGTATTAACAGTGACTGGGTAGTTTCAAAGCGGAATAGTGGAAATTCGTGCATTGAATACTCGGTTATATTGATAATATTATAGTAATGTTCTCATACACGAAGTCAATTTTCACCAATTGATTCAACAATAACGTGCTTACTAATGTTGAACTGAAAGTTCCCAGTATGAGCTAATGAAACCTGAATCAGTATAAAGCAGCTAACACGTGTAGATAGAAGTTACAGTGGGTTCGTCACTGAACTTCAAAGAATTCTAGTCAGCATATCTACCTCGAAATACAACTGTGAACTAAAGCAGTGGTGATAACAAAAATTAAAAATCGAAGGAACAATTTAAACAATCGTATACTGATTGGTAAAAAAACACCACAATATAGATAATTACTGTACTTACATGATGAAGAAAATGAATAGAGAGAAAAGTTACTAAATATATTAGTATGTATAGGTCAAACATTACAACAACCATAAATAGCAAGCACATTATTAGCCTAACACATAAAGTTTATGGTTAAAACATCTTACAGATTGATGAATAAACAGTCATAGACTAATTATTAGGAATACTGATTAACTCTACAGGTGATACCCACAGGCAATTTTGCTGTTGTTGTGGATGGCGGTGATGGCTGTGGTGCCGAGGAGTTTAAACTAGAACTACTCATATATATTGGTTGTAGTAATTGTTGCATCTCTGATCTAGATGTAGTATTAACTTGTGGTAACGAGGAAGCGGATAATAATGACACCGATGATTCTAATTCTGCATTCCTAATTGATTCACCTATTTGACGATCAATATCATTGGAGCCAATAGCTAAGCGACTATTAGAGCTATCCTCATCACCACTGGGTGGTGTAATTAAACCCGTTGATTCATCTAAATGTTGTCTTTGCAATTCTTGTATACTTTGAATAAGATCGTGTAAATTTTGATCATGTTCACAAAGTCGTTTATCATCATCATCGTCATTATCAACATCGATACACAGATCACCACGACTACCATCACACGATGTTTCCAAACGTAAAAATTCTGCTAACGATGATGAACGACTACTGTGTGTACGTAATGAACTAGACAAATCCATATGACAATCCTGACCTGGAGATTCCATAGAATGTGCTTCATATGAACGTCGAATACGATCCGGTTCAGAATGAATCGATGATATACTATGTACAGATAGAGCTGGATTTTTGAATGATTTTTGTGGACCACTAAATGATTCATGTGATGTACGATTTGAATGGGAAAATGGATGCAATGGACGACGTGATACATTAGTGACAGCACCACCACCAGGGCGAATTTCAATCGAATCCGAAGGACTTAAATCACTACTTTGCCAACTTTTCGATGGATTTATACTAGTTACAGATGATCTTGTCGAATATTCAGATGTTTCCGGTATAGGTGTCAATGGTTCTAATATTGAACGACCCTGTAGTAAATCACCTAAAATATTATTATAATAAGTATCATCAAATAGTATTTCGGTCGGATCGACGGGTTCCATTTGTGGTATTGCGATTACTCTATCAGGAAATTCATAAGTGTCATCGTTTAGTTTATCTGAGTGATTATAATAATTGTGATTAGATTTCATGACTTTTTCCATATTATTTTGAATAATATTGTCATCTAATAAATATTAGTTAAAAGTTGAGAATATACACACATAATAAAAGAATAAGTGATCCCATAGTAAATAGATGAATAAATGAGAGATATAGACGCAGAGATACAGTGACGACAGAGTTAAAAAAAAATAATTTGTGTGACAAAAGGTGTTATCATAGCAACAACAAAAGTTATATTATATAGGACAGATGTAAAGACGAATAGGTTACGAATAGCAAATGAACGAAGGCCCGCAGAGATACACATAAATGCATTGAGCACACATACACATTTCATGGAAAGATTATTTGTTAGTTCGAAATCAAAAAAAGATTAGGGGTTATGAATGTCGTAGTTTAGTTATTGTTATTATTGAATATTTCAATAGTATGAATGGACGAAAACGATTTGGTAGAGGTGAAGTGGGCAGCGAATTTGTGGATTGGTGGGAGATTAGATGTATTTGTTTTGAATAGTATAAAAAACCAAATCCAAACATAAAAAATGATGAAAGAAAAGAGAAAGAAAAACAGTTTTAGACAAGAGCAACATAAAAATTGGAAGGTTAAAGTGTCAAAAAAGTTAACTATTACCCCTAATAAAATAAAAAAGGATTATAATACTGAATAATTGATGCGAGTTTAAACTGTGATTCCAGTCGAAAATTTACTATTTGGACGATTGTTTATAAACTGTATTCAGGAAAGTTATCTATGTACGCAATTCAAGAAGAATATGAGATAATGAAGTGCTTGACGATCCTAACAATAACTAGGGATTCTTAAACAATGAACTGGAAGATGGGACAAATGAGAAGTACTTTGGAAGGGATAAATATTGACAGGCCAAAATTGTGCGGGAATACATTTCTTGTGATCTCAGCGTATTTACTAAACAAAGTAGTGCCCCATACAATTATATATGTGACCACAACGCCATGTCACTATAAAAGACTAATATAAGTCAATATAAATTGTTTCCTTACTTTCAAGAATCATTTGCTGAACTATGATGAAAATGACACTTGGCAAGCTAGAACTAGCTTTTATACTAGTCTATGAACTATATCTACTGTGTAAGAACCAATGGTTAAAGCATGACTGCCAAAACTTTGATATGTGCAATGGGGTTCAAAACTACACCTCAAATATTTTAGAAACACATGAAACATTTAAATAGTTGTCGAGTCAATCATTTCGAACATCAGTGCTACAATTATATATATTGAAATGATTCAGTAGATTTCAGATAAATGTATACGAGTAGATAAGAAATATTTTCAAGAGTGATTTCATTTGATTGTATTCAATTATTGGACTTAAAAAAGCACAAATTCAAATGGATATCTGTAGTGTTAGTGTTTTTTTTTATTATAAAAAACTAACATACACATACATACATTTGCCATTGAAATGTCAATATTAATGAAGAACCAAGTTTAGGAATAGAAAAAGAACAAACAAACAAAAAGAACAGATATATCCACTTTCATATATAATTAGAATCTCAATTCTTATGGTCTATTTTAGTAAACATATTTCCAGCTAAGATTGTTGTTAACAGTTATGTATTACACTGGCAAGAATTCAGTCTTCTTTCAGGCTGATATAAATCTACACGAGTTTTCAAAAAAAATTGTCCACAATTTGCATCAAACTTTGCACAGGTGAAAGAGAAATAATAATTCATTATTGTATTAATTAAAGTTTTATCTCATCATACATTTTCTATTAAAATTGAGTGGAATAGGGAAAATTTTGTAGTTAGTTTATCTAATTATCACATCTACATTAATCACTTTTATCTAAGTGATATGAACAAGTGATTCGATGTGAAACGTAATTTAATATAATTTCAATGAACCAAATTGAAGAAACAAAGTCTCATTGATATACAGTTTTTAAATTTAAATAATGTTTTGAATTCTGCATATATATAACATTATTTAAGAATCTTTGCAATTAGTCAAGAGTCAATTGAGAATTTCCTTAAAAAAAACTAGGTAAAATTTAGTTCAGCTATGAATATATGGTATCATCAACTACCGGAGAACGAACCATTGTAAAGTAAAGATAGTTGTTTTATTCTGCAGTGTAAGACTTCTGAGCTATCTATTGACATATATATATACGAGATGTTACACGGTGTCGAACCCACAACTTCACGTCTCACAATAATCAAACGATACTTTTAGACCACAGTAAGTCGGTATATAACAATACAACAATGATAGATTCTATCGAAAACGATAAGCACCTCTGACGTGTCTCAAAATAAGAAGGAACAGACGTTTAATATTTGGCCTGGTTTTCAATGGTATTCCAGTTGGTTCGCCACAAATTAAAAAAAAACCATAGTAGGTTGTCTCATGAGATGAACACTATCGAAAAATTACATAATCACTTACAAGAGAATAGTTATACAAATAATGAACTTCAATTCACGTAATTTAAATGTTAAGATACGGTCTATTGTGTTGTCGAGTTCATATACTATGAATAAAGGCTACTAACACTGACTTATTGTGTAATCATATGATCAGTTTACTTTTATATATAATTGAAGTTGTTCTAGAATAAACCAAATTTCTTAAATGAAAAAGAAACCACAAAAAAAAACAATCATACAAGCTCATGTCACTAGTCAAATATACATTTTTTTCAATCAGCAGTTAGTTATTGAAACATCAGAATTAAACAAACTCTATAGAATACATGATAAAAGAAAGAGAGTGGTAATTCTATCGAGATACACAAAATATGCAATAACATGAATATAACAGGATATAACTTGATCCATTTACTAAGTACAAGTGTTGATGCACTCGGCTTTGGATCGAAATTTAAGTATGATGGTTAATGATACTCTGTCTAGTTTCCCAAAGTGAAGTAGGTTTAGTAAAATTTAAAACTAAGACCCATAATAGATCTTAGGTTCAAATAAAATGTGTGAAATGAAATGAACAAACTATAAATACCTATTTATGTCAGATACCGTTTCAACAAGAAAAAGCCAATGATCTTCACTAATAAAAACCCTAATAACTAAACGTGTTTTATTCACAAAAGCATATATATATGAATGCTCATTAGAATTTTAATTTCCATATCACAGATCAAGATCAGTGAGTGCATCATCATTTCATGCAGTTTAGCGAGCTATCAACTCAGCAACAGTAAAAGAAGCTAAATTTTTAATTAGACTTAGAAAGAATAGAATTAAGTCTTTTAGATGAAAAAAAAACGGAGAGACAAACAAACATAAGCTCAATGGGTGTATTCATACAGTCTACACTAGTTCTTTGCATAACTGTACTTCGATGTCATACACAAACATACAGAAGGTAATTTCTATTTTATTTCACCTTTATCTGATTTTGTGTGTTTTGAAATGATGATTGTTTTTGTTAATTTCTCTTGTGACGATGATGATGATGGTTGCTGCATTGTATCTTCAATCGAAAATGTATTTGCTGGTTTAGGTTTACTTGATGTAGTTTCGGTTTCGTCAGACAACTGATATGTGCACCCTGACTGCCCAGATGGTACAATACCCGGTGCGATAGACAACATTTCTTCATGTTTTTCACTAGTTTGTACTTTGTTATTACTACTATCAGCAGCTTTACCCCATGTAGCTTCAAGTTCACCACATCTTTGATAGTGATATGCACAAATCTTCTCTTCATTTGATTCATCTAATACGGTTTTACAAACTTGTTTTTCATGTGTTTTATCTACATGAAATCCACTAGTTTCGCAAGGTGGAACATCTTGATCTGCACCTTTACCCCATGTAGCTTCAAGTTCACCACATCTTTGATAGTGATGTGCACAAATTTCTTGTTCACATGATTCCAAATGATGATCATCTGGAGCTTGTTCATTATCTGCTTTATCAACGAGTGATTTACTTACTATCGACTGTACATCGTCAGTCGATTTCTCACAGTTAGGATGAGATAATGAATCACTGAATAACTGTTTGTGCTGTTTAATGAAAATGTGTTTTTCTGTAGCCTGCGATAAATCTGACTCCACATCACTGGAGACTGAAAAAAGAAGAAAAAGTCAGGAAATTAACAGTAGAAAGAAATATAAAGAGATATAATGAATTGATCAGTTAAAAAGAATACAGACAGGCCCGTAAATCGATAAGATGGATTGAAGTTTTTAACTTGTGCCAAAAAAGTTAAATAATTAAAATACGTAGAAATGAAATGTTGATAATGAATTTATAATTAATTTCCAATAGATATTAAATCAATAACTGTAGAGTTTTGGAGAAAAAGGAACTCCGAATAGTATTTGATTCATATGTAGTCTAAGGATTAAATTTCTTTCATCAAACTATTGATGATGTGAAATACATGTTGACTTGATGTACATAAGATTGAATCGATGGGCAGAACACTTTAGGGATCAGTTCAACTGGCCTCCAGACACACTTCGATTTCCCACGATCTCCAGTCGACCTGAATGGCAAGTTGATGTATGTCCTCCGATTCTTCGCAAAGTTGGAAAAGCTATAGGAAATCTGAAGCGTGGGATAGCAACAGGCCTTGACAGGTTTATGCCTGAGATTTTTAAGGAAGGTGGTCCAGCATTAGCAGTGAGATTGACTGAGGTCTTAGGTAGTATCTGGAAACTGAACGCAATCCCATCTGACTGGTCTCAATCACTGCTTGTGCCAGTCTATAAGAAAGGACAAAATCCCTCTTGTGAAATCAGTTTGACTAATATAATGTCTAAAATATTAGCTTCAATAATACTTCGACGCCTAACTAAAGCTCGTGAAGAGCAGACTAGAGAAAACCAGGCTGGTTTTCGACCTGGACGTTGCTGTATAGACCAGATATTCACACTACGTCAGGTCCTAGAGCATAGACACATATTCAGACGCCCCACAATAGTAGTATTTCTTGACCTTAGGGCAGCATTCGACTCTGTTGATCGTGAGATTCTATGGCAGTGTTTATCACTGAAAGGAGTACCAAAGAAGTGAATTAACCTTATAGAGGCTCTCTACTCAAACACAACTGGTCGAGTGAGACCTTATGGTGAACTGTCATCAGAATTGATTACCTCAAGTGGTGTTCTTCTGGGATGTCCCCTCTCTCCATTCTTGTTCAACTTTGTAGTTGACGTGCTTTTAGATATAACACTTTCCTCATCTAAATTTCCAGGAGTTGAATTTTTACCGGGAGATTCACTTGTTGACTTGGAATATGCAGATGACATGGTTCTATTTGGTGAAGACGCTGACAAAATGAAGTCTTCCGACCATTCTAAGCAACAATGCAAGCATGTTCGGCATGCGATTCTTCCCCTCGAAATGCAAAATGTTGCTTCAGGATTGGGTTCCATCGACACCTGAACCAATGATAGGGAGTGAAATAGTTGAGTGTGTCGACCGCTTCACTTATCTTGGGAGTCTCATCAGCCCTTATGGTCTGGTGAGTGGTGAAATCTCAGCACGGATACAGAAGGCTCAACTGGATTTTCCCAACTTGCATCGTTTATGGCACAGGCGAGATATCCGTCTATCGAACAAAAACGGGTTTACTGCGCAGCAGTTCGTTCCGTCCTACATTATGGCTGTGAAATATGACCGGTAAGAGTAGAGGATATTCGTAGGTTACTAGTATTCGATCATAGGTGTCTTTGAAGCAATGGTCGTATATCCTGGGACCATCGAGTAAGTAACTCAGTTGTTAGGAAACGGGTACTAGGTAAGGATGGCAAATCAATTGATGAAGTAGTGAAACTTGATCAGTTGAGATGGCTGGGACATGTGTTACGTATGCCCAATCATCGACTTCCCCGAAGAGCGACGTTTTATGGTGTAGAAGTAGGTTGGAAGAAAGCTAGGGGTGGTCAGACCAAAAACATGGCACAAGTTCATGAAGTCACTGACAAGTGGACTGAACCATGTTGGTAGGTGTAGACTACCTGGTTGGGGACCGCGGGATGATAGCGACCGAGGGTTAGAGACCCTGAATGACATGGCTCAAAATCGTTTGCAATGGCGCAGGTGCATCCACTTTTTGTGTTCTCTCAAATTCTAATGTTCTGAATTCTTTATGTCGCTTTTTACCTCTTTCCAAATTTATCTCACTGTATTATAGTCATTGAATAACATCTTTAAACCCTAATCTTTCCGATTACTGCTTATACTCTTACTACCTCTACCACTACGGGATTTGAATCGACAACTGCATCTCTGTGCTAATGTAGTATGGCAACTTGAACTGATGTATGTACAGACGAAGTTCTAGGTTGTTACTGACTGACTAACTGAATCACAACAGTTAGACGTGTCACTTGTTTAGCACAAGAATAAGTTCAAATAAGTAGGCATTGTGATTGGCGCTTTTATCACGTGATAATTAACGGGGGCAAAAGAAATAACACGACGCTTTATTTAAGTTGATATTTTTAGGAGTCCAATTAATTTTATTTATTGATTTCATCTAAGTACTTTGAATGAAAAGAGCAAGAACAAAGATTCTAGCAGAATAACATGAATTCATTTTATTTCGCAGGTTCTCGTCAGCTGCTTACAACCTATAGTATTTAAAAAGATATTAATTACATAATGGGTTTGAATTGCTTACATGAGAGGGTTTGTATTTAAGAAATGTTCGTAAAGTATGACATGGGTGTAAATGAAATTAATAGGCTGAATATTGTAAATATATACCTAATGTGAAAGAATATTCTAGAGCATTAATTGTGACAACAGTTCAAAGGGGTAGAAACAATTGATTACATAATGAATAAACATTGATAGGAACATAGTGAGTAGAGTTCAGTTGAAAGACTATTAATTTTTTTTTAAATAGTTGAAAAAATAAAATCAATGACGTAATAAATATAAAAGATAAAAATAATTAAAAAAATAAATTTTTTAAGCTGCAGCGGAAGAATATTTGTCACCAAGGCAGGGAAAGATTAACAATCATCTCCTTCTGAACACATAAATCAGGTTTTTGGCGCCTGATAGCAACTGCTTCAGCAAACTTCAGAAGACTGGAGTTTGGCTGCTTACTAATAACCTTGAATGATTGTAGGGTGTCAACCTGATGGCCTGTGTCAAGCAGATGTTTAGTGATTGCGCTACTTAGAGTCTTTCTTTCTCTTGTTCTGAGGTTTTTTGGAACATGTTCAAAAAATCTGAGATATGCCCTCCTTTCTGTTCGGCCAATGTAGCTGCTTTGGCAGGTACATGTAAATTTATAAATACAATTGGCGGTAACATGAAAAGGATGCTTATCAACCTTTGATTGAGTTAATGAACATGTTGTTTTATAAAGAATTTGAAGTTTCGCCGCCGGATAGGTTCTGGCTAGCGCAGTATTCAGTCTCCTGTTGATTGTGTTAGCAACATCGTCACCTTTGAAGTTAAGACTTATAGTTATTGGTTTTTTATTGACAGTAATTACTTCAGTATTATTTTCTTTACGCTTTTTATATTTTTCAATAAACTTTTGTGGGTAATAGTTGTCTCGTAGGCATTTTTGTACGTTCATCAATTCTTCTTCCAGCTTATCAGTGGTACAAATCTTTTCTGCCCTATAAAATAGTGTTTTAACTAGTGCCTTCTTGTAGCTGAGTGGACAAAAACTATTGAAATTCAGGTAAAGGCCATTCCAAGTACTTTTTCGATAAAGCGAACGTTGGACTGTCCCGTCTCTCCTACGTTTTATAGCAACATCAAGAAAGTGGAACATGTCATTCTGTTCGTGTTCCATAGTAAATTGAATGTTAGGATGTGCATTATTGAAGAGTTCTAGCAGGCGGATTGCATGCTGTTTATTGTTGCAGACAATGAACGTGCCATCAACATATCTGGAATATTCCGTCGTTTCGCTAATCGCCTGATTAAGCACCATGTTTTCAAGATATCCCATAAAAATATCTGCCAGAATTGGACCTAGTGGGCTTCCCATTGCTACGCCGTCGATTTGACGATATATGGTGTTATTAAACTGGAATTGGACGTCTGTTGTGCACATTAATAGTAGTTTTTTGAATTCTGGGGCTGGTGAAGGTAGGAGATCATAATTCTGACAAATTATGTCAATAGTTTCAAAGAGTGGTATATTGGTGAATAAGTATGTGACATCAAAATAAACCATGAACTTATCGGCAACATTCATACGATTTAGTCTATCAGCAAACTGGAATGAATCTTTTAACGTATATGTTGCTAATCTCCGACGAATCGGCTCTAGTTTTACTGCTAACCACTGTGCAACTTTATGATACGGTGAGTTGATCATTGATAGGATAGGTCTAAGGGGAACGTCATGTTTGTGAACTTTTGGTAAACCATACATATGTGGTAGGCGTGAACCACGTGGTCTTAGATCATTGTAAGTAGAATTATCAATCATTTTCTTTTTTAGGAGTTCTCTAAGCATGCCTGTGACTCGTTTTTCTGTTGAATCAGTCAAATCTTTTTTGGATTTATCTATCTTGAACCTCAGTTGATCGTCGAGGATTGACTTCATCTTAGTGATATAATCAGCTGTATTCATTAGGACGACACCTGAACCTTTATCTTTGAACATGTTCCAAAAAACCTCAGAACAAGAGAAAGAAAGACTCTAAGTAGCGCAATCACTAAACATCTGCTTGACACAGGCCATCAGGTTGACACCCTACAATCATTCAAGGTTATTAGTAAGCAGCCAAACTCCAGTCTTCTGAAGTTTGCTGAAGCAGTTGCTATCAGGCGCCAAAAACCTGATTTATGTGTTCAGAAGGAGATGATTGTTAATCTTTCCCTGCCTTGGTGACAAATATTCTTCCGCTGCAGCTTAAAAAAACTTTATTTTTTTTAATTATTTTTATCTTTTATATTTATTACGTCATTGATTTTATTTTTTCAACTATTTAAAAAAAAATTAATAGTCTTTCAACTGAACTCTACTCACTATGTTCCTATCAATGTTTATTCATTATGTAATCAATTGTTTCTACCCCTTTGAACTGTTGTCACAATTAATGCTCTAGAATATTCTTTCACATTAGGTATATATTTACAATATTCAGCCTATTAATTTCATTTACACCCATGTCATACTTTACGAACATTTCTTAAATATAAACCCTCTCATGTAAGCAATTCAAAACCCATTATGTAATTAATATCTTTTTAAATACTATAGGTTGTAAGCAACTGACGAGAACCTGCGAAATAAAATGAATTCATGTTATTCTGCTAGAATCTTTGTTCTTACTTCAAATGAGTCTATATTGATGATTGAAAGTCACCACAGTACAGCGAAGGGCGGTCGTAACTTAAATCTTCGAAGTCTGAATCCGAGATATGTGATCATTTGAGATTTGGAAAACTATCTCTTAATTTCTGCTTTGCTTTTCAATAGTTTTTCAACTTACTGATGATCTAACAAAATATTCGAATGAAATCTACTAAAATTCATGAAAATGAAAACATTCTATTGGTGTAGGCTCATTGACCTATCAATTAGCATCATCGATGAAAAAATAAAGCAAACAGTCTACAGGGCTGTGGTAAATAAACAAACGCGCAAATTATAATATTTGTCAATAAAAAAAATTAGATAGCGCTACTTAAATACTCCACGCACTCAATCACTCACATGTACGAATGAAATACTAAGTGCTACGTTTTGCATAATTAGAATAAATGAATACACGCACAAAAAACATATTTTGCATAGTAAATAAAATATCACCAAATATACACGCATGCACTGAAAAAAAAGATATATAATTAAGTTACAACAATCTATAACAAAAAATTAATCAAAACAATTAAACTTGCCTAGCAAACGTGTTAGCAACACCACGAACAATGGTCAACAGTCGAAATATATGTAGATATATATGTTATATGTGAATATATAAGTGCTTTGATCAATTGAACTGTATTGAATATGAATCCATAGCAAATAGACACCATCGCCGGACGATGTATTTATGAGTATAAAGGTATATACACATATAAATAGATAGATGGATATATATGCACGTATAGGAGTATATGTGCAAAACTGGAAATATATAAATAATTTAACAGTGTAATATGATTACAAACAAACATGTGGGCAAACACACCCATACAAGAAAATATTCACAAACCAATTGACAACATGTAGATAAGATCCAAATTATTTTCTTACACTCAACTAATTAAACAATTGTTCCGTTGTAATAATACACATATGATGATGAGAAGAGCAATGACGACAATAATAATGGTGATGAAGAAAATTATGAAAATGATGAATAAACCATATATTTATATATAGCTGTGTATGGAGCAAGGTTTAACACAAACCGACTTATACACGTATATAAAAAAATTATCGATTAATTTTTATTCATTGACAACTTTATTAGCCAAAAAATCTAATTTATCTAAACATCTCTAACCGTAAATAAAAATGAGCGAAAAACAAACAAACAAACTAAACAAAATAACTGTTTACAATATTGAAATATTGCTTATAGCAAGAAAGAAAAAAAACTATGCGTGTATATACACATAAATAAATCATTTATTTTAATAATGGCATTATTATATGTAATTCAAATGAAATCTCAAATTAATAATAAAAAAAATAATGTCTTGATTTGTATTTTTTTTATTTATTAACTGAATAGAAAGTAAAGACAAACAATTATATCTAATATATAGAATAAATGAAAACCGGAAAAACCCACTCACCTAATTTATTGATAGTTTTGATTCATATTTATTAGAGAAATAAAGTTGAAGAAAATGTATGATATGTGTATAAAAAGAAGAGTATACACATAGAATAAAGTTATATTGTGGCATTTATATAATAATTAAGAACAGTTTGATATATGAAATGATGTTGTGAAAATGTTTTCTCTTCAAATGTCAATTTCGTTGATAATTCGAGAAGAAAAAAAACTAGATGTTTTTTCCTCTATTCAGTAGACACAAGTAAGAAATATACATTTCTATTGAGAGTGTTTGTAGGATTCATATAATGATGTAAATGTTGTTATGTAACATTACTACAAATATGAAACATATGTGGGTGTGTATGTGCGAAAATTTAAATTTTACATAGTGACATCGAAGAGAGAGTCTCTTAGACATGTTTGGAGTTAGTTATCTATAAGAAGCTGACTTAGACTTAAGTTGGCATTAGTCATACAGTTAAGCGTATCGGAAACTAAGAGGTGTTATCAATGATCTATGTGGGTTATAACTGACCACCTTCTCTACAGAATTGAAATGTACAAAATGACTGATCAATTAGTAGTGACAAGTGTTATATTTGTCTAATCCATTGAGTGCTGATCGAAGAATTAACCTATCGAATGTATAAAAGTAGAGCTGTGGCTTAGTGATGAAGATGTTCTATTTTAGGCTACTCTTAAATCGCAGATTCGAATTTCGGTTTACTCTAGCTCTTAAGCTTAAAGTGTGACTTTAAGCCAATTACACAAATCTGTGTTCGGTAGTGCGCAAACAATAATGAATAATTAAGTGTAAAATGATCATGTACATATCAATAAAAAGGTTTATGATAATATGTTTACAAATTGTTGACTTAATGGCTCAAAGAGCAACAAAACGTCCAAACACTGCTCCACCTACTTGTATTTGAACAGCCATGAAATATCACTAACTCACACACAAATGCACACAAAACATCGTTCAAAGCCTAGTGTACATGAATATCTCCTTAGTGAATGAGTTACAATTATTGACAGAGACATTTGTTTAGTACCACATAAAGTTTTGTAATAGATTATTAACTGTTTTTATCGGACGTAATTGAAATATTATCATTATTTATGGACGCATTATTAGCTGATCAAAATATGAGCTACAAATTATTGTAATTCATTTATTTGACAACTGTAATCTCAATGTATATATAAAAGCTTTATAAGTGTCAAGGTCATTAAGATGTTCAAACTGAAACAGATAGATTAGAGTTTAAAAGCGCGGTCGGATAGTAAGTTAGAAGTCGAAATTTGCAACGATTAAATTAAACTATCGCGTTTCAAATTAACAGTAAAACTCTTAGACTTAATGGGACACAAATAAATAAAAAAGAGAACAAAACGGCAAAAATAGCAATTGATAAGACAACACTCAATCATAAAGATATAAAACAATTATAACTACAGACCTCACATCATTATGAATGATGAACATGATAATCCATCAATGCCGGTGTGCCTATATCTATTCAAAGGGTTACTTACCATCTGGATAAATGTTTGATAAATCACTATCTTTTTCAATTTGTTTATGAATATTATTACTATTATTAGTCGTGTCGTCTGTACGATTTAGTTGAACAGTGCGATTAATTTGAGTAGGGATAACTATTTCTTCATTGACTGGAGCTATAGTGAAAATAAAAAAAAATTAGAAATATAAACTACATTCGGATGAGGAAGAAGAAGCTAAAAGCATTTGACGTGTTAATAAGAAAAGTGAACAAAAGAAATAAACGGAACAATTGCCTCCAGTGAACTCTCTTATCTACGGTTTTCAATCATTTTTCATCTAGAATTAAACTGAGATTTCAATTATTTTCAAATGTATTGCCATTATCATCACAAACTTTTACTGTACAACCTTTTTTGGGCTGCAAACAATCTAACTGTAAGTAATTATGTTGTGTAACTTCGGCTGAAATTGAGTAACAGTATCAAAGTGTTCTATCGTAGCTTGGGAGAAGTATTCAAATCATTGGACTGACACTCAATAATCTACATTTTTCATCTCTAATCTAAAACCAGAAAGGAAATTTTATCCACTGCTGCCTGATTTTCAACTGTTCTTGAACTGGATAAAGTCAATGAACAATGATAACTGTCTTCAGACGTTGTAGTCAGAGGTAATCGACAGGTAAACCTGGATTTAGGTTTTGTGTGAGTTGGCAATCATCAAAAAGCTGTATTTGTAACCCTGAGGGAATCAAATTCTTTAAAACCGATATATTTACAACTGATCGATCAATGAGTAGTGGCCAATACAGTCCTTTAGTGTGGATTGGATCCCATCGATCAAATTGCAGTGTCCATCAATCTAAGTAACTTGACATCAAATCCACTATATTTTGATGTTAAGTGATTGAAGGTAGTCGGTACCTTCATGATAGTTGGCATTTGTCGGTAAGGCATACGTAAAATCTTGAGAGTAACGATGATCAATGCTAAACTTGGGAAAAATGTCCACCGTTTCAACTTTGCAAATCATATCATACGTATACCCTATAATAAGTTTGAAGTTCCGGTAGACTATCTCCAATTGCTTAATATAAAATCTAAAGTGTAGAAACTGAAGGACATTAAAATAAGGCAATTACTGATTAATGAAGAATCAGTGCATTCATGTAAAAAGTAGTTATTGTTAAATAGGTGAGAAATTGAAGTAGTGGCTGGTGTAAATAAATTAGTCGAAATCGAAACAATAACTCGTAGTACATGATATATGAATTTGACCTACTTCCTCAGTTGAACTATTGATCGTAACTTTTCATATTTTATTATTCTTATCACTACTGGTGTTGCGAACGAAGCAGTCTAATGGGTACAAACCAATTTATTGTTTTAACGAAAAATCACACAGTAGCTTAGTAAAATATGAAAAAACATACATTAAACACATTATTTGCACATCATTGACTGCTTCCTAGTTGAAATAGTCCCACGAATAATAATAGCCAGTCATGGCGAGGAAATAATTATATTATAACTTACAAATGAAAAAGAGAAACGATGCGCTAAACTCTATCACTAATAAATATAGATAATCTGTAATGAATAACAACAACTCACGTCCAGTAGAAGTGGAATTTATTTTATCATCTTCTATAGTCGATGAATGTTGACTATCAACCAGAATATTTTCAACTCCTTTTAATACATCATATTTGTCTTCGGGAACATCAGTAATAGATTTTCCCACATATGGTAATGACCCTGAATAAATTCGACCAGTGGTCACAGTAACTGGTTGTATAATTTCTTGCTCCACTTCTTGCTCAGATTGTTTAGAATTATCTACATTGCTTGAAGTGGGTAGTGTATGAATTGTTGATGAAATTGTCTTTGTAATCACTGGTGTTGTTGGTATTAGTGTGGTAGATCCGGTTTGTGTGCCATAACCCGTATCAACTGATTCACTTAAACCACCACTGCCATCTTTTGAATGAGATCGATTTTCACGATTAATATTTAAATTGGGCGAAACGGCTATTCAAAATAAAAGCGAAAATAGCAACAAAAAACAAATTGCAATAGCTAAAACTATGTATAGACATTACTAGCTGATACTATATTTCGTTTCATCAATAATACTCAGAATTTCTGAAGAGTACATACCGACGCGCCTTTAAACTGAACACAACATGACCCATTTCACGGTCACCCATAGTGTATCTAATCCCTTAGAATTAGTAATGCTCGTATACAAATTGATCCACTTCAGATTTATATGAGAAAATTCATTAGTATCATTTCACTTTTTATTCAACGTCGTTTGGATTCGATTTTCTCAGTTTCTTTATTTTAAGAAGTTGATACATATTTTTCAGTAAATAGGAACTGTTTCGCAGCGAAATCTATACAAATTATATTAATTATCCGTCTGACATGAGCTGCATATTTTCATATAAAATACAGAAAATTATTGATATCGTCAAATCACTAAGAATGTAACAATGGCAACAGAGCACTTTGCAAATGTTCGTACAAATATTTGACAAAACTTTTAAAATATACTTGGACTTGACTGCTATTAATTATCAAAAGTGACACCCCCCAAACACTTGAAGTAGATAATCTTTGAGATAAGAATAGGTGTAAACTAAGGGTCTATATAGCAATCATCTTTGAGATGGAGGAGAAGATTTGTAGCTCGGGTGAATGACTATGATCTCTGAACTGGATGGTTCGTCGTGGAGCTTTCATCGTTCTTCTGAACGACATCATCAGCACGCACTTCAGACAGAAGTGAGACGTTCGAACTCCTCCACAAAACTCCATCAAAAAGCCAACATCTTTCAATAACTCCGGGTCAACTGTCACGTATGAGACAAAAGCCTTCTTAGATAATCTGATCTAGGACACCGACCTCTAGGTTGAAATCACAGAATTTCGCTTGAATGCTTCGACAATTCGTCTTTAATTTTCACAACAACTGTTTAAACCAGTTAATATTTTAAATAATAAAAAATATACCAAGGGACTGAAATTATTTCTTGCCTCAACTAAAATATGTCAAAGAAAATAACCTCAAAATGCAACAAATTACCATTCAATGAACGTAAAGCAGTAACCCGTTCATCAGCTGTTATTACAGGCGAAATGTTAGTCATACAATATTCCAATATATCTTTACGACCGATAGCTTGTAGTGCTTCGGCAAGTTGCGTACCTAGGAAGAGATAAAATAGTAGAAATTTATTTACAATGATATGTATATAAGTTAGAACCCGAATGGCTTGATACGATTGAGAGTGGGGAGAATCAGCTCTTCCTCTCGAAACGTCTCACATGACTACGTGCATACAAAAACTGCCAGGGAGATACTATTCATCGCCTTCTCGTGGCATTACTGTTGTTTACGAAATTGCGAGGACAAAAGCAAATATCCGGCACCTTAACCAGGTTGGTGGATACAAAGGATCCACCTAGGGGAGTTGGAAACCCTGATTTCAAACCAATGGTGCACATGGGCTTCGGGATCCTGAAGGAACCAATGGCGTATGAACCTACTGTTGGTCACCGGCTACCATGGGAATGCACCTCCTGATGTTTCTCCACTGCCTTGTGAATTAGACTTTTAGGTCAGACGCTCGGGATATGGGCCCATAAGAAAACCACCTGTTTCGATTTGGGAACCCTGGCAGAATCCCAGTCCTCACACAAATCGAATGATTTATGTTGGGCATATCTATTTGGTGCTTCCTTGTTCCAATATTTATATGTCTAAATAATAATAATAATACTTGCTTATAAATTCAACAGGAAACATGAAATTCAACTCAAGCTAGGCATACACTTGTGACACTTGTCAACAATAATCATCAATATTGACTACTCACATCCTCGTATGGAATCTAATGTACACCCTCAAGATCTTACGATCAGTGCAATGCTTCCAGATTATTGTTGACTTTAAATCCAGTGGGACACGCTTTTTACCCGAGTCAAACCACGATGTAACGTGATGCTCTTAATATCTCTTCGGTAATAGCTTATTCACGATCGATCTGGTTAAATACACAAGCCATAACACACATTCCACAAAACCTGTGTGAAATTTGTCTCGAAATTACTCATGATAATTAGTTATTTGGATGATAATAACAGAAAATTTAAATTACTATATCGAATAACCCGTCCATATATCACGGTAACACTTAATGGATAACAGTTTATTCTAACCTTACATACATTCACAAAATAAGCTGAATATTATTTGAAATAAATTACTGAATAGCTGCTACATCATATAACAGTTTTGTTGTGAAAGTAAAAACAATTCTATTTTTATATTGTATGGTATCCAGGGTGTGCATTTCATCCTATTCTGTATTCCTTATAATTGAATGTGCGTTAATCCAATTGATGTTATATATATATTGGATTTGCGATATGGTGGACAATAATTTAAGTCTGATGATAAATTATCTTAATTTCATCAATCGATAAATGGTCTATAAAATACATGTCTTACAATCATTAGTGATGCTTTGATAGTGATCCTTAATCATGTTTATTGTTATGTTAAGTATTTTGTCGATAAGTTGTGTTATACTTCAACCAACCATGGGAACTAGTGACTCGAACTGAATCACATGGAGAGTGGGCTCTTAATTTGCGATTTTCTAGATGAAAGTCAAGTATGTTAGTTATTAAAATACAGTTCTACTTATATTAACGTATATCATTAAAAAAAATACATATTTTGTTTAATTGCTTACCCGAAGTTAATTCATTACCATTACGTTCTTGCCACAACAATAAACTAGTATAGGCATATTCTTCTTCAGGACGATTAGGCAAAGAAGTAATATTATATTGATCTTCATCAGACAAGCCTAAATATTGAGCTAATATTCTCCAATCTGATTTTAAATGATAAGCAACTTGTCGTAAATCAAGCTCAGATTTAGCTAATGGCTCATCGTAATGATCTACTTATTTAAAGCAAGAGATGAGTAAAAGCTGATTTAATGTAAAACAAATACAAATTTGTGTACATAGCTTTGAATTATAATCTTGTAATGTGTAATACTTGGTTGATATCACTCGACTGTTCATCCTGAAATGCGTAGGGCGGAGTCTGAGCATTCAGAAACCAAGTGGCTCTAACACTAGACTGCCGCGCCATAAATCATGATAAATTTACTATAATATACACATTTACATTATTATCAAGAATATCTATAAGCTTACACACTTTGTGTAGTAGAAAATGAGAATGGTCTGTCCTGTAATTGGTAATTATTTTATACCACTCACTCACTCACTCATCTTTCAACTTTTAAATTAAGGTAAATAAAGATCTTAGTGAGTGGTCCGAAACTACTCTTTAATATACTGTTTTTTTTGGCTGTTTGAATCTTCTCATCGATGTTTAGGACTGGGATTGATCAGTCTCATATTGGCATGTATGCATCCTGTGTAGAATGCCTCGATATTGTCTGAATCAAAATTCATTAAGTTTGGGAATATAAGAAAATAATCCAAGCAATGCACAAAGTGAACTATATTCCAAGAACTTTAAAGTTTAGTACATAATATACTGTTAATTCGTTATGTTCATTTTTAATGTAAATCTCAGTGAATATTAACCAATAATGATTATAATAGTCAATTGCGAATACCCTATAGCTTTGAAATGTGACTGTCAGATATATATTTACCATATTTACAATGTTATTTTGTCCAGAAGTACTAATTTCAATTTTATAGACAGTTAAATCACTTATAACAGCTAGAAATAACAATAATTGGTTACAAATATAATAGATCTTAATTTGAATTGCTTAAAATTCTTTATACTTTCTGATATGCTAAAAAACACCAAATACATTTGATCAACCATGATTATGGAAGTCAACATAAATCCCCCTAATTTACGATAATTAAACCGAACACTGTTACAGAAACGCGGATGACTTGGTAAATTAGTTTTCATCCATCAGCATAAATAGAGATTGCCACAAGCTGTTGTATCAAATCAGTACAATGAATTAAATTAACGAGATATATAGCGAATAAGTCAAAATAATTGTAGTAATAATACAATCAATAACGTATTACTCAACACCAATATGTTATTTCTAGGATAATCTTGAAACAATAATAAGATAATACGACCAGGAAATAAAAAAACACTTCACATTAGTACTCACCTTGTTTTGACCATGTTTGCGGCAACGATTTATTGTATGTGGTGTATTGACCACCATTTTGATTATATTCTGGAATATAAGGTGGCATATCATCAATATCAGTTGTTTTTAATACACCATCAGTCATGTAATCAGTAAATTCGTCTGGTAATTTAGCCTCTAGAACTGTTGCCGGTTTTACAGGTGACCTATGTATGAATAAAACAAATTTAAATACAGATGTGTAAAATGATAAATTAACAGAAAAAAAAAATAAAACATTTGTATGAATAAGTATACAAGTGTGGACAAACTATGAACAAATGAACGATGAAATTAATCGACCGTCGAAACAGTTTCAAATTATCATTTATGAATTTATCAGGTAGACTCGTGTACTCGGCTTAAAGCCTCACTATAAGTGTAAGAGTTAGTGATACCATTCAGTCGTCTAAACCAAAGTAGGTGGAGCGGAGCTCAAACTCGTTACTTGGTGGCTGAGAATCGAACTCCTTGATTACTGATACATCACTTTACAAGTATATGTGTAATACATTAAGTTGACATAGAAATTACCATATTAGTGCTCAGACTAAATTTATTACTCGTTGTAACAAAACGTCATACAGAACTTATGACCTACTATCACATTCTATTCAAATTACACTTAAATTTATGAAAACTGTAACCTAAAACATTTTAATTAGTAGATAATAAAAAGAAAATTGATCAGAAATATACAAGAATGAAGTTAAAAATTACAGTTAACTTGATATATAGAAAAAAATCAAACCAACTTTCTATGGTAAACAATGACATTGATCAAGTATTCATATAATCAAATGCTTAAAAGTTTACAAAATAAAGTCATCGAATCACATACGCACATGCATACAAAGAAAGGGGGAAAATACACGAGTCCCATCGAAACTAGACACAATTAGTTAGTTAGGATAAACACATAAACTAGAAGAAAATATGTTCATAAATGATATTAATTTTGAAGAGAAATGACGATAAAAAGCGATTCTTATGCTCAATCATAGTTACTCGTAGACAACGTAAAGAATGACATAGATATGCGTTGATCCAAGTCTCCATATCACAATAGCACGAGATAGGATTAACAAGATAAAATAGCAAAAGAGGTCAAAATAATAGTAGCAGAAATGATAATGACAAATAATAAACAATGAGAATGTGGTACGACTGGAAAATCCTTTTTTTTTAAAAAAAAATAGTCAAGATGATTCTCTGAAAATTCTCAAGTGAATTATTTTATATCTTGTAATATAAAATAGTCTACCAATCAAAGGAACTGGATAGAACGGAGGTCGAATCAAAACGTGAAGACTGATGAGGTGTTGGCGATCTACCAATTTAAGCCTGAAATTTGGCGTGCAAAAGCGAAACGTTCAACCTATCATCCTTCCTTGGCTCTAATTTCGTTCTGCAGTATGTCTTGGTCATGTTTCTTCATTAATTAATTAATTAATTAATGTCTTATAATTTCAAACCGTAATCGATTATTGTTATCCTTCAACAATTATTCATGACTATGAGCAAAGATGGATGGTGGCTAACAGAGGAATATAGAACTAGTGTTAACTCCTTAGTAGCTGAGTGGGTTATTTATTTATTTAAACACATAAACATTGGTACAAGGAGATACAAAACAATATATGCACGGTATAAATCATTTGGTTTGTGTAAGGGATGGAATACTCAGGGTATCCGAACCGAAAGAGATGATTTTCTTAGGCGGCCACAATTATCTTTCATAATTTAAACCCTTAAATTATTTTCATATTTCTAAAACCCTCTGATTATTACGCAATCTCGTCTGATATATGAAGTCTAGAACTACGTCATGATGCAATCTTTTCTGTCCTTCTATAAACAGATATTTCCCATACAAGTACAAATACGAATGTACAGCTTGAGCAAGTGATTCAGTCGAAAAAAAATTTCTTCGCTGAATTCTTTATTTTTATTAACTTAAAATTAACAAATATTTCTAGGTGTGCTATCATCACTATCCAAAAAACATATCTGGTTATGAAAACTACATTCATAGAAATAATTTGGTAGTGGTAACCTAATATCAATAATACTTATGAAACAGTTCAGAATGGAAGTTAAGGTCTGTTGCTATTTATAATTTCTAAAACCTTATTTCCATCGCCATGACTCATCGTGTGTTATTTGTAGTATCAAAAATAGATAAAAATAAAATAATTTTCACAAGAATCACTGAACAACAAGTTTTGATTAGTTCATCTCTGAGCATAGCTATCATCTTTTATGATATGCCATATTACTGGAAAATATACGAGAATGGATGAATACAACATAGAAATTTCTAAATTTATGGAAGGTCTAAATTTCATTTAAATCTTCCTTACAGTATTCATTACTAACTAATTAATCAACCATGGAGCACATGGTAAATGTGTTTTGCTTACGTCAATGAATCGAAGAGGATAAGTTATATATTAATGCACGAAACGATGATGTCTAATTTGCAAAACAATAAAATGACAAGTTAAAAAAATGGCGATTTCCAGTGAGAAATACTAATTTGTGCAGTAAACGAAAGTAAACAACAATTCATTTACCCAGCAGATTGTAGTACAGCTCGAGGATGACGCATAAACGCTAATTTTCCAACAGCCGGCTGTGATAAATCTTTCACACGTACAATCATATTCAAACGATTCTCACGGAACGCATGCATTCCCAATTGTAATTGTTCTTCAGTTTTAGCAACAGGTACTAAGTTACCAGCTGTTTCAATCCAATGTGGATGATCATCAAGAACCTATTATAAAGAACAATGTCAAAAAAGAAAAGCAGTAATAATAGCCAAACAATTAATCGACTAATAAGAAGTCAAAACATTCAAATACATAACAAAAGTTTATTTAGATATCAAAATTCATTCAGTCATTTACCTCAATACATGGTCCAGTGGCTATTAGTTGAAATCCTTCTTGTAGTTCAAGTGTTTTCTCTGCCGAATCATCAGTAAGGCAAAGACAACGTAATTGAGCTTCTTCAGGATGAAATCTACGAGCATACACTATAAACTGACCAATATAAGGCACTGCCAATGATTCATGATAAACACGACTGGCTAATTCGACAACTTCAGTAATATTAGGACAATCTACGAGCCACAATCTATAGTTTTTTTTTGTTGTTTTTTTAAAAAAAAAGAAACATTTAGTAGATGAGATCACACAATGCTTCCAGTAACACAAGATGAATAAATCATAAAAATCTATCTTTGAAAAAATATGTTAATAATTATAGTTATGAATGACAAAGTAGGCTTGTAAAACTCTAATTAATGTATTTTAGAAATCGATTAGAAATGTAGTGATGATCAATCAATTGTTCCCTGAAAAAAGTTATCAAGACGGTGAATACACATGAGTTGTTAAAAGCCATATATGTCAGTTGACCGAAGCTAGCAACACTACCATGAGTACTCGAACGAGATCAAAAAAGAAAATTTCCAAAATTGTAATCTTGCTAATTCCAAGGTGACTGGCTATACTACTAATGCGGCGTATGCTAGTTATGTCGACAAGCATAAGTAGTATGTAACACCAATCAGAAGTGGGATGCCTGGTAGCAGATGGGTGAGAAGATCAAATTGAAGGGGGCGGGAATGTAAACAGAGAGTAATTGCAATAGCAATGAAGGAACGATGGAGTTTGAGACAAATGATAGGAGAAAGAACTCTGTAATTTTGTACCAAATAATAAATGGGTAGTCCCCACCAAGTCTTTGTTCACTACACTACCACTATTAATAATAATCAAACTTACCTCCATGGTTTAATAATGTGTACACATTGTGAATGTTAGTTGTAATAATCTTGTTCGTAAGGTTGAATATACCGAATGTGATTGGAAACACAAGTGCTCAAACTATCAAGTCACCACATCTCAAAATGGAATGTGGCAGAAAAACCTAGGCAATTAGTTTACAACTTTTACTGGACAGTACAAAATCATGGTAATATGCACTGTTATATTGGATTACGCATATTTGGGAAACCAATGAGGCAAGGTTATATACTGTATAATAGTCAATAATTCATTGAGTAGATGAATTTATGTACATATCCATTAATTTATTAAATTAAGTCAGTTACCTTGCAGATACTGTAGATGTAAATGAAACAGAAAGATCGTGTGCAGATAACGGAGAACTGCCAGTAATATCTTCCCAAACAGCAGGTGATGTCCCACCCGTAATCGAGCACAGTAATCGAAGACTAGGTGAATCGATAGTTGAACGCGATTTAGTGTCAGCAACACCGCTAGAGGATGACATAGCTGTTTTTGGTAATGGTATAGTCAAGGTAATTGGTTTATGAAATTTACGTCTGCGTGGTTCAATTGTTACAATCGGTGATACAGAGACACGTGGACCAAGCATTCTTGTTACAAGTTCATGATCAACTGGATGTACTTGTAAACCAACACGTATACGTTTTTGTAAAGCACCTTGAGGAAAACGAACATGTACGTCTGGTACAACTGTAGATGTTAATGTACCACCTTCTGGACCAATTAAAATCAATTCTTGCTTGATACGTGTAATAAGTGCAAAATATTGTGGTAGATCATATGTTAAAATACGATGTATTGACTTAGAACGTAATTCTTCAAATGATCCAGCGTAATCTAAAATCAAATTTCATTGTATCATAAACAAAATGTGGAGAAAAGTTCGGATAAGTTTTAACCAAGTAAAATATGAAGTATTAGTGTATTAATGGGATCATGATGTCACTTGAAAAAAAGAAAAGTAAAACCGTGATACAAAGTAACATCGACTAAATTACAATGAAACGATAAGATTAGACAAGATAAACAAATGAGTGTAGTGACTAACATATATTACAATACTTGAAGGAAAGTACAACTGAATTGAGCTAACACGTTCGAAGTATAATAACGAATTTTCTGCTGCAACATTAACTCTAATTGATATGTAGTATGAGAGTTTGAAACAGTTAAGGATATCACGTACATAGTCTAAATGTTGAATCAGAAAGGATATTTGAGAAATATTATTCACTTACTGTTATACTGTGTTTTGCTTATGACTTGGTTAAGTACAAGTTCTGATTTCTTAACTGAGATGACTCAATTAATGCACGTAATCTAGTTGGCTTTAAGTTGTGCATAGTAATACATTAATAATAAAAAAGGTTTGTTGTATTTAACTTCCCAATTAACGATTGGGGGGAGACAGAGAAAGCGGTGTTTAAACCAGTAGGATCAAAGATTCATATTTTAGGTCATAAAGGTATAAACGAACCAGTAATTCGTGACCTTCATAATTTTGTGACCCAACTAAGTGGATATATAAAGAGGAATGAAGGTTATAAGACTGAGATCATGTTCCGATTCAGTTAATACTTAGACGTGATTGATACAATAGGCAAGTATAAAATGTGCAAAAAGTCACTTTAGTAGATATAGATTTAATGATTTCAGAATTGATTTGCTGTACCAATTACATGTAACGAATTTTTGAACAAAAAAAACAACCTAACGAAAGAGTTTACCAAAATGTCCATTCAAAGTGTCTTGAACAGCTTGGTCTGTAGCATCCAATGGATGCTCTTTCCATGTTTCACCATTATCTGAACGGAGGATAACAATCTCACGATTTTTCCCATTTAAAAAAGCATAATGTGGTATTTCAAAGAGAATAGGTGAAGCGAATCGTATACCAGCGGGTCCGATTTCAAGTAACCTGCACGAAATAGATTAATAAATGAGGTTACAAAAAATATTTTTTTACACTCTAGTAGTGATGTCTGAAACAATCAGAAGTACGAATGATGTAATGCTAAAATACACAATGCAACAGCTGAGTATATATGATTTCCTAAAATGTTTTCACTGAGTCTAAATCTCGTTTAAGAACAAGCAAGTGGTTATCAGGACTCAGTAGCTAAGTGGATAGTATGATGGCATTTGAAGCAAACGGTACTAAATTAGAGTCTCGGAGTGAACATCAACTTTGAGATGCAAACACATTTGGCTGGCGAGTCCCAAATATGACGAAACCGCATTTTGGATTCCACTGCTAGCAGCTGTCCATCTTTGCTTACATTAATTGTGAATTAAGACAATATCGAGGCAATACGCGCAGTATGCACATATACCTTTCTAAGCAGATTAAGGAGTTGTGGTTGTAGTAATTTTGATAGTTGAATTAATGGGTCGATATAAGCTAAACCATCGTTGGAAACCTGGAAGCAGTGAACGACCGTTTCGTCCTAGTATGGGACACCTCGGCAGTGCACATCCATGACTCTGGACGCGCGAGTCGAATAATTTTTCAAAGTAAAATTATTTTCGCGCTATGATAGGCACACAACTGTAATCCGAAAAGTATGAAACTGACTGGAACTGTTTAGTTGTGCTGTAAAAAGACATCCTAAAAAGTTGAAACTGACTCACAAAACATAACTGTGTTATTGAAGAAGTTAATCGATTTTAAATGAAGTACAAACTGGTGCGAACATATGTTAACGTCCACATATCAGAATAACGAGAGAGGAAATTAACAACATAAGAAAAAGAGGGCGAATTACAAGAAGACAAAATGGAGATCTAAATATCAGAAATATAATTCAAGTATTAAATATCAAAAGGTTAAAGTCAGTAACATCGACATATTTAGACAAAGAATGGGAACATACACAAAGTAACTATGATGTTAAGGATTTAGACAGATCAAACAAACAACATTTCTTACGTCAGCTATCTTCAAATAACTGTAATGAATATTATTTGAAGAAGGATCAGTATTTCAGTGGATTAAACTTGGAACTGAAAATTTTCACAATGTAGTAAAACTTGCCAATCAATAACAATAAACTATTTGAACCAAAAAAACTTAATTGTGAAATTATTCATTCTTATATCCAAGTAATTGATAAGTAACTTGTTTATGTGAACACTGCTTTATTTCTACTAAAGAATAAAACTCACCGACAGGCTAAACCATCACCATCATTCATAATTGGTGGTGAATTCATGCGATCAGGATGAACTAGACGACAAACAATACGAAGTGGACCATTGATAACATTTGGAGGAATAAATATCCTAAGATCAGGATAACGTCTTGCTTGAATTAGACCTCCGCGAGCATCCGCAATGAATGAAACTAAAAATCTATTTGTCGTTTTTAATGTAAACCAGTTAAAAAAAATGTAAATATGAAACAAATAATGATCATGTTGAACATAGTAAACAGATCAGAGATGTCCAATTTAAGAGTTAGAATGAATACTTCACATAAATCTCAAGTAAATCTTAATAAGTATTGTAGTTTAACGGACAGACAAATACAGTTCAACTCATTTATTGGACAGGTTCATTCTCTTTGATAATGATTTAAAATTAACTTGTGATAGAATCAACAAACTTCTCGAACTATACACATTCGAGTATGAAATTGTCAGCTGAATTACATACTGTACAGCTCTCTCCCTCTAATAAGAACTGCGAAGAACATATTTAAACTTTGTAAACATTACACAATAACTGCTTAGAATTTACTTTAATGGATCCAAATGACATCAGATTGGACGATCACAGACTCAATTTAGGCATAGTTAAATGTCTTAGTATAATTCTGGTGAATTCTTTCAAGTTAAACTATAATTCAAAGAAATTTTTGGCAAGAATTCTTTCAGACTACTAGCGAAACAAATGCTGCTGTTCCTAGTGTATATGGTTTACTAGGACTCGGAAGGAATTCATCAGAAAATTCTTCAGAAGCTTGGAAAAGACTGAAGATACTTAGTAAAATTTGCGTTCGGTAGGAACTTCCTCGAGATATCTAAAACCAACGGACTATGTATCATATTCTTATTGGATGATTGCTGATTTAGTTATTGATTTCTCAGAATACCAATGTCACATATCAACCCGTAAATATCTTGGCGTTCTGCATCTAAACTAACCTTGGAAATAAACCTCATATAATTTTCGCCTTATATCCTGTATTCCAAACTAAAATGAAGATTTGTAAAGAAACTAGGAAGCGCTTAAAAAGTCAGTATCGAATGTTCAAGCACGGGATATATTTATGTCATTTGACTGACTCGACAGTTACGCAATATATAAACGACAAAAAAGTAAAGTATATTAAGAAAAACTTTAGACATCTACATTATATATAACCAAAAATTTGAAAATCTACCCTGTATTAATTGGCTTCTTAATAACCGCCATATTGTCTACTTCCAAATCCCAATCACCATCAGGTTGACCACTTTCTCCGAACATTTGAACTTCAGTCTAGAAACGAATTTTGTTTTGTTTCAAGAAGGAAAAAGATACAAATATCACGAAGCTCCTCTTCATTTATTCTATTTTACAGTTTTATTTAACAAATAAAACTATATATGGTGAAAAATTAATTAAATATCAAGATATCCTCAACAGTTAATACTGAAGAATGAATGAAAGTAAACTCTACAAATTCATATACAACTTTAATTTTTCTGTAAACAATCTATATGTTAGACAAACGATAATGATATTATTTTCAAATGAAAAATATACTTTGTTGGATGGATATTAAATTTTATATCTGTGATAAAATTGTTAGTAAGCTGAAGTAAATTTAGAAAAGTAAACTTTATTCAGTCGCAACGTATAATCTGGTACATATAGACATAGGTTCAAGTTGTCATATCTCATTAGATGGGACTGTTAGGGGAAATTCCAGAATAGTAAAGAAAGGAAAATAAGAGTGGTAACAGAAAGATTAGATTTGGAAGATACCATTCAAGAAAATATAAATTAGTGAAATAAAAATATTATAAAGAATTTTTAACTGTTATATATGCATAAATATTTTGTCCTGAATGAATGAATAGATTTGAACAGGAGTATCTGTTTTAATTTAAATCATGAACTGATCAATGTTAGACCACCATTAAAAACCTGGAAGCACTGGACGCTCGTATAGTCCTAGTATGAGACTACTTAGTAGTCTATATCAACGATCCTGCACGCGCTATTCGAACCCAAGGCATTCAAACTCACGCGCGAACGCTTAACCTTTAAACCAATAACTCGGCATCCAACGGTGTTAACGGTTGTCCAGTGCTTCTAGTGTTTAAATTGTGGTTGAATATTGATCGGTTCATGATCTCAAATAAAACTCAACAACCTTCACGAATCTATAACTGAGAAGTGTTAGTATGAAATACTAATCAGAGTACTATGGAATATTTTGATGTACAAATGACAATAATCAACTTTTATTTTAAGCATATGACAGAAAATTGATGAATTTTCATGATATTAATCATAAAACTGAAAATAACTAGTTCTATTATGTTATGTTTATCATCAATAGTCCAATTATTCATGAAATCATTCATAGGATAAAAATTATTACTATTATTCTCTTAATGATGAGATACTATCATTATCAATTAGTATAGTATAGTATATTATGGACGGACACAAACAAATCCTTTACATACAAATTACTGATATTAGCTTTCTTTCTCATTCTCTACAGACAAATATTTATTGTATGAGAACGGAAATAAACTTTATCTAAATGATTATATCGATATATTTTCAGCATTGTTTTCATGTGTAGGAAAAAAAAGCATTGAAACAAAACAACTAAGTAGATAATATTTTAATTATTTAAGAAAACAACACTGATATTATACTACAAAAATAGAGATAGAATTCACAGAAAAGTCCAATTACGCACAAACAATCAGTCAGTTATAATTAGCGTAAAGACTAACAATAATGGGCAATGCTTCAAGTTCTTTTATTACATCAACACAGTAATCCAATTAAAAAACGACGAGTATCAAAGAAGTCAATTGACAGTGAAAAAGATTAAATATTGAACATATGACTCAAGAAATAATGAAAACATTTGTAGAAAAGAATAAGGAAACTCAAGAAAAGGTGAAGATAAATTGAGAATGCCTCTGCAGTCAATTTAGAGCTCTGTCACCGGACATTTTCAACTACGGATCGAAGTTATCGTGTGGATCCTAGTCAGGCCAGCTAACAACTACTAATATGGCTCAATCAGAGAGCTCTTACTGACTGATACTTTGTTTTGGTTTACCCAGGTTTAGCTCTCCTACTCTATGAATAACTGCGCATCGCGGTAAGCAATGGTCGAACATATGTAACGTATATCTCAGACAACTCAGTCAGAGAAAATTTACAACCTCAGCAACTGGTCACTAACCTTCCTTAGAATCTCATTCCAAACACATCATTGTTTACTCAATTGTTCCCTTCAATCGAGTAGTGTTTTAAAGATAACTGTAAGTAAATACATGCACGTCTCATACTTCCACATGCAGGGAGTAATACAGAGTAAACTGTTGAGTATTTTATTCCTTGCTTGATTAATAGACGGACTATTAAATAAAGTGAAAAGACATTAAACAGAAATTAACATTTACATACTTACATTTTGCACAGATTTTGGGGAGATAGTTTCCAAGACAGAACTAGTTTGAGTAGCGATAAATTCATTTGTATTCTCATCACCTGAAAATTGGGGTGGTCCCAGCAGCAAATAGAAGGAAATATTGATACGGTATGAACAATTCAAGTACTGAATTTAATAAGATATACAATACATGTATTAGATAATTAAAAAACAAATCAGTATACGATCATGCTAGCTTAATAGTTATATAAACGGACCAACAAGTACAAAAATTTGTAATTTTAAAATGTATAATTCACTTATCAATAGTTATAAATTGATAAACTAACATGAAATACATAAATATAAGTTATGTTCAACGACAGTTTATATGCATACGTACATATATGCTGAAAATCATAAACAGTAAAAAAAAAAGTCTAACTGATATCATTTTGTAGTTTATAACTATCCAGTAATGAAAACCCACGTGTCTATTAATAACAAAAGAGTTAGAATAATCCAAATCATACGTACACACAGCTTTTACGCCTCATGCATTAGCTGTAGTATGGATGCTATTAAGGATATTATCTGATAGTCTTTATCCACAAAAAGAGTCGAATGAAGCGTTCAAATCTTTGACAAGCTTAGTTGAAAAAACAGCTATTACTTGTTTAGTGGAAACAACGATTATACAATGGTAGAAATAATATATTTGTAATAATCATGTGACATAAAAGAGACACAAAACTACAAATCTAATTGTATTTCAGGTTATTGTAAAGTCTTTTGGAATGGAAAAAAACACAAAAACAACATACATTAATGAATCATCATCAGAGATTACACAGTGTACATGAATACATACATGGAATAAATAGAGGTTACTGGAAGTAAGTAGGTCATTCCACCTGGACTTATCAACAAATCATACAAACCATTTTGTTAGTTTAGTCAATGTTGACGAGAGTCAAAATGTAAGCTTTATTCGTAGTTGAAATCATTGAATAGAAAACCGTTTGAACAGTACAAAATGTTCATTTTTGTATTGTTTTTTTTAAGTCTTACTCATTGATGCTTAGGACTGCAATTGATCAGTCTCTTGCCACCCCATTGTACAAGCTAGTGATTTTCTGGACTCAGTTAAAAGGATAACGTGATGGCATTTGAACCGAACGACACTGGGTTCGAGTCTCGAAGTGAAGTAGGATGCAGGTACATCTAGCTAAAGACGAGTCCCAAATAGGACCGAAAACGCGTCTTGGATTGATTTCACTGCAAGCTACCATCCATTTTGCTTGTAGTACAAAATGTGTTAAATAGTTTAATATGAAAGTTATTTTTAAATTACTTTAAACAATGTAATTAATTCATTTGGTTTTAGATTGCATTTAAACGAGAACAAAATTGTAATTAATATTTCATGGAATCATACTAAAGCACTACATTTTCATAAAACACTAAACAATCATCATACTGTATACAAACATTTTTAGTGATGACACACAGAATAATAAACTTTTAATTGTTTCCTATTTGATGGAAAATTAGAAATTGGATAATGGACAGGTCAAAACTGTAACTAGTAAGAATAATAATGGTGTTTATTGATTACAAACCATTTAAAGCATGACAAAAGAAACCGCCGCTGACTAAGGAGATTAATTTCACTGAAGAATCAAAGTGAAAAACCATGTACACACATATATGCTAGTTGACATACAAACATAAACGCTTCTTTGATGTGTACTCTATCGTGTGAAATGCTGTTTTCTATTCACTCAGTAACAACTACCAATCAATACATAAATAAATAAATGAACAATAAACAAAGAAAAGAGATTTCAAGAGAAACAGATTATTAATATCCTGTTGTTAAACACAACTATAAGAGTCATTAAATCAATTTTTCTGTTTTGGCACACAATCATTAATAATAATAACAATAATAATAATAATAATAATAATAATATTATTATTATTATTATTATTATTATTATTATTAAAAGTACTAGAAATGTCATATGCATATACAAAAATAAATAAACAGAAAAGTTAATTCGATGCAATGTTTATCCGTTCAAAATCACCATAAACTCTTACATGAAATGCACCAACATTGTTATTTGGTACATTAAAATTGTTATAAATATTAAAGAAATTATTATACAAGCACTTAATAGAGAAAAAAAGAAAGAACGAACCGAAACATAAATGGAGATTTAATCAGGAATAAACATGCTAATACATTTTTTATATAATAGTAATAACATCACGAAGCAAGCGCTAACTTAGGATCCTGAAGGGAAACGAAAAAGAGGAAGAACACAGAACACACTGTGCCAAGAATTGGAAGCAGACATCAAAAGGATGAACAGAAAATGGAAAGGATTGTCCAGGACAGAGTTCGATGAAGAATGATGATGGGCGGTCTATGTTTCTCCATGGTGGGGGGTAACAGGAGTGAGTAAGTAATAATAATAAACATTTTCATAATAATAATCAATTCATTAAATGAGTTTAACTATGTTTGTAGATGATGTTTAAATTGCAATCAGTGTAGTGGAATATTAGTTGGACATTTCATCTCATTAGGAACTTGTAAAAATTATATTATATTATTATATTCCCATTGAAACAATACAGTTGACTAGTTTCAAATAGAACAAATCATGAGTGTCAGACTTAACTACTAAGAAAAAATCGAAAACATTTTACTAAAACATGTAACTGTAGACAATATTTAGACACCAACTTGGTCTGCATATACTGTTGATTAAAAACAACATGGAAGTATAACCGAGGTTACGGGCGAATTGGTTAGTTTCTTTTACGTTTCGATGATAGTTAACTAGATATATAAAGAAGGAACTACTAAGATATTTTAATACTATTGGTACAAAGGTGCACAGAATACATATGCGCCCAAAATTCACTTGATTTGTGTGTGGGCAGTGATACTGCCAGGGTGCCCAGACCGAAACAGATGGGGCAACAATTGGAGCCTTCGACCTAAAGGTCTGATCCACGAGGCAGTGTAGCAAAGTCAGGAGATGCAGTCCCATGGTAGCCGGTGACCAATAATTGCTTTATACGTCATTTGTTCCCTCTGCATCCAGGAGCTCATGTGTAACATTGGTTTGGAAACAGGGTTTTAAAACTCCCTTAGGTGGATCTTTCAGATCCCTGGTTAAAGCACCGGACATTTGCTTTTCGTACTCTCAATTATGTAAACAACACCCTCGCCACGAGAAGGCAGTGAGTAGGACTTCCCTGGCAGTGGGTGTATACGCGTGGTCATGTGAGAGTATTTCGGGAGGGAGAGAGGACTCGGCTGTACCAGGGCATTTTTGTAAACATTATCAAGTATAGTAAAATTAAGGTCATACCGTTAGGCACATAAAAACTGTGGTGTTAACTCGAGAATGGTTAAAGCTTCTACAATATAAGGCACGCTTGTATGCATATCTGCCAGATTACTTGACTAAATCTCATAAATGAAGTCAAGCAAATTATCTAAACCTAAAATTCTTGGATGTGTTACATTTTGTATATAAAAAAAAGAATTGATCCACTTTAATTTTTGGCTGAGTCACGATGAGATGTTTTTAAATGCAAAAAAATCAACTAAATCAGATGATAATGAAGAGTTGGTCGCTTGAAACTAAGCTAAAGTAGGCAAGCAGGCTCATCAAATTATTACTCTTAATCAAAAACGTCATATTGAGTCTCAAAAAACATTTGATCAATGTATCAAAGAAAGTTATTGATCGAATACCTTTTTTTCATTTTTTTTCAAGTATAGTCTATAGTCGTGAACTGTTGTACATAATGCTTATCTTTTAGAAGAGGATTTCTAAAAACTGGAAACTAGAGTCACCATTCACTTAAACCCGTTCCTCATTTTAAGTTGCAAATTTCAGCGAAACAAGAATACACCAGGATTAAACGGACAACAGAAAAATCAGTGCAAAAAAACAATCATATTCACCTTTGAAAAATTCACACCACTGTATTAAATCCTATAGTATGTTAACATACATACTGATAATGATCACTAATCGAATCATGTATATGTGCAGAAATACAACAAAATACAATACAAAATCCCCAATAATTATAGATACAGAATAAAACCAAGCATAAAGACGTCCTAATGAAATGGCACCTTGAAATAATATGTAGAGTCATGAAAAAAAACTGTTGCCTATAGTGAGGGAAACAATTTTTTCAATGATTCTACAACTAATCACATTCACAAAAATTTGGACTGAAGTAAATTTCTTGTGTATAAACAGTCTGTTGATGCATGTTTATAGTATGATGAAATTTTTAAGAAACAGAACCATTGCTGAAGAAATTTCACGCATTAGCCTTCAAGAATATTGTTTACAACAAGCACTACATTACAAGATAAAACTATCATTTAATAGTTGAATTCATGAGACTATTGGTGGACGCACACTACTGAGGAGTTCCATACTTGGAAGAAACGGCCATCCAATACTTCCAGGTTTTCAATGGTGTTCTAGCTTAAATCAACTCATGCATCCAACTATTAAAAAACTACAATCTTCACAAACTCCTATTCTGATAATAAAACTATCAATAAAAGTTTCACTTTACATGAAGCGTAAGGCCAATATTTTGTAAAATATATATACAAAAGCTGTTTGTCATTATTTGCACATCACTAACATAATATACGATACTGTAAGTTTGAAAAACTCGACGCTCCTGAAAAGTTTAATAGGCTATTCTTTCGAGAAAATGATTTTATATAATCAAGAAATTACAAAAACTTTGAGAAACACAACTTTTTATAATGAATATAACATGATTGGAATTTTTTGTATGAGTTGTATTAATGCCTGATCAACTGAACTTATGTATGTAAAACTGAGTTGAAACAACTGATTAGATGATTGAAAGATTAATGCCATGCTCAGCAGACAATCAGTCAACAAGTAATTAACAGCACCATTGAACAACACTCACAATAAGGACATGATAAAAAGCTCAGTATATAAATGTACACTTGATAAATCACTAACATTAGAGACAAACACGAGAAATCATGTTTTTCATGCATACATTTAGAATCGTTATAACATTCAAATGGAACAATATGTGGTTAGATACAGCACATACAAAAATACATAAATATCCATGTATATCAAATGAATTTACACCAAGCACTATATATATATATATATATATATATATATATATATATATATATATATATATATTACACGAAAAGAAACACCGAAAATTTTACAATAGGATTAACATTGAAAGCGGTAGATCGCAGTATAGTGCAATAAATCATACCCTTTTGACTAGTTATACGATCCGAAAGTGTACCTTGAGGACCTAGATTTGTGTATACAGTTTCAAGTTAAATAAAAATTAAAAATGTTTATTTCTGAATATGCAATATATAAATAAACTATTGGTGGGAAAAAATCCATTGCTGGTTGAAAGATTTCAAAAATATTCAACTTCAATTTAGAAAGGTATTCTTCAGATGTTCCGATTTTAAGACAAAAACATTACATATATTATAGTACAATGTCATTGATTTTCATTTGGCCTTTCAAAGCTTTAAAAAAAATCTCAAATAGGTTAGTTTATTCTCTTGCAAAATGATAACTCCAATTTATACAATAGAAAATTATCTATTCACAATTCACTAATCCACATTAATTCATGCTATAAAATATTATAATGCCCAAGGATAAGTGAGAAAAACAACTTATTCGTTATATGTTATAGTAAAAATGTTTGATACAGAGTAAACAAGAATAAAATGTAGTCATTGACCAGTAACAAATTTAACTAGAATTATTTTAATTAAGAAAATATGTTCTCAATATTATTTTAGGAAAAGGATGGAAAATCATTTGATCAGTAGAAGATGAGAGGGTTGATAGTAGACTAGAAGATAAGAAAAAACCTGATAAGAAATGGAAGAACTGTTTTTAAAGTTATTTTATTTATTTAAACACATAAACATTGTTACAAGGAGGAATCAAATATATGTGCGTCACACAAATCATTCAATTTATGTAAGGGCCGAAATACTACCCGCGTGCCCAAACCGAAGCAAGTAGGTTTCTTAGGAGGACACTCCTCGAGTCGTTAACCTAGAGGTGTAATCCACATGCGGTAGAGTAACGTTAGGGGATGCAGTCCCACAATAATTTAGTGAATGAAATTCTAAACTGTCATATCATTGAATAAATCATCGTTGTAATTTAAGTTGTGTAAAAGAATAAGACAACAAAATTGTAAATTACATTATCATGATTTACTTAAGTTGGAATGTGGACACTAGTGCAAGTGATATGACATTTCATGAAATGAGTTATAATAATAATCGGCTGAAGGTATTTAGTAAGTGGTTATCGATCTATATTTGGTAGTTAGTTGGCAGTCTTGTAATTTGTGAACAATATTTAATGTTTCAATTTGGTAAACGCATCAAATATAAACTTTATGGAAGGCTAAAAAGTAATAAATATATGGCATTTTACAAAATATAGAAAGAGATGTGTTGCTATAGAATCCAGTAAAAATTCTTAATTTAAAGAATTCAACTCATTTATATCAATATTCATAGTCAGATTTTAAAAAATTGAGCAATGACTACAAACCGTTGAATTAGGAATACATTGAAAATTGACAAAATATTTTAGAATTTTGAGACTTTATGAACTCCAGGAAACTAGCGTAATTTGCTAGACTAAAAATAAAAAAATTAGTAATCTGTTTGTGGTGTTTATCCTTATTCTTATTAAATTTGGTTGAAATATTTTGAAAAATATCAATAATAAAAGAACATGGTGCATTGTTTCGAAAGATATAAGATGACTAGAATTATTTTAAACTGAATACTTATGAGAAAAAACCGTTAATCTATTCAGAATGAGTAAAGAGATATCATAACAACGAGAAAATAGTAGCGAATTCATATATAGTCGTACGAGGTAAGATCGAATAACAAAGCATTTAGTTTCTTCAAAATGAAAAAAAAAAGATTACTAACTTCATATAGACATGAAAAGGAAAACATTTATCCGATGAAATGTCAATTCTACACAGTTGAATTCATCTGTATTTATGCTAATTAAATAAAGTTAATAAATTGAAAATAACTACAGCGATTAGGAAAATCCGATTTATTTTGTTTTATCCAGAATCAATTATTTATGTTGTAAAAGAAGGGAAAAAAGGGGATAAAAATTGATAACTTAAAAATAAACTGGAAAAAATGTCTTAGTATTGAACATTGAAGTAAAGCATTTAAGCGATTAAGTTAACCATTTACTTGTTACATTATTATGGAGCTTTCCTAATAAATTATTCAAATATAATACTGAAATATACGCAAGTAAAATGAGTTTAGTTATGTACTCAAATTGTAATTTAAACAACTATTCACTGTTCAACATAAATATCTGTAACAAAAAAGCTAACAGGTATAATCCATTTATCAAATACAATACACTGTGAATCCCAGTTTTCGAATCACATCAAGTTTATGTGGGCGTTAATAACAGAACTATATTGTCAAAAAAATTGTAATAAGTCAAGCAGAGTTCGAACATTGAAAACTGAATTCTTCAACCCTAAATCATTAATATCATCATGGTATATCAGTAGTATAACGTGTTAATACGTACATATTATTAGAAGCAAAAGATGAACAATAGTTAAATAAACTTAAGTAATAATTAAAACATCGCACAATGTAACCGTTCTTAACTCTTTAAATGTGCTTATTTTTCACAACTATTTATATAAATCTTGCATCACAATAAAATACATTTGATAATTAATTTCGTATTAGAAACATGAAATGTGTAGTTAAAATTGTACAGTCAAACACAACAACTCTGCTTTACGTGACCTATATATACTGATAAACTTGTGACACAATAATATACACACAAGAAAGAAAATATGTGAATGTATCAGTGATCATATGTACCAATTAAGTTGAAGCAAATATTAACACAGTTGTGGGTATTCACAAGGTCATCCATACTTTTTTCTATAATAAATCAATAGATTATGGCGTTCGTTGTATGTAGTCGTGCCAACTTGCTAACATAACTATATATATATATATTACAATGAAGATATACATCATATTAGTCGAATTGAGAATGAAATCGAAACTGGAATAAAAGTGTTTCATCAGTAAAAATACTGCTCTTACAATACTTAGGCACAGCTTTGGATTTTTAAAATTTAAATATACATTAACAGTCAGTCCCAGTAAATTCTTCTGATACAGTTTGAACAGTTGTGTTACATATTTTTAACTAATTATATGTTCATCGTCATACCATCTAGCTAGTTGGCACACAAATGCCTTGTAACGACTGAGGGTGTTGAGAGTCCACTCCCCTACTCGAAATCCTCATATCAAGCCTAATCCTAATTTGTTTTCCCTTCTCATATTTTAACGACTTCTCCCAATTACACCATCTATTATTTCTAACTGTACGTTATTAAAAATAATTGAGGTGGATTACCAATTTTATTCAATATAATCACAACAGTGCTCATGCAATAAAAATGGAATCAAACAGCATAGACAAAACCCAGAGACTTATGATTCGTATGACGAATTACCTGTAATTAATTCATCAGTTGTATATGTAAACGGAGTATGCTGGAGAAAAACTAGCTAATCAACAGATAGCAATCATAATAAATAAAAGAGATTGGAAATACAATTGTTAATAGAAATCATGAACCGATCAATGTTAGATGACCATTGAAAACCTGGAAGCACTGAACGGTACTGGGTTCGAGTCCAATGTGCGGTATTGTGGATAAACACTCATGAGGAGTCCTAAACTAGGATGAAACGCTCATCCAGTGCTTCCAGCTTTTTTATTGTGTTTAACATCGATCTGTTCATGATTTCTGTGGAATTCAACAATCTCTACAAATATTTTAGTTATTAGAAAAAGAACTCATAAATTACGACTTATTGAATTTCGTATGTGGTTTTCGTCGCATAGAGAATCGCTTTCAACAAAAAACCCCCAATTGAACATGTGAAAATTGTTTATCTGAACTAATCTTCTAATACAATAGAAATGTTTGGTATATACTCTAAAGTGACTATACAGTAAACTTAACAATTACCGTACAATACACAATCATATTTATAACAGAACTACGGTGTTTAAAAAACAAATAAACCTTGATTTTTTTATTTAAAAAAATTTAATTTTTATTGGAATGTCGATCACAAAATTCAATTCAAAGAAATGGACTGTTTCTATCACAGCTAACAACAAAAGAGCATGGATGATCAATTTTAAAAGAAAAGAAAATTCTTACTCAAAGTGGAATGCATATACTCCAATTGCCCCCAAATATCATCATTCTCCGTTTCAGCTAATATTGTACTATCAAAAGCTGAATTGAACAGACCAGTATGACCTGGGAACGAAGAAGACAGTAATAGAAAGAGATAAATACTGACATAGACTGCTCATTAATTTTAATAATTACAATATTTCACTGAAAGAAATCATCAGAACAAATAGAGTATATGAATATTTATGTGGTGAAATCACTAAAAGAAAGTGACAATCTGGGTAAAAACAGTGGAGGTGCAAGTAAATTATTCTAACGACGCTACTTAATATCAATACGGAGAAAGGTGGATAATGTTCTATTTTCAAACAAGTGTTATGGAGGGAGCGTTAGATAAACAGAAACAAATTTCAATTAGGTATATACATACCATTAAATGTGTTCAGTTTCATTAATAAGAGCAGCAAAAACGTAAATTGAAATATATTGTGGACTTATTTAAAGCTGTAATGGATAAAACTAGGAAGCAGTTGAATGTCCAGTAGAAACAGTTATTTCGTCTTAATTTTTCAACTATGTAATAATGCACCATCATAGTTTAACACAAGGGTTTCATGCACTATGAATAAAAGGAATAAGCAGCAGCTTGAAAGGTGAGAGGTGAAGTTGATTAGGCCATTCCCCATGATTTGATTGACAATATTTCTTATGACATATGTGACACGAATGTTCCATTTGTTGGAAAAGAATAACCGGAGATAACAGCGTAAATTCCATTCCCCCCCCCTGCATATCTACATGATTTGTATAAGCGCTAGATTAAAAAAGCCTATGGAAACCGTACTAGTTTTTAGAACAGAATATTATTTAAGCAGTAAGGACCATATTGATAAATTGCATAAAAGCTAATATGTTTAATTATTTCCAATTGATGATATAATGTTAAAAATGAATTGACAATCAATAACTAATAAGCTAATGGGTAATATGAAAAAAAGTTAAAAAGTTTTAATAAGGTGGATTCTTTTTATTATTGATTGGACTAATGGTTCCAGTATTCTAAAACGATTTCATAATTTGATCAAACAAAATTTTTAGGCTTAAAAAGGGAAATCAAACAAGTGAGCTCAATTCATTAAATTATGATTACAATAAGTTGAAAAAAGGTCAAGATGTTACCAAGGTAGCGAGGGCTGACAACCGACTGTTTTTAAATAAAAAGATCAGGTTAAAGTCTTCTGATAGATTTGACGTCTGTCAATTTAAATAACACGGAGTCGGATCCGCTTATTATTAACTTCAAACGAGTTATTTAGGTCATTGCCGTACTTCGTGTGTTGGTGATTGAATTCTCTACAATCGACAACAGCCTCATACAAAACTTATCTTAATCACCTTCATTGTTGTTATTGGTGAGTGCATCACATTAGATGATATTCATTGTAATCCCCTTTTTCGTTGTTTTGAAAGATGCTCTTATGATCCCAGATTCATGAGATTCCAATCCTATAAGTGCTTTTCGTGCTTCTTCGGAAAGTGTCAGTGAAACTTCTGTGTGCGAAGCATCATCCTTTTCATGACCAGAGTACAACTGCACCTCTCCCAGAGATGGTTTCTTCTGTTCAGTCTCTGTTAAACTGCTTTCATTTATTCGAAGCATCGATAGCTTTTTTTTCATTAATGCAGCTACTTGAATGGTCCTATCAGTCTCCCTTGATTGTTAGGATATTCTATGTACCTTTGCTGGTTGTTAGAAAAGGCATAGGCCTCATGAATTCCGAAGAATTTCAGTTTTCACCATGAAGAGTCATAACTCTGTAAACAAAGGTCCCTCAACTGTCAGGAAAAAGTTTAAGTGGTCAAAAGTATTTTTTTAGTTAGCATTTTCTTAGCAAGGTTGTTTTCTACGGTATATGGTTTCTGACCCTAAGTCCATCCACGTAAATTTAATTTGATATTTACAATCAAATGCGATTAACTGACGAGTTTCAATATATGTGTGGTTATTTTAATCCAGATCACTTCTAAGTTGGAGGAATGTGAATACCAAGTATAACGACGGATCATAACGTGAATGGAATAAGATAATCAAAGTGGTTTCCTTAAAATAATTAAAGGTAATGCGTAAACTGAAAATGAAGGGATATCAGAAACACTTACGAATGAAATCATAGGGACATGAGTAATAATTAGAGAGAGGGGGATATTTTCGAATAAGAAATATAATAATAATAATAGGTCAAGGCCATGGTAAACATACGAATAAGACGAACTTCTTTTGTACGCACAGTTCTGAGTTGATCGCGTTTTTGCTATTTTAAGGAGTTGGATACAAAGAAGTCTAAAGAGATTTAGACTTCTTGTATAAACAACGTTAGAATTAACCTGTGGATTGGTAGAGAGAGAGGGATCGATAAAATATTCTAGTATGGAATTTCTAACTGCTTTCCTCTCACCGGTGTAGAATTCCCCAGTGATATGTTCTTGTACGCGAGTTGAAAGGAAGCGCTGAATAAAGTCCATGTGCTTTGCTCAAAAGGAGCAAGTGAGCAGGTAAATGAACACAGAGGTAAACAGACGAAGAATTTTATCCTATACAGATACATAAACCAAGTTTCTACTAGTGAGCAGTTAGTTATAGCTTCAGTTAATAACTTAAACATACAATAAAAAATACATATTATAGTTATCGGTAAGATAACACTTCCTTGAAATTCACTTCGTTAAAATATTATTAACAAATAAGGAAAAAAGATATTGAATCACAAATTACTCACTCTTTTGTTCAGTAACATCAGATGAATAATAATTATCATCTTCATTTGACTTTAGTTTCTTATTAGATGATGATAACCGATGTGAAATTGATGGTGAAGGTGCTGAAAATTGTTGAATTGTTTTATTAATATTGAGTATTGATTATCGAAACATTAGTGAAGGAAAAACAGATAGAAACAAAACAAAAATATAATTCCTCAAATCTAAGAAATCCAAACAATGAAATATTATTGTTTAGAATGGTGATGATGAATACTAACTGATCTCAGTCGAGGTATACCTGAAAACTGGAGAGAACTGAATGGCGGTTTAGTCCTAGTATGGCACCCCTCAAAAGTGCGAACCAACAACCGAAGAGATAGAACGCAGGAATATGAAGCTTCACAGGAAATGAATCAGTTTTCAACGGTACGAGTTTAATTTCCGTCAGTTTGCAATGTATTAGACGTCATTTAATGCGACTGGTGAAAACTGTTCCACTTTTGACACGAACACATACTTCATTTCATTTTTGTTCTTTAGCTACGTAGAGGGTAATCAACACTCAACCATATTATATTATCAGACAACTGATTACTTCATCATCAAAAACGATGATACAACGTCTCTGCCATTACATTTTCATAATTGATTTCAGTGTGAATTACATAAACAAGGTATTCCAACTAAATAAGATTAATTTGGACTTACAGAAATAATCCTTAAATGAAGTTGGTGTATCGAACATACATATCAATAGAAACAAAGACTAAACAGTGACTCTTATTCTACTGCATCGAAAAACATTGCCAAATAAAAACCATGATGAAATGATGAATTCTAAGATTCGGTTTTCAACCATTTAGCTATTGCATAAAATCTAAATTCCGACATCTCCAGGTTTATGTAGCTAGTTATTATATAGAACACAAAAATGTGTAATGCAACAAATCAAGTATGTATGAACCTAAGGTTGCCGATGAGTTTCATATAAACGACTATAAACGAATACGCGTTCATGAGGAAATAGTGCTATTCAATACTCTGGTATATTATATATATAGTGCATGGTATATCAGCATTTTATTACATCACCAGACTTATTTACTTTGTGATGAATTCAGTAAATAACTAATTCTTTCCAATTTTACTTAACTTTTGGATTGCAACATACAGTTTTTTGGTGAGTAGCACACATTCGAACTTATCTGGGCTTTTTTTTTCTGGAAAAACATCATTTCAAAATGAAATGACTGAAATCCAACCTACCAAGCCTATGAGAAAATCTATATACATATACACATATAAAAATGTTTAAGTAACAGTGTATTCACAAATTAGAGTATATTGTTAAATGTGAATTGAATATTGAATGTGTGTTGAGACTACACATTTTCATTGTTCAGAAAGGTCAAATTTAACATATACAACAGAGACTATTGCATTCATCATAATCAAATTGCTAATCATATACATGTGTGAATATTCAGTAACTTAATTAATGTGGTCATTTACATTTTGATTTCCTTTGACCTAGTTAACCTGTAGAAACTACGTATGAATCATCAATTATCTCCGTTTCACTTTATCTATTTTCAATGTTTATCTTATTGCATTATGTTTATTTTCACTGCAATTCAATACCTTATGAAAATTCATATTTCATCCCCTGTCTTCTCTATGTGTACAATAGCTCTCTAGACTGTTGTTTGAACGAAATATATTTGACTGGACGATTACAAGTAGTTCATTTAAAGTCTTTGTCTTCTTTAATATTCCTTTTTTTGATGATATTTGCATTCCGCCTTCAAGCTCGTACCATACAAGAATAGAAGTATTCAAGTTTACGGGATGTATTTAAGTCACATGTTCACAATAACGGTACAATTATTTTGAGAAAAATGACGGAGAGGAGTAGTGGAATTCCTATCAGAAAAAAATACTAATGTTCCACATCTTTCTTGGTTCTCAATGATTTCATATTTAAAACTATTCAGTAGTCAAAAATCTATCTTCCATTTGATAAATCTTAACAAAAGCCGCTTAGGATAATTTATCAAAAGTCTACTATTTCACGCTTATCGTCTGTATCTACACAGTTTGTATCATTCGTCTATTTTTCTTCTCGAAAGGACTAGTGTATTTGTGGTCTGGTGAAAAAATAAACAGTACACAAAGAGAATATTTTTGGTAAGTTAAACAATTCCTTTATTTCTTCCAAACAAAACAACGCAATTGCTTCAAATGACGTAGGTCTTACATACTGGCGCCAACCAAGCATAAAAAGTTGTATCTAGTCTTAACAATCATAACAAAAATCCTTCTAGTGACAATGACGTAAAAAGTTTTGTATTCACTGTATAATTTGACTAAACAGTAGGAAATATGTACATATTTAGTTTTGTGAAACACGTATATAATACGCATAAACTAAAAGTACGGTGAAGCTTTTAGACATCATGGCTGTACTATAGAACATGTTCAACAGTCAATTATTTAACCGAACGATGCTATGTCTTGAGTCGGTTGGGATCAACATTCTTTTGATCTATATTTTCTCGAGCCAGTATTGTGTTTTAAAGTAAAAGATGGTTAGCAATATGTAATACACAGTACAGCTATCTCATTTAGGAGTTTAACAAGGTCATCAACAGATTTCCTATATTCATCTAGCACCATATGCCTACTCTCAACATTGCTCACTCGATCATCTCACGATGCATAAGAAAATTATGACTAAATAAATGCACTCTAAGCAAGCTTTTTACTTTTACAGACAATATTTAACACCTGAAGAGTAATAAAGAGTGAACTGCTGTGCCGTGCACTCCCCATGCCGATAACAGACAAATATCTTCTCTACGCCATTTGCAAAAGGCAAATGAGTTAATGAATCAGAGTCATGAATAAATAACTGAGAAATAAAATGATTGAACGGCCGAATTATAGTTCTACTTTCAAGGAAACAAATGACATGGTAATATTAGGATGTAGCGTAATGCTAAAATATAAAGAAATTACCAAATCTCAGCTTAGAAAGTATATTATGAACATTGTTCCAGTAGCGAGTTCCTACAGTGAAATTTAATTATTCAGGACATAGAGAAGTGGTACAAACTACCTATTTATTCAATACTAATAAAATTACCGAAAACAACATGTATCATGAAATGAATTAAAATAATCAAAGTTCATTTCTATACACACTTAGCTATATAAACAATAATTAGAGCATATTCTAAAGACCATAGGAATAAAATATTTTAAACAATCTATACACATCAGTTAAGCCATTTCCTCAGAATACCAAGTTAACAGGACTATCAAGATAATAAAAACATTAACAGTTGTGAACAAATAAAAGATTAAACACACTCGTGATATTGATGATACCTAGAAATCGACCGGAGGAGTCCATTTGTAAAATGTTTCATAATTGTCTCACACAGGACACGGGTTGTACTACACTGGTCACGGCTTCTCAGTAGAACTCCAGGAAATCTATTTTGAAGCTAATCTGGCTAGTCCTGGCTTAGTGTTCTAGAGGTTAAGAGTTCGCACGCGAGACCGAAGGTTCTAGGTTCGAATCCCGTGTGCGGGATCATAGATGTGGACTACTGAGCTGTCCCACACTAGGAGAAAACGGCCGTCCAGAGCTTCCACGTTTTTAACGGTGGTCTAGCTAAGATGGACTCATGAATTTAATTGTTAAAAGATGTCTCTGTTTTCGATATTATCATAGTAATTATTAATTTATTATCAACTTAATAGAATAATTGTCCTCCGTTTCAACTATGAAGTTACTTCACTTGCCGTGATGAATATATGCTTTTCTCTCCCATAACCACTGAATTACAAAATATTAAGCAGTTGATTTTCATATCATAATTCACTCTGCATTGGTATGCTAACAAATATACAAATTATTTTAAGTTTTATAACTTAACACATATCGAAACAACTGCCCACAACTGTAAATGAATTCAATAAAAAATAGTTCCTCCTTAAAGCAACTTACTTATATCACTCAGCATTAACAATAATTTATATGAACATTATTGTGTCTGAACATATCTCAAACCGTTTGGTATGATGAACAAACTTGTGAAACCCATCACAATATACTGGGTGAAAAACACAAATATAGCGAGAATTACGGCGTGAAATAGGAAAGCAGTGCCGAAGAATAACAAGTGGATAATAAAAAATTAGACAAATGATGCAAATTTTCATCAAAAACTAACATATGAATATTAAAAATTGCTAAATAACATACCAACACCATCTTCATCTAATTCTGTAAATGGATGTTCACGCATAAAATCTGGATGTTCTAACATTAGCGTTTGATCAAGTTCTTCATGTTCCTCCTCCCAACTGACTACAGTTGTAGTAACAGTTTTTAAAATATCAAATATTGTAACATAATGCTGTTTACGTGCTATATGTGCTGGTGTCAGACCTTGCTATAAAGAGGTGTTTAGTGAATAGTGATGATCATGATATGGCAATATCCATTAGAGTCCAACGTATAGAATGAAATGTGAGATGAAGAGCAAAAAAAAAAAAACACAGAAGCGTGGATTATATACGTATTATTTAAACCAATATAACAATAACGTTAATAATAATAATAACCACAATGATACGTATCATCCTTATTAATTCCCAAAGACTATTTTCACGTCTCAGCATATATAACGACAATTCAGAGGAAATCCTCTTTATTCCTATCCAACAATCATTATAACGAAACTATTTTCAAAGGAATGTAGATTGTAGGTTATTTTGATAAAAAATTTTAGGAAGTTTACAATACAAAATAGTACCAGTTACGAATCTGTGATATTGTGGTACAACCAATAAATTAAATCGAGAAACGAATCGAATGTTAAGATGAACAATATGAATGCAGTCAGAAACAGAGAAAAACTGTTCAAAAAATACAGGCTTCTAGACGTACACAGTATATGCAATCCACAAAAATCTAATCACACAGATAGGAAGAGTATGGACTAATTAAGGTTAATTGACGCTATTGAACTTATGTTTGTCATATTAGAAACAACAGAACTATGGGAAACTTTTATGGTTTAAAAAGTACCGTGACAACTACATTACCAGTAAATACGAAAATTTTCCAAATGACCTCACATGATTATAAATTTATTTACTGATGGTATTGAATGAGATTTACCATGAAAAACTAGCCTCATCAATGACCATATATGTATCGATCAGTAGGTTGCTTTGAGAAAGATGTGTTTCTACGTCAAATATAAAATTGATAGAAAACTAATTGTATTATTGGATTTATGTACTGAGAAAGGTTATGACTATGAAAGTCAATATCATTTATGCATACTTCAATATATAATAAGTCCATACCTAAAGTTAATAAACTCAGTTTCTACACGCAAGAGATTTACAGGGCAGCTAGCGATTTCATTTTATACCGATAAACACGAAGGAAACTGAGTGTGAAAATAAGGAAATAAAAATTCTTCAGAAAAAAAGCAGAGAGGGAAGAGCATGATACAATTAAAGAAATGAATAAAAGTGAATGAAAACAGATTATAATATGAGAAACAGTTCTGATAAAAACGTTATCAAAAAGACCGCTTTCAGTAAAGCTATTTCTACTCACTTTTGTGAAGGATACCTATTCTGTGTCATACGTGATAACGTTTCACATCGTAGCGTCTTTAGGACCCCGATCAAGAAGTCATTATAAACACGCAGATGCCATTTCCCATACAATGTCTTATAGACCATGATACCATACCATAAACTGAATACCACCTCACATTTTCCAACTAGTTATAACGATGACAAATAATGCATGAAGTGGAGGCCGCTGGGATGACATTTGTGAAACACACTCGAAGTAAAACAGCCGGTGTTTCAAGATGGTGACAAAAACGGAATTATTGTCGATGTGGCCAAACAAATACTGTTCAACCTCATCACTGCTAATATGGTGTGACTAGAAATTCAACTCAAATTTCTAAACTGAACAAGATGGATGAGAAATTCAAACCTGAGACGCTGTACTTAAAAATGAACTGGCAGAACCCACGAACGCACTACCTAGAGTACTATCACAAGACCATAGAAATATCACTATTTCTCTAACTCGGAATGGCTGAGAAGCGAAAATAAACGGATGGCTTTTGTATCAGAATTTATGAATACTGGTAAGCCTATTTATATTTCGGCTTTGATAACGCAGCTGATCGATTTTACTTGTCAAGAGACAAGCATTAATAAACAACTTGCAAATAATTTTCAAAATAATACGTAAAGCCATACACTAGTCAAGGATAATTCTAGAGTCGTTGTGATATATTCATTGTTGCAAACACAGTAAGTACATAGAGTCAACTGAAATCATTTGAATTATAGCATTTGACTGTATATATATATATATATATATATATATATATATATATATATATATATATATATGTTTCGCTGAAACTAGAAAAATTAATGAAACGGCCGTCCAGTGTTTTCAAGTTTTTAATGGTAGTCTAACAGTGATCAGTTAATGATTTCAGAGAAAAACGTCTGAAATGTGCTATCGATTAAAAGTGAAAGATATATTAAAATTGGATTTCCGATTTGATTTACTAACAAACATAAAGAGAAATTTGGTTAGAAAGTATTACATAAGTTCTATTCCCTGATAATCATTGACAATTCGGCATAAATTATGGTAAATCAGCAATTAACATTAGAAAATATTTCAAAAATGTATAAAACATATGATCTAGTAATTAATCTATTATTCTCCAAGGTGTGTGCATTTTTATACTGAAAACAGTTAAGTGATTGAATGTAATTGGTCAGAAACCCTGGAGCTGGTTACCTAGTTCATATATGTAGTCCTAAGTGAATCGAACTGATGTTTACTGTAAGAAGTTCTTGGTTCCGAACCACTTGAAAAGTATTACTTGACGAGTGGCAACTAGCAATAAATCCAAGTCAAGGATTACTTTTTGGTTAACTCAAACTATCAAATATTAAAACATAGTCCGCGCAATGGTAAGTCGTTAAAAGTGGTGACTCCATTGTAACCTGATCAATAGGACACGAACATTAATAAGGACTATCCAAACATACCATTCAGTACTCGTAATTAGTCAATGAACTACTAACATCTATCGACCCATCTGAAAACAATTCCGGAAATAGTGAGAAACTATTGTTTCCCCTAAATTTTTGTGATATGAAACTCACACAATGTCATCTAGCCGGATTAGTTTTGATGGTACTGTCAAAGTATTAAAAGAATAAAAGAAATTATCACCTACCTGATTTCTAACATTACTGTCAGCACCCATTTCTAAGAGTAAACGAACCACTTGTGAATGACATTGTTGTGTAGCTAAATGTAACGGAGTAAAACCCATTTGTGTTCGTTGATTAATATCTGGTGCATCGGGTAAATCTAATAAGTAGCGTACCATGTTAATTTGTCCAAAATGACATGCTGTATGTAACGGACTGTAACCAGCTCTAGTTAGAGGGCTAACTTTAGCACCGGCGGATTTTAAAATTTGTGCCACTGACACGTGATCTTCTTGAGCGGCTAAATGTAGTGGTGCAAGACCATTCTGTGAGAGAAACAAATGCAATTTTCTTTTAAGAGTAATAATAGATTTATTCATTACAAAAATTTCTCAATATTACAAGAAAATCCTACTTAGCATACATTTAGGCTGTAATCATTTGGAAATATATTTTACGAATGTTTTTGATAGTTAGTATCTGCCAGCGATCTTGAATCACCAAAGTTTTCCAACAATTCAGCTGCTACAATCATCATCAAATATATATCGGGGCATAGCAATAATGAAGTTGTTAAACTATGTGACGACCCTCTAATCAAACACTGCTGGTTAAGTCAAAGCTTATGATGAACAGTTGTCTGAATTGATAACATTAAAAGTCTTTCGTCAATGTTGCACAGCATTGCCTCTTTTACTTAATTTTATCATAAATATACTCTTAGAAAACACAATTCCTACATCTAAATCTTCAGCGATCGATTAGTGACCATGAAATTCGCTTCGTTTTGTTAATATGGCGTGACAATATGAGCTAAAGCTTATTTATTTATTGATTACAACTAGCTGACTAAATATTGATTAAATTAATTAATCTTTTCTTATCCAGTAATGTGTCAATAATGAAGTCTAAATTTTATAATTTAAAAGAATATTTAACTCAACATACTTTCGACTGATGATTTGGATCAGCTCCATGTTGTAGTAGTAATGAAACCATATCTGTATGACCTTCTTGTGCAGCTAAATGTAATGGTGTAAACCCACTACGTGATGATGAATTCGCGATTTGAATTTGGTCAGATTCATGAGCCAATAAAAGTGTAGCAATATCTAAATGATTCTGTTTAGCTGCCATATGTAACGACGTATAACCATTGCCAGCCTTAAAACAAAAACAACAGATGTAAACACATAATTTATAACAGCATTAAGACCTAGCAGTAAAATATATTATTAGATTCAAAATTCAACAGTCCCTTAAAAAAATTATCGATAAAGAAAGACAGAATAACAATCAAATGCATTTACCCAATATATAAGGGTATGATATTATAGATTATTGCTTAGTCATTGGTAAGTGGCAAAAAGCACTGTAATCACTGTCTGAAAATTAACGAAACTAAAACAGAAGTATTTTGGTATTTATTTTTTGAGTAATATTCAGCAAAATCGGGTATTTATTTAGCAACTGAGATAAATTTATCAAGTTTATATAAACACTAAGTATATCGTATGAATCGGTTGGCATCTTTACTGATTAAAGCTTTTTATTGTCGCTATTCTGACAAAAAGATTTGGACAATGTGAAGTGCATATATGTTGAAGTGGTTTTAACTGCCACTCATTCATAAAAGTGGATCATATCCTTAAGAGAAATAGAAACGTAATTTCAAAACTACAAATCCGAAAACTTCATCGAACATTAAGAATATATGATCGAAAAAGAAATGAAACAACAACATCACTCATTTATAAACTTGATTGATTTTTCTATTCAAGTACACACATTACCAGCTATATTTCACCTGAAGATGAATAACATCCAATAATCAAACAGTTGTTTCATCCACGTTTAATCGAAAAAATAAACGTCAATGAGATACATCATCTACTTAACTTTCCCAATGATGAAGCTGTAGATTAAGATATGTCAAGTGTATGTGGCTACAATACGACTAATAAAGGGTTGTTAACATTTATAAGACTAATTTTGGAATTCAGATAATTTTGACTCGTTTTCTAAGGTGTGAATATTTGGAGCATCATCTGATTGATCCGAATTGTATAATATATTTAGCATAAAACAGGGAATTAATATTTGAATGGCTGATAATAGTAGACTAACAGAATTATTCTAGTGCTCACATATAAAGCAATAAATTGATTTATTCCAGTAAATTATTCATAAAAATGAGATTATGAAATTATTTTGAACATAAATGTGTGGGCATGCGGTTCACGCATGTTGTAGACGTTGATGAGCAGTGATAAGTGAAGCGATAGCAGCATTAAGTGAAAAGATGTAGTAGTAAAAATGAACAGTTTACAAACACGAAGTGAAGAATAGATCGTTCCAAATGTCAAATGTTTTTGAGCGATTGTTCAGTGATTAGGTAATGTGACTTACAGCCACTAAGTCACATATTAGAATTTGGCTACATCTGTTTCGAGTTGATCAACCGGATATTATATCATTAGCTTTCACAGTTAGAGTGTGATTCGAAGTCAGGTACATGAATCCGAACTTGTTAAATTAGTTAATAAATAAAATAAGGTATAAAGAAAAAAACCAATGCTTATTTTGTCTGTTTGTTTTCTAATAGGAATCTTTTTAAATAAATCAATATTAAAGAAAAAAGCATAATATTAGCCTATTATTGTTTTTCTGTTTCGAACATTTGACAATTTTGACCAAAGCATTTTTAGTTCCTACATTGTTTCACAAGCCAAGTCATTAATCAAAGTGTATTAAACTGAGGTAATTACACGCACATGCATGTACGAACACCTAAAAAGCATAACTGTAATTTTTCTATTATAATATATATAACTAACTCAAATGAAATATATAGTGGCTTAACTAAGATATTATCACGTGGATGAACACAGAACACATGACTAGTAAAAATAATAATAATAGCACACGTTATGTAATGGATGAAATCAATTGAGTGAACAAATGACGCCCAACAGAGCAATAAAAGAATTGATAATATAGATATAAATACCGATTAAACTATGATCCCTAACATGTATGCTCTACCTATTTGTAAATAAAAAATTCCTTTTCAAGAGAAATAAGGAAACAGCATAGAATGCATTGTAGGTTACTAGTGTGTGTTCATGCATTTTAAACAAGGCAGTAAGTAAACACACAAAACAAGAACAGAATATGAATTTGATGATAATAAACCGGAAAAATATTGCTTTTTTCAATGAAATGTCATTAAATTGTGTTTAAAAAGAGAGGATTAGGATAGTTGACTAGTAGTAGGAAAAGACATTATCTGTTATTTTTATTCCATCATCAAATATGAAATTACCTGAAAGACTTTACTATAAGTTTGTCGGTCTATCAACAGTCGTCATTATTCACAGCAGCACCGGATATCATACACTGTAAGATTCTTTTTTCTGCTTAGTTTGTGGAAATTCTTGCAAGGATACATTTAATGAAACAATAACACTCTGTCGTGTCCTTAAATGAGGATTTTTATTATTTTCGATACCTTAGTTTTCAGATTCTGTTTATTTTCTGACACCAGATAAGACTGTTATTAGTCGTTTTACTAGCAACATTGATTTTCTTCGAGTATAATTTTATAGACATGACTTCTACAAATTGTGTTATTTTGTACCAATAGATTTGGGAATCTGGCAACTGCCATAATACTTATTTGGATTATTGCTGTTTGAATTGGGTTGCAGTATAACGTTAGCATAAATTTCTTAGATTGTTGGGGCATATTTTTACCTCGTAAAGTAATTACATCATACTCTTTAAAAGTTCAGTTGTACCATTTACTGGTTGTGTGTGTGAACGATTGAACTACTTCATCCTTAACTGAAAGAACAGCATCTGTTGTTTTTCATGAATACGCTCCTTCTTTGATAAGTAACTACTTGAGAATGTACTTAAGAAGTTTATCTACTTGATGGAATCTAAATTTAATCATACAGACTTGGTTAAACAACTTAGTGGGTATGTGGCCTAGTGAAATTATTCGTTTAGCTATTTCGTATAAACTCTATTTGCCATCATTTATTACGGCACAGTTGGTTACCCTACTATAATAACAAGTCACTACTCAAACTATAATGAAATGGATACAATAATCAGAATGAAACGATAGTCTGTAAATTGAAGCCGCAAGAGTTTCATTATTAGGTTTTAGGTTTGATTCGTTATCCACTTTGTATGGTTTAAATACATGGATAGTGTTACTAGTTGAATAAATAGCATATTGAAAAAAGTAGCTGCGTACTATTTTTAAGGACAGTCGTATCGTTTCAATTTAATCTACATAATTAACAGCAGTTTACACTTTAAAAACAGGAAGGTTTATAAATCTTTTAAGTTTTCAATGTACAGAAATAAACCAATAAGGATTTCGAATTTTTCAACTTAGGGTGTTTTATATTAGAAGCGAAACCTATTATTAACCACATAAATAATTTATTTTTCTTTATATGCGAACGAGTAAAATGAGAGACACAAAAATTAGGAGACCGTACGTATCGATTTTTATTTTGTTTAGGGATCTATTTGCTACAGGAATCCCTGTTAATCAATATATCAAAAAAATAATTTGCTAATATTTGATGTTATTCCTAGCGAAGATTAAATTACGAATAACTTCTGAGATCTATTAATGGACTAATATTATACATATATTCCTATTGTAAAATTGTCCAGTAACTAGATTGTGCATATTTATATTCCTCTTACTGTAAGCTTCATTTTGGCCTATAATTTGTTGTCAAACGATTTACTGTTCTTAAATTATACTGTTTACTAATTACTGTCTTCTACGTTCACAGCCACTTTTTGGCTTTATTACGTATGTTATTTCCTATTTTATGGTGCGATGAGTTCTGTTTGGCTGGTATATAAACCAAGTATGTCAGAAATAAACGATCCGCATAGTGGAAGCTTCTATTGATGTTCTGGATTCAACTGGACGAGCTACACGAGCAAGGGACCAATAAGGACACTAGGGTGATCAGACCGGACGAACATCATTGGTTTAGTACAGTACGACAGTGAATAAGTCGTATTTTGATTTGTGAATAAATGGCGTGATAACCAGCCGAACTTAGTCACAACAGTTGATTTTATAGAAACCTGTTCTTGCTGATTTACGTTTCCAGAACAAATTTTCATTTTCACCAAGTAGAAGCTACATGATATTCATATGCTTGGGCTGAGTAATTTATAAAACATGATGACACAACAAATATATTATACGACAAGCTGTTGATATAACAATTTGAATTTCTCACTAAAACCTTGGTAATATATACAAAAGTTTGGTTAAAAAAATCTATAGGACTGATATCCCACAAATAAAAATAACAATAGTATTATTATTATTATTATTATTATTATTATTATTAGTGGTTGTTGGGGTACACTAAAAGGATCCTCAAAAAAAAGTCCAAGTGGCCCAGAAAACGCTGGGAAATTTTGTTATAACGTGAAAATGATGCTGCGGATTAAGGGTAGGGAATTATTGATCGGACCAAAGACGCGCAAACACGTAGAACGACCTAGGGTTCTGATTGGTCCAGCTTCCCTGTCTAACCCAGCCAGTTGAGTCCAGAACACAAGTCACAGCCTCGGAGATATGAATCCCTATATTTCAAACATACTTTGTTTATATACCAGTCAAGCAGACCACAACGTCCCATAAAATAGAAAATAACATTGTACAATAATGGCCAGTAGGAAAATGACACGTTAAACAAATATTGACCAATAAGATGATACCATTTCATGTCCAAGGATAGCATTAGCCTTAACAGGATAATTTTTGGGATATTTTCCTGAATATCCCAACAAATTTAATCAGCGGTGCAAAGAAGCTTCCAAGAAACAAATAGAAAGTGAAGAGTCCCAAGCCACGTTTCCGATTGCATATATCCCTATGTTGTTACTATTTGTAGTACGTTTCAAGAAACTTCCAGAAGCCCAAGGTCGCCTAAAACTACATAAATGCCCTGATTTTCTGTATATAAACTAATCAAGGAGCAAAGCGTTCTTCTTCCCTCCCATTATCTCATTGTGTTCAAGTTGCCGTGTAAAATTAGCCTGATGTTATTAGAAGCAGCTACGAAATGGGATTGATTATTCATTTAGAAGACTTATCAATAATAATAAACATTAATTTATTAAACTTACTCGACAATCTACTTGTGCATTATTATCCAATAATAATTGTACGACAGCTAAACGATTATAATGTGTAGCAATATGCAAAGGAGTTAAATCATTCTGGCCGATAGCGTTAACACTTTTCGGTTGTGCTTGAATTAATTGTTTAGCTACTTTGACTTGACCACGTTTAGCGGCTAAATGAAGAGCGGTGAAACCTTTCTGTGTGTTTTTGTACACATACATGGAGTGAAGCAAAACAGAAAAAGAAAAAAAAATATTAAGGAACAAAATAAGTAATGTAAAAACTTTCAAATTTGTATATTATATATATATACGAAATTGAGAGGACGAATAGTGAATGATCGGTGCTTTGACTGGTTTGGTAGATACGGAGGATCCATTTACGGTAGTTGGAAAATTCAGATTCCAAATCAATGATGCACATGTGCTCCATGATCCTGAGAGAACAAATGGCGTATGAACCTATTATTAGTCACCAGCCACCATGGATTCACATTTCCTAACCTTGATCCACTACATTCTCGATTACACCTTCAGATTAAAGGATCGAGGAGTAACCCAATAAGAAAACCACCTGCTTCGGTTTGGGCGACTGGGTAATAATATCCCAGCCCACATAGATACTCACTGATTTGTGTGGTGCATATATATTTGATGCCTCCTTGTACAAATATATAAATAAATAAATAATAAGACATAAAGATATATCTATGCACTCTACTGAAAAATAACATAGGCAGTAGAGATTGGGGAAGTGCACTCATAAATATCACAATACAAAATTACAAACCCATAACAGGATTTCAAATTATTTTCAGAAATACACAAATCACTTGTGGTGATTAGAATCAAAAGTGTAGATGTGATAAGAAGATCAATGTACTACATTTATAATTACTTGGTCATGCAGGATTAAATCCCATTTCTTTTAATTTGAGTTTAGGTTTTCGGCAACAGTAATATACTAGGCCTTAAACTTTAAAAAAGTGTCACTCAACGTTCAGTGTAGAAAAAGTGTACTTCAGACAAATGAACAATACTAACTAGTAATAATTTTCAAAGTAAGTTTCTGTTGACATATTTCATGGATTTTTACTGAATTCCTGAGGAGAGTCTTTTAAAATCAATGAGTTAGTTAACTGAATGTGCGTAGGCATGCTCTAACACAAGCAAGATCACTTAGTATTGGTAAACGTTGTAGTTATGTGTGTAAACCATAAAATAATTGAGTTTGTGGTCTGAAACACATGCCCTCACTAACTCCAATCATGAGAAAACTCAAAGACATACACTTCCAAGTGTTAAACGTGTCAATGCAGATAACAACTGACCATTAATTATAAATATTTCGGCTAGTTATTGATGAACGTTCAAAACTAACTACAGTTTGTCAGTTGGTCAGTCAATTAGAGGTACCGTAGAACTTGGTACCTGTGTGATCAGTTAAAAATATTTCACACAGGCAAATTGAAATGAAATAATCAAGATAAATCCCAGAGTAGCATAAGTAGTAACAGTACCAGAAAACAAAACTAAGTACAGAAAATATGACAGGAGAAGGAATGAACAGTTAAAAGCAGAATTAAGAGCACTATGATGAAAGTGTATATCAAAATTCATAATCGAATTTACAAAAGATAGTGGTAACCAATGCGAAATAAAATAGAAAAATAAGAATATCGAGCCCCTTTGTGGCTAATGCCGATCCCCAAAACCTGGATAAAGGAGGGCTGGGCATGGGTTAGCGACCCCATCCCGTAGAAGACTAAATCGCAAAAAAACGCTGACCAGAAAAAATTATTCATATCAAAAAAGAGACTACTAACCTTCGTACGAGCGTTTAAATCAGCACCAGCTTCTAACAATTGACCTAACAAATCATGACGACCTTCTTTAGATGCAATATGCAAAGCTGTATAACCATCACGAGCTGGTAGATTCGGATTAGCTTTACATGATAACAATACATTGATTAATTCTGGTGTCCCAGTTAAACAGGCCACATGCAACGGTGTTTGTTCATCCTAAAACAAAAAAGACCAATAGGACAAACGGTTTACAAATGGAGTTATTCTTATTACTACTAAAAATGAGAAGATTGTATCTCTTTAGATGGACATAAATTTCTTAGACAGCTGATGCTTCCTGTTAGATTCTCCCAGTGTCACAGTCAGAGACATTTGTTTGGAATTGAATAAGCACTTTATCGATTTCCACCTACAGTTAGAAGATATCTGTCGCAGCCCGAATTTCATAGCAATAGCCATGACTGCAATACTAGGGGAACTATAATTTCATAATGACCATCAGCTCCCTTAAGAATGTCAACAGGGACCACATAAAATTATTCAAACTAAAGCATAATTATTGAACAAAACAATACACAAACACACATAAGATAAATACAAACAGACTAATTTATTCGGAATAAAACATTTTCATCTACATCATCATGAATACGGGATAAGGTGTGTGATAAGTGATTTCATCCTGAAGAGCGTTTTATAACCAATCGATCGCTTATTTTTGATAACAGTAATGACATGAAAGACTAGGTAATATGATTACACAATCACTAGTTTGTTAATTTTTTTCCCATTTCGCTTCACAACCAGAATTTATGATATCAGCCTCTTCTTTATACTATCTCTATTTCAACAGACACATACGCAGCAATGTTAAACATCATACTGAACAGTTTATGTCTGCTTGCTGTAGTTCTTTTTCAGAATCGAGTTCATTGCCTAAAGTATATGTAAATTATAACACGTTATTATTCATTGTAATTTAAAGCCATCTTCGGGTGATGAGAGAAGCCTATAGCTTCCAATCATATCTTTTAATCAATGTATACTGTAGTTTTTTATGAATAAAACATTGAACGACCACTTTAACAATAACAATACTGATCACGACAAGTACAATCTGCCTTGGTATAAATTTATAATTGGGTTCAAAGAAAGAATATATAGCTAAATTTTTCAAAAATTCCTGTATATAAACCAAGGAAACCTTTTCTGTCAAAGCATCAAAAGAGTCAAGATGTCGATCAGGATTTGAAAAAAACAATTTCCCAATTAAATAAAACATTTGGGATAAAAAGTGGATACATATATACTGTATATATGTACGCAGTATATTACAATGAGAATAGTAACTCGACTAATCAAAGATTGTTACTCACGTCAAAGAAAAACTAGTGAAGCTAAAATATGCTTAACAAGATAAATGATCATAAGTATGCTTAAGAGATCATGTTTAACAGTGAGTTAAAATCAGTGTATGGATTGAGGAATAATTAATCTGACTATAAACATCTCATGTCAGCAAATCATGAGATTAAAGTAGAAGAATTATCTAATAGTATGAATTTACAAGAATATTAAAATGGATCGGAAATGAAGGTAGCGACAATCATATAGTGGGTTTAAATGCGAGGCAACTGGTTAGAGGCGGTAAGTAGGAAATTCTGGATACAGTGTTATATCTTTGGGGTGAGTTGAGAAATCCTTAGAGTATATGTTGTACAGCAATGATCATTCGTTTCAACCTATATAAAACCTTATAAATAAACTAATATATTTTTAATATCCCAGTGAGTAGAAAAATTAGATTTTCTACTGATGGGGATATGACAAATATATTATTTTATTTATAGCAACCTACTCAATGCTCAATTTGTTCAAATTATCAAGTTTAACCCTGATAATGATACCTATTATATGAAATACTATTGATCTGAATCATCTTAATCATGTGCATCAAATGTATATTTGATGCAAATGAGATTATTATTCCTACTTCAAATGTACAATGTTTCCTTGTTTGTCTCGGATTTTACATCATTCATTCATCAAAGTCTTCGTTGAAGAAACAATGATTTATCGTGCATGACTGTCTACACTTAAATTGGTTGCTTTCTTGGAAATAGGAATATGATTTTTTGTTTGTCGAAAGTAAATCTACCAAAAAACTCCAACAATTTAACTGATGTATTATCGACTCCATCTCATAAGCAAGTACTTTGCAATGTTTTATTCCATGGATAGTTTACAACTAGCATTGTTGAAGTGCTGCGAAAACCACCAAACAAATGCCTTTGTTATCCTTGAGTCGATTACGCGTTGTCAAAATAATTGTGACACTTATACAGAGAGTGTAATATACATGCATAGAATTCTCAAATCATTACGCTCACAATGTAGCTCTATGTTTCGTTCTAGTTGAGACTTGTCAATAAAGAATAATCGGGATCCTAGAGGAATTGGTGCTTTCTGTAGGATTCGAACCTGCATCACCCGGCTTCAGGGTAAGAGATGTTGTCAAAGAGTCATTCAGATAGTGACTACCTTTCTACAGTGCTGAGATTTTTGCATCGATTGGTGATTGCATAGTAACTGACATCATATTTGTCTGATATTTAGTGATGATGGAATTCCATCGATCAAGTTATGCCTGTTATTACCAGACTAAGTGACTCTTTATGAGCAGTTGGATAGACAGAAAACCTTAATCACTCTTCTATTCATTTGAGCTAATTTTTCTCGACTATTTATAATTAGAACCATGTTGTTGCACTAATTGCTTTGACTTCCGGTACCTTCATATCGTCAATGGATTTTCTGTGGTGTATTAATTGTCGCTCGATTGTATCTGACTGATTCCTGTATGTTTTAGCGAAAATAAACACTGAATAACAATTGATAAACAAAGACTGTTATGACTTATTCATCTCTTAAAGAAATCGATTTCAATTGGCATTATCTTTGGGAGTATTGTGATTAGCCATTTTCCAGTGTAACAGTTTTAAGGTTTTTGTGAACATTAAAGGTACTTGTTTTTTCATTTACCCATAACTCGGGTTTAATTCACCAGTTGATAGATCACGGTTATTGACAGATATATAAACATGGTGTGTTGAGAATGTGTGCAGATAGTCGATAATGTATTAACAGTAAGATTAATTATTTCATTGCAGATCACGTGAAAAGGAATATATAATGACAGTGTAGAAGTGAAGAAAAAACTTACGAGTGATTTTTACAATAACAACACCCAAAAGAAAGGACAATATATCATGAGGATTTGTAATAGTTTATTTGCAATCGTATGATACTTGAACGTGCAGCTCAGTGGTTGGAAGCTGACTACTTTAAACACTAAACTATCACTACACTAATGGAGGGAGAAAGAGTAATTCAGTTATCATGTTCAACTTTATAATCCATAAAGAGATTTTTAAAAATGGTAACACTAGATGTTAGCTATAATGAACTACAGAGATAAAAGTATTGAACGTTAAAATTCCACAAAGAAGAGATACGTTATCAACCTATATTAGAACGTTTTTAAAGAATATCATTCAATAGATTACTTTGATTTTCATGCTCAAAATCGCGGACTGATCATTACCAAACTCTGGAACCCAATATGTACCAAACAGCTGTTTAGTTTCAGAGTGAGACTTTTAAGACAAAGCAAACAATATACCCAACCCTTCAGGTTTCTACGCTAGGGTTTGAACTTTAGACCACTTAAGAGATTCTTTTTTTATTTTAACACATAGATATTGGTACAATGAAGCAATAAATATATATGCGCCAAACAAATCTCACTTGATATGTATGAGGGCCGTGATACTGCCCGGGTGCCCAAACCGAAGTAGGTGGTCTTCCTAGGGAACCACACCCGGAGTCTTCAACCTAAAGGCCTAATCCACAAGGCAGTGGAGCAACGTTGGGATATGCAGTCCCATGGTAGCCGGTGACCAACGATTGGTTCATACGCCATTTGTTTCCTCAGCATACTGGAACCCGTGTACACCACTTGTTCTGGAATCAGAGTTTTCCAACTTCCATAGGTGGACTCTGCGTATCCACCAGCCCGGTTAAAGAGTCGGACATTCGTCCTCTCAATTTCGTAAACAACAGTAATGCCACGAGAAGGCAGTGAGTTGGACTTCCCTGACAGAGGCTATATACGCTTTTTCTAAACTATCATGTCTAACCTTGGCACTGATAGTTAATATCATGAGTTTATTTTTTGGAAACAAATTAAAATTAAATATAACATTGATGAGTTCTTTACGTATCTTGACTTAAAAGGAAAAACAAAGAGTGGTCCGTTGACAACCCTATCATAAACCAGAGATACACGCAAAACACACGCTTAAATAATTAACAAAAAAACATCCATCCATGAATTACTCAGATGATTAAACGTTTATACTTATATTAACAATGCTAAATGATAATGTTCCTAACGTAAAAACCAAAGAGGTTATCGAAAATAGTTATTGTCAAAGCATTACATTACAATATAGAAGCAGTAAAAATGCGAAATTTGAAAAACTTTACTTCGCTACTTTGCAGATAAAGATACTAATCAGATCACATCCAAGGTTTCTTCCGACTACCTCAAACCAACAAACATTCCAAAATAGTGCATGTCGTGTCGATTTATTTAGACTAGCAACTACATAGCAACTTGGTCAACGGGATCCGACTAACACTAAAAGACCAGGTAAAAATGATATTGATCACCACAGTTATTAATCAATTATAAATATCACAGTTCTACAAGAAGTCAGTCGTAGCTGAATGCTAACGTTTCAGATTATCAAGTATGGTAACCTGAGTTCGAATCCACGAGGCAAAAGCAGTCTCTTTAACATTATAGACATATATTGTTCAAGCGTACCAAAAAGCACAAAACCTAAGTTCACACTTTTTTGTTAACTTTCGCCAAACAACTAGCATCAAAAACAAAATAACTAGAAATATCCTAATAAAGATAATGTAACACAAGGTTATAATAACCAAACCTAATATAAAAATGTGTTGGCGTGACTTACTCTAGCTTTAGCATTTACCGATGCACCATGATAGATAAGTGTTTCAGCAACACTAACTTGTCGATTACGTACAGCTAAATGTAATGCTGTTTCACAACGCATTGTAGCTTGATTCACATGTGCACCATGTTGTATTAATAGCTGAACAATTTCTGGACCACCAATAAATGCTGCCACATGTAATGGAGATAGGCCAGACTATGTTAAATCATTGTAAAGAAATTCAAAAAACAATTTACTTTTTTAAAAAATCAATAGAGTTAGTGTTATAAACAAATCAACAGATTCATAATTTATTATGACCTTTAATGCAACATTTAACTAGATTAATCAGCAAAGGTAATATATTCTTGTTCAAAAAAGGAATTACGTATAAGCGACTTGTAAGCAGAGTTGATCAAAGAGTCAGTCATAAGTAACATGGAACCTACTATATACATGTATCGGATTAAGTTGCCACACAATAATATATAGGTAAAACGAGATGAAAATATCAATGCAAATCCCAGTGCATTAGATGTAGAAGCAGTATCAATAGTAGTAGAATACATTAGATATAGGATAATAAGACTCAAGAAGAATGAACTTGTAACATAAACACTTCAGTAGTTTCTAAAGTCAAGATTTAACGGAATACAAAAAAGTGAATGCGTTTGTGCCATTGTGACCGATCCTGAGTATATGACCTACTTATCAACACAGAGCGATCCCGCAGTTAATAACTTCAAGGAATGATATTATACCATCATCTACAACCAAAACCTAGTAACCTATAAATCCCCCGTTATAAAGTGGCCATGAAGTTTCACAGCCGTATAGAATATTAGTACAAACTGCAGTACAGAACGGCTACCTCAGTTATGCATATTAAAGTGAATAACAGTTTATGTTCAGGACTGCCTGTTAAGCGTCTTCGATCTCCTAATTAACCATGATAGATGAGTTTGGATGTAAAGAAGTGAAGCTTTTATTAACTGTGAACACATCAATAAAATGAATCATTTAAAGAGAAAATAGTCTACAGACAACGGATATATATTTTTTTAATGAAAACATTTAAATCATATACGGTTTGTTACTAATTTCTGTTCCATTCACAACTTTTTTTCCTCAGATTCAATACAAAAATCACTACAGTAAAAAATAATGATGGATACACATTACATATATTACCATACGGTACAATCAACATTCATAGTATTTTATTGAGTTCCGTGAAACGCCATTCCTGAAATGATGTCTGGTTAAACATTAAAGTTTAAAGTTATTACTCGACGACTATGAAATGTAAGGTAAACAATCACACAAGAGCAGTTGAAATTATTTACTTTTTTAAACAAAATTGAAGTAGACACAGGAATCATTGAGTTTGGTTGGGCAATCTAGTAGATAATATTAGGTGAGGAAATGTGTATTATATTGAGAACTGAATAAAGTCAGTAAATGTAAACCATTATATTTCGATTCACTGACTTACAAATGTGTTATGCGTGCTTGCTTAGTTGAAGGTCGACATAATTCAACATGTATATGTGTGCATTGCTGCCAAATTCCAGTAATGATGAAGAGATACTGTTTTAGTGTATTACAGTGACAATAAAATTGTTCAACTATCTAGTCAATCAGTTAGGAATCAATGTAGTATATGAAAACACGTACTTCTTACAATCGAAGCGTAAAGTACGACTGCAAAACTTCACAGGAACACGTATCTAAAATGTCCAGATGACGTGGATAACCGTCAGAAACAGTGCGTATATTGTTAGCTAACTGAATGATGGCGATAATATATTAGATAAGTGATTATTCGAGTATAACGAACTCGTGATAAAACGACGTTTAATAATCAAATAGTTTCCTTTCATTTCATAAGACACAAGATTATAAACAGACTTCCTTTCGTTTTCTATTTAGTCCCAGAATCGGCAAATAAAGCACTGTATGAAAAACTACAAATTTCGACCAAACCACTAAAAGTTATTCTAAAGATTACTGGACCATGCAGTTTAAAATGTCATGAAGTCTATAGATTCAAATGAATCTATAAACTGAATACAAGCGATGTTTAGTGTATTTATATTTGAAATGCGTTTATTGAAGCTCACTGATTCCCGATTTCCTAATTCTACGCAATACTATTATACATCCTCGTTAAGATCTACGATGATAAATGACAAGTATGACCAAATAAAATCATGAGATCAATTCATTAAGTGATAGACTGTTGGACTAATGCAATAAACACGATACATGGTTGGATACGTTGATTGACGTAGTTTAAAATCACATTAGCTCAAATGCATTCATATTTTTCATCTTGATTATTTAGCATCCCATCATGTACATTTTTTCATTGTACTTTTGTACAATATTTTCAACGTTCAATCATTATCATCTTATTTAATGGAATAACTTATATTAATCCAATATATGATAATGGAACAGAACTTACTTCAGTAGTCATATTGATTTGTGCACCATACTGAAGAAGTAGTTCAATAACTCGAATTTTTTGTTTCTTACAAGCAATATGCAATGGAGTAAAACCATTCTGTAAATACGAAATATATATAAATGAATAAATAAAATCAATTTAATAGGAGAAATAAAAAGTAAGTAAACATATAAAGCTTGTAAACATGATATGAATATTAGACCCGTACAAAGTGATAAACAAAAAAATATGATCAGTATGGGGATTTGTGGAGATTGTAGTAATTTCACAGTTTAATTCATGAGTCGATCTAAGCTAAACCACCATTGAAAACCTAGAAGCATTAGACAGCTGCCTCGTCATAGCATGGGTTTCCTCAGTAGTATGCATCCACGACCCCGCACGTGAGAATCGAACACACGACCTAGAATCTGATTCAATGTTTTATCTTCTTAAACTATAAATTTGATGAAATCAATAACCTTAAAACAAAGACAACAGAATAGTTTACGTAAAAATGAGCTTGGTCACTGAACAGTTATTTTGTGAGTAAACTTTCTTCAACTATTAATAGTAGTTATTTGAAAGTTTTATTAGACTACTGGTTAACTGATTGATGCTTTAAGCGCTATTTACGTACTGTGATTTCAAGGGCCGAGATGTAAACATCACCATTAAGGATATCGCAAATAGAGTAGAATGAAACAGGTCTCAAATTTTTACCATTAGCTATAATTTAGTTTAGAATTAAAGACTACTGTTGTTAGTTGCTAAAATAAATAAATAGAACCTTAGACGAAGGATAAATGCAGTGATATGACTTAACAGTACAAATGAACTGGTAACTAAAACCAGATCATTGGTCAGAGGAGTTTTTTATTCAAATAGAATAGTATCCTGATATACAAAGAATTACACAGGAATAAACAAGATTGTCAAATATCATAAACGATTGAAGAATGTCAGCTAATTAGCTACTCACACAGCAATAAATTCGTATGTCGGGTTTAATTCTTGATCACTATATAAGGTTACAGATCGGAAGTGTTTATTACTGTCCATAATTTAGAGAAAGTGAAATATACAAAAGAAAACTAAACGTATCTACCATTTACATCCTAGAAAAAAGTATGCGTGAAAGTAAATTGTAGTAAATCAGTGTTACATAAAACGAAAAGCCTACCAGAGCACGTGCATTCACATCACATCCATTGTCTAAGAGTACACGTGCCACTTCTGTATTACCACAATGAGCAGCCACATGTAGTGGGGTCAAAGAATCCTAAAGGAAAAATTATGAGGTGAAAAAAAAACAGAAAAAGTTTTATTAAAAACCAAATTGATGATTTACACTAATATACTTAAATTTAAAAGTCTCTGGACTCATGTATTGATTGATATAATATACATGTTTGTTCTTAACTTGTAGTTAAGATCATGGTAGGTATTGACAAAAATTAAACAGAGAACTATTTTTGGTAGAAAAAAATCTATATATCTATTATGTAAATTTATTCAGCAACTGGGTCATGGTATTCGTAAGTCACCTTTCGTTATAGTAAATGTTGCTATATAATCTCTCTACTAGGAAATTACAGCTACTTGACTTGATCTCGAAAAAACACTCAAATATTATACATGTCGGCACTTATTATTTGCGATAAAATATGCAGTCTCCAAATGCCCCGGAATGACCGAGGTTGGGGAGAATTCACTCTCCCACCCGAAATACTCTCTATTTTCACGCGTACACAACCACACTCAAGGAAGCCCTGCTCACTGCATTCTCGTGTCGAGGGTGTTGTTCACAAAACTAAGAGGACGAAAAGCGAATGACCAAGGCTTTAACCAGGTTGGTGAGTATGGAGAACCTATTTAGGGAAGATGGAAACAATGATTACAAACCAATTATACACATGGGCTCCACACCCATGAAGGAACAGATGGCATATGAACCTATTGTTGGTGACACGCTGTCATGGGACTACATATTCTAACGTGGCTATCACTTGTGGTGAATTTAACCAGTGAGTTCACAAGAATGTCACATTTACGCATAAAGCCCCATTAATTGACCATAAACAAAACAGTTTAATAAAAACGTAAGCATTCGATTCAATCAGATGCATCAAAAGAAGTTGAAAATTATCTATCTTAGAATTTGACCAATACATCTACAAATAAACATAAAAACTGATTCAATTATTCTAATTCCTGATAAACATCGCCTAATCGCTAAATGTTCATCTAAAAGACTGAACAAACTATTTAGTAATGTATTTTTTTAAAGCGTAACAAACTATAAATTAAAATTTAATTACAAATTGACAGTCATCATTATGGAAGTCATTAATTGCAAGTAATTTTGGTAAACAAATTACTCTTTTTTTAAAAAAAAAAAAATACAAACATTATTATCAACGCAGAATATGCAACATACACAAAGTGTATTTAATGTTTTTTTATTTTTAATACGCTGTAAAGAAGTGGGTACTCTAAAAATTTTAACTAAAAAACCAATAGTATATACATAGATAAACATGTATATGTATTTCTCATGATTAGTCAGACTATTATTACTAATCGACTCCGTCAGTCATCCACAACACAGGACCAAGCACATATATGCATCGGTCCAAGTTGCCATACCTCATTAGCACAGCAAGATGAACACCGGATTCATAAAAGTAGTTAATTCAATGGTGGTAATATATAAAAGAAAGACTGCATATAAGGATATAGTAGAGGAAGAAAGAATTAGTTCGTAGAAAGAAAGATATGAAGCGATTTTAATCTCATTATTTGAGAGAAGACAGAGAGTGTATACACCTACGCCATTGTGATCGATTCTGAGACATGTCACCCACAGTCTCCAACCATTGGTTACGATAGTCGCACGGACCTCAACCAAGTAGTCTCTATCTACCAACATGGTTCAGGTCAGAAGTTAGTGACTTCAATGACTGATGCCACGTTTTCGTTTGGCCGCCCCTAACTTACTTCCAACCGTCAACAACACTGGTTTGAATTGTGCGCCGTGATGATCGGTGTTCAGGCATACGTAACACGTAGCCCAACCATCTCAGTCAATGAAGATTCACAACCTCATCAACTGATTTACCATCATTCCCTAATACTCTGTGTCTAGCCTCACTATTACTTACCCGGTGATCCCAGCAGATTTGAGCGATATTTCTAAGACATCTGTAATCAAGTACTAGTAACCTAAGGGTATCCTTTACCCTTTCTGGCCATGTTTCACAGAACGAACCGCTACGCAGTATACTCGTCCTTTGAAATTTAACATAGTGATGTGAATAAGTGAATTACTAAATTATGAAAATTATGCTTGTTTTATCGTTCAGGATTCAAATAAAATACTCAAGTGCTAGAAATAGATGTAATTTATCATGGAATTCAAGATGATTAATCAGCAAAGCATTTTAAGCAACAGTTCTACAGGCTTCCATCTACCTTTTATTTAGTCACTATTTCAAAATAAACAGAAAGGAAGGTCGAGATGAACCCTTAAACCTGCATAAATTTAAAGGTCCTGTGAAATCTACGACGAAAGTGGAAAGAGGGCCCTGATGCACTAACAAATGGGATTCTTAAGGATAGTGATCGAGTCTTGTTTTGAATTGACTTAGATCATAACTAAAGTGTGGGAAAGACCTAATCCCATTTGACTGGTCTTAATCACTGATTCTCCCAGTTTAACATTAAGGATAAGAATTCACTCGTGTCAACCACAAAAATTAGTTTTACTAACACAGTATGTAAAATATTAGGTTCAATAATCATCCGACACAACTAAGACTCGTAAACAGCGAACACCAGAATAATAGGCTGATTTCCTGCCTGGACACAGATATATAAACCAAATATATAGTTTCCTTCAGGTTTTAGAACACCTGCATACTTACGGATGCTCGACTATGGGTGAACTGTCTGACGTTAAAACAGGGTTCGAGTCTGTTAATGAAAAGGATCTGTGACAGTGTCGTACCAAGGAAATATATCAACCTTGTTTAAGTTCTCTACTCCAATACAACTGAAAAAGTAAGAGCTTATATTGAACGGTCATCGAAACTGTCAACCTCAAGTGGTATTAATCAAGGATGTCCGTTTTACTGCATTTTTACTAATCTTCCCCATAGATACTCCTTTGGAATTAACGCTTTTTTCGTTTACCTTTGTAGAGGCTGTATTCCTACTAGAAGATTCACTTACTGAATTAGAATACGTATATGACATAGTCCTGTTTTGTGAAGGCACCAAAGAGTTCAACGGACATAAGTCCCGATCCAAGATGTTTGTGATGATACTCTTTCCATTTAAATGCAAAATGCTGCTTTCGGATTGGCCTGAGCCAACACGTGAATTAATTATGGAGAGTGAACCAACTGAATGGGTCGACCACTTCATTTGTTTTGGAAGCCTCATTAGCATTGATAGGTTGATGTCTGGTGAAATCTCAACACGGGTTCATAAAGCTAAGTTGCCCATCGCCAACTTGCATCATCAGTGGCGTGGGGCAGATGTACTTCTGCTAACCGAAGGACGAGTTTATTCCACAGCAGTTCGCTCCATTCTAATTTATGGGTGTGAAACACTGTCATCAAGAGTAGATAATATTCATATCCTACGAGTATTCGACTAAAGATGTCCTTGAGCATCGCTGCAGTATTCTGAGATCACTGATGGGGAGATGCTAGATTTGTTTTAATAATTTCATCTCACTGTGTTGATATGGTGTAAATAACTTAAACGGATGGATAATATGTAGCGGGTTTATGTTGTATGTGACTGACGAATTTGAATTTCCTTAAATATTTACCATCGAATTCATTCTTTGCAAAAGAGAAATTACAAAATTTTGAAGGAAAAATAAATAATATTTCACCAGCTTTAGTGATCTGAATTATGCGCTGATGATGTAGCTCAAAATGAAAATTAAAAAACTCAGCGAATGAACCATTTAGCTCACACAATACATAACCGTTGAAACAAAATCAATCAAGCTACAAATCTATATCACTACAAAAAAGTCACACTGTATTCCACAGTCGTGACTTATGATGTTGAAAGAGAGTTGTGTAGTATTATGAGTTGAAGTTAAACATCCAAACGATTGGATGTATGTTTAATGGTCAAGCACTCATTGAGAACCCTAAAGATCTTGAGTTTAATAGTCTGTGGAGTTGTGATGTTAAGTATTAAATAAATTCAGCATTTATTAATTTTACAAGAAATCAAAATGATGCAGTGATAGTGATGAAAATCGTCAAGCAGCAGTCCCAAATAGACAATCAATGTAGAGTAAACTGGCGAACCAGTTGAAGAAGTTGTGTAACTTCATAAACCGATGTAGTTAAGACATGCGTTGTGTATACCAATCCACTACCTACATTAATAAATAATGTTTGCTGATATTGGGCTAGGTTGTAAGAAAGTTAGTGAAGATCATGCCAAAAATATAGTCAATCCGTGAAGTCTGAAAAGTATAGTACCCCCAAACCAATTGCTTTGATTTCATATGAAAACTAGTCATAATGGACTAGATTCAGTCATTTAGTTGACAACATAAATAATTTTTTTTTAAAAAACAATACCGAAGCAACAAAATTTACTCCTTCCACTAAGTCTTCATTAAATTCATTGAAAAGTTACATAGGAATCACTCAAAATTAACATTTACATTTTGGCAACAATAAAACTGGCATTAAGTTATAGTGCGTACAAAGGTGATCAATAAAACATTACCACAACTTCATAGGCACATCCTTTTAATGACCCGTTATTTTGATACCAATTAGATGGGGCGATGTTGTCAACGGGATCACCACTTTAGCAGCCATATATATGACTCCATTTGGATCGTTTCAGATTGCTATCAAATAATCGATATCGATATATACATCCTGACTATTCTCGTATATAATCATCGACTTAACTCGCGTTAGTATATAATGAAATTTAATAAGTCAAGTACGAGAATGAGTTTCGAATAAGCGTATTTCATACAATCGTTAATCCAGACAAACGATCGAAAATCGAAGCACAGAAAGCGAAGTGAAGAGGACGAAGAGGAATGACACGCGGGTGGAGATGGCATGTGAGCCAACTCGATTTAACCAAGCGTGAATCGATATTTATAGTCACAAAAAAAACAAGTTAAAGACATGGAATGAGTAAGATACATATACTTATATAGAGACAGTTTAGGTTGATAGGTAGATACTTAGCAAGTTCAAAATGTGACTCAAGAAGAATGAATAAATTGGCTTGTCCGGAAGCTAGAATAAGCTGTTTGGGTTTAACACAGCAGCCGAGACTACATTCTTTGAAAAAAAAACACTTGTGTGGACTAAAACAAGCATACGTGTCGTTTTTGAAAAATAATAGTCTGATGACTTAGTAGTTAAGGCGTTTAACCGTCAGCCATTTGGTTACATGTTCGAAGTGGGTCCCATTAACTTCAATTTGGGCGACCGGGTTGTATCACTAGCCTTCACAAATAAAGTGTATCTAGAAATCAAGTGCACGAAACCACATCTGTCAGATGAGCTTCAAAAAAAAACACATTTTTAAATAAATATCACGACATAATCACTAATTGCTCTCTGACCTATTACCGATCCAAAGAAAGAAATCGATTGAACGTAAAACGATAACTTTTTTAAATATCCCCATACACAAAAAATGTTCAAATTCATTGCATCAGAAAGATATATTTAAAAAAGTGTGAGACAAAAATAATGCATTGACTTTTCAATGAAGTCAAAAATCTAACGAAAACACTTAATTGATAACTTGGTAATATCACTTCAGAATATTTCTTTTTGGCATTCATTTGCAGTTTGCAATGGAAATTTCTATCTTGCCTTACATAATAGATAGTTTGTAAAGACAACATGTTGAACAATAAATATAATTAACATTCTTGTTATTAATGACGTAAACATTTTAACTATATAGGACAATAACAAACACAGTAACAAAAACAATAACTTACTCCTGTTCTGTCAGCTACACTAGCACCACGCAGAATCAATACACGAGCAACTTCTTCATTATTACCTTGTGCTGCCATATGCAATGGAGTTAATCCATTCTAGTATAGATGAAATAATATTAATGGAGTGATTACACAGATAAATAAACAACCCAAGTGATTTAGAACAAAGTAAGTCGAGGGATTTGATCTGATAATTTCATGGAAATTGTTTATTGTATGATCAATACCTAAGAAAATTATGTAACACTATCAAACTGACTTTGTTAGATTCAGTGACAGTCATAGATTAATGTGAAAATTGTAGATAATACGTGAAATTCACTTATATAGTCATTAGGAAGTCGATTTGATCTGAAAACATAACTGCAAAAATCACTAGCTGGACTTTTTTTCAAGGTTACAAAGTAAAAACTGAAACAATTCAAGATAACTACTCCAAATAAAAGCCAATATCTATTCACGAAGACTGACGGAGAAAAATCAAGTTTAACGCGTTGATAAAATAGAAAAAAGAGTCTATTACTTGATACAAGACACAATCAGCCGTCATTTAACATTGAAGTCACATTTTTGAGAAATTTTATTTAAGCAGTAAACCTTGATCCATCATTCGATATGTATAGAATGAGTGCCACAACATGAAGTTGCCGAAAGTAAAAAAGAAGAACCAGATTTTGAATCTGCTTTACAATTATTGAATCTGCATTTATTTATCCACTAAGCTACTTAGTTGATATGTCCTACATCAAAATATCGTAATAAATAATCCGTCTGTTTACTACAAAAATTAAAGATATATTCTTTAGCTCTTGATGGTGAATTTAACCTTTTACAATTTTTATGTACAAACTGCACAACTGAACCGAATAGTTGAGCAACATGGTTAAAACCACATGTACTGTTAAAATCGCTGATCCATTGAATCAATATTCAGCGAAGTTGATCCTACAATTGACTTTCCTAATAATATAAATCATGACTGTAATATGGATGAAAAAGGATTATTACAAATCACCGATGAACGCATTCTATGGTGCAATGAAACATCTAATGAAAATTAATCCTCTTATGTACACAACATTTACTGAGTTTAAAGTTTCAAATGGCTAATTCATTTCAATATCTTTGTATCTGAAATGAGGTATTCAGTGTTAATATCAACAACATAGCATCTTCGACAGATTAGAACAGGCAGTGTCGACGATACGTTCCGGTGGTTAAGAAACAACACACAGTTGTGAGAAGTGTTAATAAAAATTTTTTGCATTAAAAACACTAACACACACTGCTATTATTACTACTACCACTACTACGACGAGACTATAATTTATGGAAGAACTAATCATATATAAGAAAGCAGATTTCGATTTTGGTGCGAAATCGATTCATCTACATGGCTAAAAAGCGTTTTGGCATTTTAACTGTCAGATCGTGATGAAAACCTTAACCATAAACTGTCAATCCTGATTCTAATCCCTCATATTGGTTTATAACCCTCATTTAGTCCTAGTTAGTAGATGGACATTCTCATGATCACTTTGGCGCCGCCCTAAAGTCATCCATAGTTTTAATCACACCACAGTTTCTACAGATGTAATAATTCACAGTAAATAAGATTTAATTTGACAGAATGCCTATCACGTAACATGACACAAACAAAAAAGTATTTTCGTTTTACAGACTCTAGCAATTGAGTCATCATCAATCAGTTTTTTCTTTTTTCTATTCTTCAGCGTAATGCAGTGATTGAAGACATTGGAGATTAGAAGTGGCTCTTTCAGACATTATAAGTAAATTATTTTCTGAAACAATTGATCATGTCACAGCAATGACCAATAAAATAACGTAGACTGAGTCGAATCACCAACTCTTCAGTAGAATGAATACTTAATATACATTACGTATAGGCCGAAATAAAATGGTTGTGTGATCCCATTTTGCTGTCATCAGTAAGAGCGAACTCAGATGGCCGACATAAATAGTTCAACGACGACTTGTTTCACACCAAAGGTTTATAAAGATAATGATAACATACCCTTGTTTTAGCTGAAGGATTTGCACCAGCACCCATCAACAGTGAAGCTAATTCTGCATGACCAGATCTAGCAGCACAATGTAATGGCGTTAAACCATCACGTGTACGACAATCAACTAAGGCATTTGAATTCAAAAGTAGTTGGACCATTCCACCACGACCCCATTTAGCAGCCACATGTAATGGTGTGATATTATTCTATCAATAACAAAAAGATATAAAAAAACCGATGACGAACGCAAGAAAAACTTCCCAAAAAGTCACAATTTTAGGTTTTCATATTTACTGTAAAGATTTTCAACTGAATACAAACACACAGTAAAAGGAAGTATATTTTTTATAGCGTCCACGTACAGACAAAACTAGCAAATGCTTTTCTACACTAATACTCTAGAGGATACGTTACTCTAGATTCAACACTAGGTAACGGGTTTAAACTCCATTTTAAGTACTATAATTCACTTCACTTTTATACACGCCTATTAACCCACGTTGAGTAGCAAAAGCCACCGACCGGGTTTCTCCAACGTACTTTGCCCTCCACTCTCCGGTACTTGAATTCAAAACTGCATCAGATCCTCTTGCTTATCGATGATGCTGACAAGGTACTCGGAAGTTTACACTTCTACAGCTTTTCCATCAATTGTGCTTTAGTTGGTGCTCACTGTGTTGTATTACATCATCTCGCTTTTCCCTTGTGAATGTTAAGACCTACTGCTGAATAGGCTGCTGCTACACTCGGTGTGTTCACATGCTTTTGTTGCTGTGTATGAGATAGAGGAGCTAGGTCATCAGTGAAGTTCAAATCATCTAGTTGCATCCAAGTTGTCCATTGTATTCCATGCTTCACCTTAGATGTCGAGGTCTTCATAATCCAGCCGACCACCAGAAGTGAAAATACGAGTTTTAACAGCCTTGTCTGACACTGATCCTCAATTGAAATGCATCTGCAATATGTCCTTCGTGCATGACTTTACAGTGTAGTCCGTCGTAAGAATTCCGCATGATGGTGTCGATCTTCTCAGGTGCACCATGGTGTCGGCCCGACCGTTGTTGCTACCTTGACGTGGTGGTCGGGCTTGCCTATCGTGATGAAGCAACCGAGCTATACTGGCTGGAACAACCGTTCCTCAAGGTCCTACCATGTCAGACAGGTCGGTTGAAGAGCGGTAAGACTAAAAGCAACAAACCCAAGGTCCGAAGGCGAAGTCGTACTGCTGACTGTACAGAGGTGTGACAGCAGTAAGGTGTTTCCTTCAGACAACCAGCATGACAGCGATGCTGCCTTCCCACAAGGAGGGGTGGGGTTAGAAAAGGTCGACCCTAAAAATGCACACACCATCTGACTGGTCGCAATCACTTATCGTCCCAATATATAAGAAAGGGTCAAAATCATCCTGTGACAACCACAGAGGGATTAGTTTAACAAACATAGTATCTAAAATACTGGCCTCGATAATTATCAAACGCCTAACTAAGACTCGTGAACTACAAACACGAGAGAACCAAGCTGGCTTTAGACCTGGTCGTGGCTGCATCGACCACATATTCACCATTCGTCAGGTTCTAGAACACAGGCATACCTATCGGCGTCCGACGATGGTGGTCTTTCTTGACTTAAAAGCAGCATTTGACTCTGTAGACCGCGAGACTCTGTGGCAGTGTCTGTCATTGAAAGGCGTACCTCAGAAGTACATAAACCTTGTGAAGGCTCTTTACTCGAACACTACTAGTCGAGTCAGGGCTTATGGCGAACTGTCATCTACTTTTGCAACCTCAAGTGGTGTCCGTCAAGGCTGCCCACTTTCTCCATTTTTGTTTAACTTCATCATAGACCTATTGATGGAAATAACACTCTCGTCGACTGAATTCTCGGGTATTGATCTCCTTCCAGGAGGTCCACTTATCGACTTAGAATACGCAGATGACATAGTCCTGTTTGGTGAAGACGCTGACAAAATGCAGAGTCTTCTGGTAGCACTAAGCAACAATGCCAGAATGTTTGGGATGCGCTTCTCTCCCTCTAAATGCAAGTTGTTGCTTCAGGACTGGTCTGCGTCAACACCTGAACTAAGGATAGGGAGTGAAGTAGTCGAACTGTTGACAACTTCACTTATCTTGGAAGTCTGATCAGCCCTAATGGGTTGGTGTCTGACGAAATCTCAGCACGGATTCGTAAAGCTCGTTTGGCTTTTGCCAACTTACGTCACCTTTGGCGGAGGCGAGATATCCGTCTATCAATAAAAGGACGAGTATACTGCGCGGCTGTCCGTTCTGTTTTAATTTACGGCAGCGAAACATGGCCCTTAAGAGTAGAAGACACCCGTAAGCTACTAGTATTTGACCACAGATGCCTTAGAAATATTGCTGGCATCTGCTGGGATCACCGGGTAAGTAATAGTGAGGTTAGACGCAGGGTATTAGGGAATGATGGTAAATCAGTTGATGAGGTTATGAATCTTCATCGACTGAGATGGTTGGGCCACGTATTACGTATGCCTGAACACCGATTACCGCGACGTGCAATGCTAACCGGTGTAGGGGATGGTTGGAAGAAAGTTAGGGGCGGCCAAACCAAAACGTGGCATCAGTGCCTGAAGTCACTAACTTCTAGTCTGAGCCATGTTGGTAGATGCAGACTACTTGGTTGGGGTCCGCGTGACTTTCGTAACCAATGGTTGGAGACCCTTGGTGACATGGCTCAGAATCGATCACAATGGCGTCGGTGTATACACTCTCTGTCTTCTCTTAAACTAAGAGATTAAGATCACTTCACATCTTTCTTTCTACGAACTAATTCTTTCTTCCTATACTATATCCTTATTGCAATCTTTCTCCTATATATTACCACCTTTGACCTAACCACTCCTATGAATCCAGTGTTCATCTTGCTGTGCTAATGAGGTATGGCAACCTGGGCCGATGCATACATGTGCCTGGTCCTACGTTGTAGCTGACTGACTGACTGACCATGGTGTCGGAGAGGATTTAATAAGGTCCTCCTGACTATGCTGTCAAACGTTTTTTATGGTCAAGGACTTTGATGTATGATGACGAGTTCCATTCAACTGATTGTTCAACAATGATCCGTAATCCGTAAGTATTATCACAATTAGTTTGGTTCAAAGTTCGATACGAAACTTTATTTGGTAAATGACTGAGTGATCTTACCAGAACACCAACATCAGCTAAATAAAATTGGATAATCAGAATGCATTCGTAAAAATGAATGGTCAAAATATTCAAACTAATCAAATCTAATTTTAGCTAGTCTATGAACTTGATAAACATTAAAATTAATCACTACGATTTTATATAATCATTGATTAAACTTATGAAGAGAATTTCAACATATACACCATCTAGTTAAAAGCCACGAACTATCTGGGATTTATTTGAAATCTTATTAAGCTAAAATTCTTGTCACGATGGTACTCATTTTATCCATCAGTTAAAGGCAGAAAGGTGCACAAAAACATGTATCGGACTAAGTTGCCAAACCACATGAATACAAAAGTGAAATGAAATAATCAAGTCAAAGCTGAGATAACAGTATCAGAAATTGAAAACAGGACCTTCGAAACCAGTGAGGAACATATCATATTTTCACGGCAGACCACCTATCTGGTCATATTTCCGAAATCAGTCAATACACGACACGGCTATCGAGTATTAAATTATTAGGGAGGAATAAACATTGTGTGAGATTATGTATTGATTTAATGTGGCTTTCGCTCACTATAACATACCTTTGTATCAAATGATGTTACGTAATAATCAAGGGGTTACAGAAGAATAGAAGGATGAAAAGAATTTACGAATCAGGATTATGAAAGATAACTGTCCGCTTGACAGATATGAAGAAAAACGAAAAACATAAAGTCATAATATTGACTGAGTATCAATAAAAAAATGTGACTTCTCATATATTCACTTCAATATGTGTTTGTATCATTTTGATTGAATTTTGTTCAGTATGACAAATTCTTTAACTCATTATCAATGAATCAATGAGTGAATGTATTTAAATGACTAATAATGTTTTTTTAACAATAAACCATTGTTGCAAGATTGTTATTCAAATAGCTGGGGGGCATAAAAAGGTAAAGAAGCTGTAATATCTAAGTAGTGAACTTTAGTTGAGAACTATCACCATGTTGAGGGAGGAGGTGGAGATTTTTGATGATTTGATGAGACAAAATGTTCGATTGTTTGAACTGATGAATAGAATTTCAATCGGTAGATGAACGCATTGATATGATGCGGTCGAGTGATGGATACTCATGCGGCCGTATTATTGATTTAAGCCTTTGAATGATTAGAAATCAAAGGTAAGACTAGTAGTCAAGCGAATAGATGCTTTGTGTAATAATATAAAATGCTTATATACAGAATATGAACACAAACTAATACACACACTTCGTTATAAGAGAAACCCAGTTAGACGTTTTGCATATAGAGCTAAAAAGTTATAGTCAAACGACACCACAAAATGAACTAGAGTTTACTTATATGTTGGTTGAAATGAATTATCCACAAGGTTTTCTGAAGAAACTTGCACATAATCAACAGGAAGATAGTGACGTCAACAGTTAGTAAGAAACCTCTCTTCCTGAAGCTATGACTCGACGGAGACATAGATGGAGATGTGCTACGAGATAGACTGTTTAGAGCAACGAATAAAACGTTTGATACAGCTAAACTCTGTCTACCGTGCTCCGGCCGACCTATGGTGATTCCTCAACTAAAAGATAAGATACCTAGTTTTGTCACATCCATGTGTTTCTACGAATTCATCTGCTCCTGTAGAGAAAGGTATGTTGTGTGAGAAATAAGATACTATTCGGGCACAAAAACTGATGCAGGTAGTTTCCTTAGGGGCCATACATTGAGCCTTTGACATAGAAGTCTGATTCACAAGGCAGTGAAACAACGTTAAAAGATGCAGTTCTATTTATGTTCTGTTCTAATTTACGGCTGCGAAACGGCCAATAAGAGTAAAAGATACTCGTAAGTTACTAGTATTTGATACAGGGTATTAGGGAATGATGGTAAATCAGTTGATGAGGTTGTGAGTCTTCATTGACTGAGATGGTTGGGCTACGTGTTACGTATGCCTGAACACCGATCATCACGGCGCACAATTCAAACCAGTGTTGTTGACGGTTGGAAGTTAGGGGCGGCCAAACGAAAACGTGGCATCAGTCATTGAAGTCACTAACTTCTGACCTGAACCATGTTGGTAGATAGAGACTACTTGGTTGAGGTCCGTGCGACTATCGTAACCAATGGTTGGAGACTGTGGGTGACATGTCTCAGAATCGATCACAATAGCGTAGGTGTATACACTCTCTGTCTTCTCTCAAATAATGAGATTAAAATCGCTTCATATCTTTCTTTCTACGAACTAATTCTTTCTCCCTATACTATATCCTTACTGCAATCTTTCTCCTATATATTACCACCTTTGACCTAACCACTCCTATGAATCCAGTGTTCATCTTGCTGTGCTAATGAGGTATGGCAACCTGGGCCGATGCATACATGTGCCTGGTCCTACGTTGTAGCTGACTGACTGACTGACCATGGTGTCGGAGAGGATTTAATAAGGTCCTCCTGACTATGCTGTCAAACGTTTTTTATGGTCAAGGACTTTGATGTATGATGACGAGTTCCATTCAACTGATTGTTCAACAATGATCCGTAATCCGTAAGTATTATCACAATTAGTTTGGTTCAAAGTTCGATACGAAACTTTATTTGGTAAATGACTGAGTGATCTTACCAGAACACCAACATCAGCTAAATAAAATTGGATAATCAGAATGCATTCGTAAAAATGAATGGTCAAAATATTCAAACTAATCAAATCTAATTTTAGCTAGTCTATGAACTTGATAAACATTAAAATTAATCACTACGATTTTATATAATCATTGATTAAACTTATGAAGAGAATTTCAACATATACACCATCTAGTTAAAAGCCACGAACTATCTGGGATTTATTTGAAATCTTATTAAGCTAAAATTCTTGTCACGATGGTACTCATTTTATCCATCAGTTAAAGGCAGAAAGGTGCACAAAAACATGTATCGGACTAAGTTGCCAAACCACATGAATACAAAAGTGAAATGAAATAATCAAGTCAAAGCTGAGATAACAGTATCAGAAATTGAAAACAGGACCTTCGAAACCAGTGAGGAACATATCATATTTTCACGGCAGACCACCTATCTGGTCATATTTCCGAAATCAGTCAATACACGACACGGCTATCGAGTATTAAATTATTAGGGAGGAATAAACATTGTGTGAGATTATGTATTGATTTAATGTGGCTTTCGCTCACTATAACATACCTTTGTATCAAATGATGTTACGTAATAATCAAGGGGTTACAGAAGAATAGAAGGATGAAAAGAATTTACGAATCAGGATTATGAAAGATAACTGTCCGCTTGACAGATATGAAGAAAAACGAAAAACATAAAGTCATAATATTGACTGAGTATCAATAAAAAAATGTGACTTCTCATATATTCACTTCAATATGTGTTTGTATCATTTTGATTGAATTTTGTTCAGTATGACAAATTCTTTAACTCATTATCAATGAATCAATGAGTGAATGTATTTAAATGACTAATAATGTTTTTTTAACAATAAACCATTGTTGCAAGATTGTTATTCAAATAGCTGGGGGGCATAAAAAGGTAAAGAAGCTGTAATATCTAAGTAGTGAACTTTAGTTGAGAACTATCACCATGTTGAGGGAGGAGGTGGAGATTTTTGATGATTTGATGAGACAAAATGTTCGATTGTTTGAACTGATGAATAGAATTTCAATCGGTAGATGAACGCATTGATATGATGCGGTCGAGTGATGGATACTCATGCGGCCGTATTATTGATTTAAGCCTTTGAATGATTAGAAATCAAAGGTAAGACTAGTAGTCAAGCGAATAGATGCTTTGTGTAATAATATAAAATGCTTATATACAGAATATGAACACAAACTAATACACACACTTCGTTATAAGAGAAACCCAGTTAGACGTTTTGCATATAGAGCTAAAAAGTTATAGTCAAACGACACCACAAAATGAACTAGAGTTTACTTATATGTTGGTTGAAATGAATTATCCACAAGGTTTTCTGAAGAAACTTGCACATAATCAACAGGAAGATAGTGACGTCAACAGTTAGTAAGAAACCTCTCTTCCTGAAGCTATGACTCGACGGAGACATAGATGGAGATGTGCTACGAGATAGACTGTTTAGAGCAACGAATAAAACGTTTGATACAGCTAAACTCTGTCTACCGTGCTCCGGCCGACCTATGGTGATTCCTCAACTAAAAGATAAGATACCTAGTTTTGTCACATCCATGTGTTTCTACGAATTCATCTGCTCCTGTAGAGAAAGGTATGTTGTGTGAGAAATAAGATACTATTCGGGCACAAAAACTGATGCAGGTAGTTTCCTTAGGGGCCATACATTGAGCCTTTGACATAGAAGTCTGATTCACAAGGCAGTGAAACAACGTTAAAAGATGCAGTTCTATTTATGTTCTGTTCTAATTTACGGCTGCGAAACGGCCAATAAGAGTAAAAGATACTCGTAAGTTACTAGTATTTGATACAGGGTATTAGGGAATGATGGTAAATCAGTTGATGAGGTTGTGAGTCTTCATTGACTGAGATGGTTGGGCTACGTGTTACGTATGCCTGAACACCGATCATCACGGCGCACAATTCAAACCAGTGTTGTTGACGGTTGGAAGTTAGGGGCGGCCAAACGAAAACGTGGCATCAGTCATTGAAGTCACTAACTTCTGACCTGAACCATGTTGGTAGATAGAGACTACTTGGTTGAGGTCCGTGCGACTATCGTAACCAATGGTTGGAGACTGTGGGTGACATGTCTCAGAATCGATCACAATAGCGTAGGTGTATACACTCTCTGTCTTCTCTCAAATAATGAGATTAAAATCGCTTCATATCTTTCTTTCTACGAACTAATTCTTTCTTCCTCTACTATATCCTTATATGCAGTCTTTCTTTTATATATTACCACCATTGAATCCGGTGTTCATCTTGCTGTGCTAATGAGGTATGGCAACTTGGACCGATGCATATATGTGCTTGGTCCTGTGTTGTAGATGGCTGACTGAGTGACTGCAGTTTCATGGTAGCCGGTGACCAATAGTAGGTTCATACGCCATTTCTTCCATCAGGATCCTGGAGCTCATGTGCACCATTGGCCTGGAATTACGGTTTTCCAACTCCTCTAGGTGGATTCTCCATGTCTACCAACCCGGTTAAAGCGCTGAACGTTTACTTTTTGTCCTCTCTATTTCGTAAACAACACCCACACCGCAAAAAGACATTGAGTAGGAATTCATTAACAGTGGATGCATTATTGTAAGTGTAAAAACTACTAATGAATAAGGTTATACGCGTAACGTTAAGACTTCCTCTTTCTATTGTTGAAACAAAGAAAACTAAAAAATAATTTATATGCATTAGTAGAATTTGAAATGAATTATACGGAGGGAGAGGGGGAAAAAACAAGATAGATGATGTTTGAACAAATGTATTTTCATCATTATTGTACGTGTCTTGTTGTATGTAGTTTAATAAGGAAACATAATTATCTCACAAAGCTGACAAACAATAAACAAATCTAAAAGTCTGATTTTTTTAATGAAATGAAATATCATTTACAAAACAATGAATAAATTGAGGAAAGTTAATAATCTTCATCAGAAACAAATTTTACGAAAGGTTAGTCAGCGATAATGACAAATTAAAACGTCAGGATATTATAAATGTTCAAATTATTACCAACATCAATTTGTAGAAATGAATATAAAAACAATAATCTACCTTGGCTTGAAAGTTTACATCTGCCCCACGTTCAATAAGTACACGTGCTACAGCCACGTTACCGTAATGAGCAGCAATATGTAGTGGAGTGAAACCAGGCTTGAAGAGGGTAGAAAAAAAATAATCCGAAGATAAAGATAATTTATTTCACTATAATATCAAAATATAGTGCTGTTCTCAACGATATGATACGTGTGTTGGCAAAGAAGTGGACAATTATTTACAAACACTGTCTGAAGAAAGGAAACAGTTCAAATTTGAAATAAATCATGTGAACTGATACAAATGGCTCAGTAAGGTGCTAAACAAGTGAATAATTCAACACATAACTAGAGAATAATACAAAACATTATTGTTGCTATATTTGTAACGAAGCCGAAAAGTCAGTATTTCAACTTATGAATCAGTGTAATGAATAAATTATGGGCTTTAATAACACATTTATTAGTTAAAATGATTATCAATACAATTTCGGTTTACAAGGATAACACAAACTTTTCACTTGATTAACACATTATGAAATAACCAGAAAAACGTATCTGATCATTATCACATAGATAGCAGTAAAATAATAAAATTTCTTATGTTTGCTATGCTTCGCTGATCTTATATGGAATGAACGAAAGCTTTTTCTATTGAAAACTGAAAACCAAGTTACATGCGATCCACGATCGGAGACAATGGTATTTTTTCCACCTAAGGTACTACATTTAGAAACATATTACTTCCCACAAAGATTAGTTACATACAAAAAGGAATGATCTTTCAGTGAGAAGATACAACGTTAAGGCATAAATAACCGACTGAATTTCTTGACTTGAAATTTAAAAAAAACACCTATCATAGTTCGAAATAAAACTGAAATGTGACTATCGGAAACTTTGATTTAAGTGTGTTAGGACCTGAGAAACATAATGAATGGTAACTTTGGGATCCTTTTATGGATCAATACTAAACGTATATTTTTATTGCATGATTATTAGTTAGCTAAACTATGCATATTCATGTTCCTCTTATTATAAGCTTTATTTTGACCCATAAACTATTATTATACGTTTTACCCTTCGTGAGTTATACCCAGTATATTAATTACTACCTCCCTCATTCACAGCCACATCTGGCTAATTCCTGTACAAATGTTGTTTCATATTTTATTGGTACGTTGTGGTCTGCTTGATTGGTATATAAACAGAATATGTTTGAAATACATGATTCATATCGCAGAGGCTGAGACTTGTGTTCTGGACTTAAATGGCTGGGCTAGACAGGAAGCAGGACCAATCAGAACTCTAGACTGCTCGCACATGTTTTACGCGTCTTCGATCCGATCGATAAGTCACTGCTCTCTAATCGGCGGTCACAACTTATAACAAAGTGACAAAACCAAAATTCGGTATTGTAAGTTACATTAAATATAAATGAGTGATATTCATATAAAAAACATGAACGATTTCTTTAAAATGTCTGAAATGATAGATAGCAACTGAGCTCCAGATAGACAAGTTTCAGTTTCCATTGGTTTGTGAATTACCTGATAAACTTTTGACTTACAAAAATTTGCGTTCACTAAAAACTTTCCTCAATCAGTTGTCATTTTTGTGTCTGTTCACTAGGGAGTGATGTTATAGCAATACAGTTTTCCTGGTTAGTCATTATCTACTTATATCAACTTGGGCGATCGACAGTGGGTGTAAATAATTCATACAATTTTCTCCCGTTACGGCAGTCTCGAATTTACAGCAAGATTACGAAAACTTTATTGGTGAACTAAATCTATATGTATTTGTTTGGACCAGGTAAAACACCTATGAAATCCAAAGGTCACATAGTTTACTAAGGTCATGTACAGAATTATCGAGCATAGGGCAAAGCCAAAATAAACAAAAATTATGTGACCTTAGACGACTTTATATTATTATTATTGGCTTTATTCAATATTATATTTTGGTAAAATATAGAATTCTCAGCACAGGGTATTTCAACAAGTTTCTTATAAACAAAAAAAAAACAGAAACAAAGACAAAAAAAAGTTTTAAAAAAACCCGAAAAACTGTACAAATTTTAAAATTAGAGACATGTTAAGAATGCAGGTTATTGACTAGATTAACTCTAACAACCTGTTCGTCGCAGAGTATATTAGCTAGGTAAGGTATTATAGAAATTTTATACTTTTGCTTGAGTGCTTGGATTTTAATGTAATTACGTCTCGTTCTACCAGAAGATATACGAGGTGAAAGATAAGAGTGAAGGGGATGGTTAGCATCTGATAAAATAACACCTGTCAAGAGTTTGCATGACTTTAGATATCTATCCAGAACCATATTAATTATGACCTCGAAAGATTCACCACACACCTTGTTAACTGCCTTCAGCACTCTCCGCAATACAGCAGCAAAGTCTTTTCTCAAAAGCCCGGGAAAGAATAATGGAGAACAGTAAAGAATAATAGGTAATATGCAAGAATTGACAAATTGTAAGAGTAAATAACGAGTAATCCCAAGAGCATGCAACCTCTTTATGTAATAAGTCGGACGGAAAACCTTCTTCGATAACAATAAAACGTGAGAAGACCAACAGAGATCAGAGGAAAAGGTAACACCAAGACATTTGACCTTCGACACTGTGTTTATCAAAGAGTCTCCAATGACACAAGCATTATGGGATCTCAAGATGGTGTTTAGATGCCGTTCATGTCTCATGCTAAAGTTAACAGCTTGACATTTAGACAGATTAAGTCTGAGACCATTACCAACAGACTAACAATCAATACAAGACAAAAACCCATTCATTTATATGGGATGTAAAGAAGAAGAAATAAGCATACATACAGTGAGATGATCCGCATATTTCATAAAAGTGTTTTCCGTGGAAGATGGCAGATCATGCAGAAAAAAAGAGAAGAAATGGTGAAAGAACAGATCCTTGTGGTACATCTTCATGAGACAGTAGAGACTCTGAACACTTTCCTCTAAATACAGTGTACTGGTCCTTACAAAGAAGTAGGAACATAGCCAATTTATTATCCAGCAGTCAGTGTTGACGCTGATGAACTTGCTAAGTAAACGTTGTCTTGGTACAGAATCGAAAGCTGAAGTATAGTCCAGAAAAGCGCATCGAACATACTTCCTACCGCTTTCTAAGTTGAACACGATATTGTGATGCAGAACAGCAACAGCATCTAAGGTGCTTCTTTTGCATCTGTAGGCAGACTGATACGGATCAATACACTCTTTTATCGCAGGCTGAAGTGGAAGTATTAATAATTTTTCCATTGTTTTGAGGAAGGGTGGAGTTATTGCAATAGATCTAATCACCAGATACATTCTTGGGTACAGGGATTATCTTCATCTTTCTCCACATTTTCGGTATGAGATTAGATGAAAATGATTTGTTAAAGATAGTCGTGAATGGATAACATAGGACGTCAGCACATTTTTCAAAAAGGAGGTTAGGGATACCATCAGATCCCAAACATCGGGATGAATTAAGTGACTGGAGACATCTTCGGACATAAGTTTCAGTGAAACTAGAAACACAGCTATTCTTTAAACCTGTGGATGAATGGAGCATTAAATAAAATGACTGACGTACAAAAGACTTATTTAAGTCACAAACATTTAGTTGGTTATCGCTCCTAATCTGTCTGTCACCTGTAATTTCTTAAAAGAGTTTCCACATACTTGGAGAGTTTTTGAGTAAACATAGAGTTGAGACGCCTAATCTCTAGGTTTATCAGACCATTTAGCTTACGAGCTTCATTAAAGTTTTTCTCCTTTTAAATTCTTTCTTTCAACCTCCGTAGTCGTTTTAGTTGTGAAGATGTGAGTAGATCAAAACTTACAAAAACGATACTAGACAGTCGTCATGTAAATCAATGAACCAAGATTCTTGAATTGTGATGAGCACAATTACGATACATATTTTGAATTAGTAGGAAATGAAGATAATCCACTTTGTTGATTAGTGATCGACAGTTAGAATTTAGCAGCTCGGGAATCGACATATGATTAATGGTCATTCTCTTTAACGCATATTGCCAACCACCACGATGTCTTTTATAGTACTTTTTTGTAACTTGTGCAGCGAAAGGTCGTAGCCTTTCATAAACGCGCCCGTATAGGTTATGCGATTAATGGACATAATGAGACGTTAAAAACAAAATGAAAAAACAGATAACTTGTTGAAACAATTAGATGGCAGAAAAAGGTAGCCCAGATATTCAAGCAGGCGTCCGTACATATATATAAACATAGGTCATCTTTTTTTAAAGGAAAAACAAAGCCCAAACATATGGTGATAATCGTAGGTAAATACATAACATCAAGTTACAATGAACAATAGTCATAAAAGCTTTCCATTGAGTAGAATACACCCATTAGGTCATAGAACAATTAGTTTGGAAAATGAAGTCTATACAAGAACTTCAATATTACAATCGCATATACATGTGAAAAATTAAGACCCGAACAACAAGCTAGAAGTTTAAGAGTTGATTTTATGGGATCTTGTTTAGTTTGTTAGTTGTATTCGCTACAGAAGCACTGAATAGCGGTTCCGCCCTAATGTAGGACTGTCAAAAGTATGCCCCTCGGTTTTTTCAATGGTAACCTAAGGTCATCTAACGACGAGTATCACATAAAAATTGTGTTTGTAAGAATATTAAACCAGTTTCAAGTGAATAACCATGAATGTCATTAAACCAAAAACTCAAAGTAAAAATCACATACTGACAATCAAGAAATCTAAATCGGAAAATAATATGGAAGACAACTATGGAAAAATGAAATCGCTATAAAGGATTATTTTGTTCTACTAAGAACTTAGGGAATGTAGAAAGTATGCAGGATTGACAGTAAACTTGGCCAAATGACTATAGTTCATGAAATTCGTTTAAGAACTGAATAAAAATTGTTATTTTTCATCATTCGATTACGTGATAAATTATTTTAGAGTTTCCATAATAAATTCATTCCTTATATTCTCGCATCTTTTCTAAACTTTAATCACCTTTCGCTTATAATCTATCCCATGTTACAGTTGTTATCATGTAAATTTGACATCGATTTTCATTCTCTAGAAACGTGTCTCTATGTCTTCCGGGATTCTCACATATGGTAAAATACAAATATTCGTCCACTTTACAATTCTTTCAACTTCATAAAATGATATAAAGTACACATACTGTACATAATAGTTATTACTATTGTTTCTAGTTTGTAAGTAGCTGAAAAGAAACCATACTAAGTAAATAAAATCATTTTATTTTCCTACATTTACTGTTCTTAGTTTAGTCAAATTATCACTGGAGAAAATCTCATAAAATTTAATGCTTTTCTAAAACCTAGTCATTGTTAAATCTGGTACAAGGTTACTACCGCTTCACTTGCTATAATATATTACCAAGACCAATGGCAAAGAGAAAAATAATAATAAATATAGTACTAGTGATAATAAAAATAAATATACAGAATAGTTTTAAAGATAATAACAAGTGAGATTGTGCCACAGACTGATTTGGAACCACATTACTTAAGGTCTTCAATCGTTGATTATGATTGTCGTACAAACATCACTAAAACTAGATAGTTTGTACGGTCGAGATCAACGGTCAACAATTACATGGACCAATGACACGTTTTGGCTCTGCCTAACTTTCTGTTAGCTTAGTCCTACTCCAGCACGTTCAACGTGATTGAAGAAATTATTCAAGATTCCAGTCTGGTAATAAACCCCAAACCCAAGTTTATTGTCGGTCGAGATTCATCGGCAAAGCGTACCTGCAATCATGATGGAACGAATGGTTTGCACGGTGTTCGAACCAACATTACACAGTAACAAATAACACGACATCTATGTTTAGGAGGTTCAGGTGACTATTTTCAAACATTTAACATCGAATCACTAAGACTAGTGGTCAAACTGCAACTTGATCAGCACTACATACATGACACTGGTTACCATTAAGTGATCAATCAATAAAACGACTATATTTTTGTTGTTTCTGCTAGGTTATCTTCAGTCAAATCATAAATTAAAAATGGTATTAAAATATTAGTCAGAGAGAACTTTCTGAAATCACATTTGTATTTCTTTTAAAAATCCATTTTAAACATTCCTCTATAAGGCTTAATTAGATATTTTATACTTGGTGTAATTTTGATTTTACACTTCACTAGTAAACTTAATGTGCAAGTTTAGATTTATGTAATCTAACTTCGAGTTACAATTTGTGAGCTTTAGTGATAATTTCTCTGAACATAGTGAGATTTGAACTTGGAATTGTTAAACTACCATTTACTATTCATATACTTACTGTTTTCATTATAAATCTTAACGTGAGCCATACTTTCCTCATAATTATTTTAATACTAAGAACAGATCACCATTTTATGATGTAATGAATAAGATAGAAGTGTGAATTATTAGCAACTAATCTAATGATCGAGTAGCTGGTATGAAGAAGCAAAGCATTAATTCTATTGCAAAGTCAATGATACGCGTCCTCCCACCATCGATTTGTAAAATGACTTCGAATCAGTTTACCTTTACATCCATTAACCTTTTTCACATTGGGTGTTATGTTTTTACACGAAATAACCTATTTTCCTGGACGATCACCTTGTTATCTCATATCAGTTCAGTTGTGAGCTTTATATCAATGATTCGGTCGCCTGAGCAGTTATCATTCTGTCATATGGTATTATTGCATTTCATCTATCGGCCTTATCATTGGATTCATTCATTCAAACAACCGAAAACCCGATCATCAAATCATAAAAAAACTTAACTTCATAACAGTGATGTCTTTGCAGTCACAAATAATAGTTCTGTTGAGAAAAAGAAACTGGAATGAAACAATTGTTCAATACGTAACTGATTACCTTAATTGAAATCTAAATACTCTGGTGTAGACCATTTCTACTCGTATAAACTAGTTGCTTAATACGATTTTAATGTCATGTTGAACCTATTCCAAACGAAACTATATCTTATAATATTGAGAGAAACAATAGCGACAATATAACAAGAGGTAGTGGGGAAGAATAACCTAAAAAATCTTAGGGACAGAAGAAAGCAATATGAAGAAAAAACGCTTATAGAAGGTGATTGAGACTAGAAATGATAAAGTTAACACAGCAACCAATTTCGGCCATATCACTGGTTCCTGCTCTATCATTTATTTAATTTGACACAACTTGATATTTTCCTGTTATTGGTGCCACACACCGAGGCATAGGTGCATCCAGCTGACGAGTCCTGAATAGGACGAAAAGTATTTTCAATATTCCACACCTAGTTGCTAACCAACTTTAGAAAAATTCGATTTTTAATTTAACTTAATAGCCAAGAGTATAAGTTTATTTGCTCAGATTTAAGTCACAAAATTCCTCTCAGGTCAACTGACACACTATCTTGGTTCACCTACAGCAAATTAGACAGAAACATAGGTTAAACCTGAGAGCTGATTATGCACCAGCCAGTATATCAATCTAGAAATTCCTTGAAAAGACTACACGTCATGAAATGAATCAAATTCTTTAATACACCACCAAATCGAACAAAAACATTAGTAAACGATTATGTAATAACACCAAACGTAAATCCAAAAAGTAAAGCAATCACTTTGCAAAAGAAAGTCAGAAATTAAAAGTAATTTCAATACAATTAGAAATGTATCATAAACGTGACTCCCAAACCAAACAGTTTTATAGTAGATAGGGACAAATGATAATAATCACATTAACCATAATTCACCGGATATTCCTCATATAAATTTCAATGTAATATGTGTAACCAGCTTTGAGTTATGCGTTCCGTGTATGAATAATGCTATTGTCTAGAGTGAAAGTAAACAGAGTCGGATTTTAATTTTCCATCTAGTGATTTATACCCATTAGGGTATGGCTTTATTTTTGATGTAGTTATTATCAATGTTATCGATTGTATAGTTTTACATTAAAAGTGAAATATACAGACAGAATGAATTTTACACGAGAACTTGGTCAGAAAAAGTTTCTACACAGAAGACACTTTTTTAATTATTATTACACAGTAAGAATATCAATCGATACTGGACAACAAAACTGTTTACAAAAAGCATTTCGTATCATTAAAAATCCATCTGTTAAAATTTAGTAAACTGGGATTGTGCATGCACTGTCTAGATAATCACAGACACAGAAAAATAGTAGCTAGCTCAATCAGCTAACAGTCTCTGAAACTGAGTTTATTATTGTAAGCCAATAATATATGTAAGAAATTATTTTATTTGCTTTACATTACCACTGAATTTACATATTTAGCAAAAAAATCACAATGGTAAAGAAATTCCTTTTTTAATTGAAGTTATTTTTTTTAATGGACAGAAAACTGTGTTGTCCACATTAGACTATTTGATAAGTGTGCAAGACAACATAAAGATAGTTTACGTCAAAGACTGTGATATGCCGAACAATCGTTAAGTCCTAACTTAGGACTAATCAAAAGTCGGACCTTCAGCCCAATCAGTGATTAAATCCAAGGTCGCAAAGCCTCGTGGCTAACGTGATGACTTTACAGTACTGACTCGAAAGCAAAAGGCCTATATTATTTTGAAGTTCAATTCGCGATGTAGCATGATAATCATCAGTAAGTAGCTGCAACACACATTACATTGTTAAACCCCACATGTCATAGCTTATCTGGAGAACTTTCTTGTTCTATTATTAAGTTGGCCACTAGTGACCACATTATAATCAATAAAGTTGGGGGAGTTCGTGAAGAGTTATTCGCTATATGTACTCGAATACTTATTAGGATTTATGGGGAAGTTATAAAATGTAAGCTACATGTAGCTCATTTACTACAGGTTGCACCTTAACAGTATCAAAACCAAGATTAGAAATCAAGCCCTTCCATCTCTTGTACGTGCATTTTTAATTAAATTCTGAAAAGAAAACAGTAAAACTCACTTGAGATTGATGATTCACATTAACTTCTGCATTGTTCAATAACAAACTCACAGCATTTGCATCATCTTTTCGTGCTGCAATATGTAGAGCTGGCATGCCACCTCGACTACGTGAATCTCTTTCTAGAAGATGTGCCACAACACGATCATGTCCTTGTTGTAAGGCTACTGCTAAAGGAGTGAAACCATCCTGTAGAAGAAAAAAATGAGAACGAACAACAATACAATCGATCTCAGTTATTACAACACAGAAGTGACTGATAAGGGAATTTAGTGAACGAGTAATCTTTCATTTTAAGCAGAATGGAATATTCACTTATGTTGTTTTAGTAATCCGTCGTCGCGTTCACCTTTTCCTAATTAGTTGCTTTAATGTAATTCACTAGCCAAGTACTCATTTATGTATTTGGCATTGAAGAGCATTATGTGAGGGGCTAGAAATGCTGCGTGTCTGCTTAAACTGACGTAAATGGGAGCAAGTTTGATCCTGTGACTCACTGATTGAAATGCAACTAGTTTAACTATTAACTACCGCTGTATCACTTTATCTACTGACATTTTATTTTGTTATACGTATTCAACGGTTAATAACAGGTTATATATATGGTAGAGTTGTATCAAAGCCTGGTTGTAAAAACCCCCTATTCACAACCACTTTTGACTTGTTTATGTATAATTGTTATTTTTCATTTTATAATATTGTGCGGTTCGATATGTCTGCATATAAACCACGTCCGTTTGAAATATGGATACAGTTGAAACTGGTTGCTATTCCTGGACTAAAGGTAGGGCACAAAGTGCTTGCGAATAACAGACTGGTGGTAACTTAGCTGCATCCGCTTAAGGTCAATAGTACTGCTTAGGTGTGTAATATGCTATAGAGGAAATGGTAGATGCTGAAATAGAGAAAAATTGGAATAAGTATCTGATTGGTGACTTGGAACGAGATATTAGTCAGTGGTCCTTATGAAATGACAAAGAATTGTTGCAATATTACGAAAATTAGTGATAGGAATTCTTTACTAAAAGTGTTGAATTACATTGGTTACTATTAGCATCACTACTAATATTCTAGTCTAATAAAATTTAAGGGATGTTTCCGTACATCAATCAATAGGTTAAATATCAACTTATAAAAATTAAAATAATGCAGACAAAAAACATCTGTGCAAGATAATGAATAGGAGTGTTAGGGATGATTCGTTTGTTCAAATCAAGGTATAAGATAAAACCAGAAAAATGCATAACTGTCCAAGAAAATGTGGAAGAAATGATTGATTTTAAAGTCAACTTTTCTGTAGTAATAACAACAACAATAATAATAAATCTAACCAATGTGCGACAGAGAATTTCAGCTAATATTTCCCTAAAATTTATATTTACATACAAGCAATAAATTCTACACTAGTTTATATACCTTTGAAGTAAATGACTTTGACTCAGTAATATCTAACACATGAACATTCTTATATGATCATATATAATAGGCATTTTCTTTAAGAAAAAAAGAATCATAACATCTTTCATCAGTGGTTATTGACTTTTGGTTGGTCTCATGACAACAAAAATATTAAAAATTAGGTGAAAGGAAACCGATATTATTTATCTGCCGAACGCCGCTTACTTTATTCGGCCTCTTCCTAATAAATGATGAGAACAAAATACCATTGAACAAACTTACTGACTACAGTTTAAATTAATGGGAAAAGGTATGAATGATGTTAATCACAGTAGTAATAATAAACAAGAATTACACATTTCTTCTCTTATGCTTTAACTCACTGCACTCTTAATCTAAGTAAGAATTGAATCAGTTTGTTATAACACTACTGGAAATCTCAGATAATTGTGGGAATGTTCAGTTTTTTTATGCACAATTTCGGAAGTGTGTGAGGAAAAGACGAGAACTTAATATGAAAAGTATGTAGACCATTGGGCAGACAACAAATATTTCAAAAGTTAAGAGGTGAACAAGTGTAAGATTATGTTTGATTTAAATGTAATCGTCACTCAGTTAAACTCTCCATTATTTCAGTGAGATCCCCACTTGACTTTTGAATCAATTCAGAAATTTTTCAACTTATTATGACATTTATTTACATTAATTGTGTGAAGTTTGCTCGGTATGACAAACTTTGAATGATTGTGATTAAATATTTGTATAAATGAGTGTAGCCAAATAATTAATAATCTTGCGTCTCTCTCTTCCTCATTTTATCTCTAGTTAATGGGTAGGAAAAAGGATGGGAAGTAGTCTAGTTCATTGTCATTGACGTTGAGGTTGGAAATTACACAACATAATTCTAAAAGAAAGACCAATCAATATGACAAAGCCAACAATATATTATTTGATAGTGAACTACATTGTGACATGTGATGGAGAATGGTAGTCTGCAGCCTACGCTTCATTGGGAGTAACAGGCGTAAGTAAGTAAGTACATTGTAACATATAAGTTACAATTATATGACAACAATGCGCATCGATCAGCAAACGCTAATATGAGACATACTATCCAGCTGCTGGGATGGAAATCAATGAAACAGATTTTGAATCTAGTAAGTTAAACTAATCCAACGCATTTATTAAGTACAAGTTTATTTAGCCTCGAGTTAAACTGTTACTATGATGATTAATTAGTAATGTAACATGCCTGCCAAAGACCAATTGAGTGCAATGGAATTCTAACCAACAGCAAACCATTAGATGGAAGAATACTTAGATGTTTCAAACCAATGGTTTAGACATGACTTTAGGAGCCACCGGATCCACAGTTTCCTATTGCAACAATAATGATAACGATTGAAATATGACCGGATTCTTTAGCACAAACTAATTATATTACACGAAATACTTTCACAAAAATAGAAAAGAAAATTCTATTATCCCAGCAAACAAAAATTCCCATATTTCTATGACACAAAAAATAATTGGAAGCTTTTTTAGCAGTAAAAAATCATTTTAGAAAACAAAGATTTACTTCAGTAGTTAATGCTTGGTTTGCACCACGTTGAAGTAGAAGATCAACTACATTAAGATGATTTTCCTGAGCAGCCATATACAATGGGGTAAATCCAATCTACAATTCAACATTTGAAAAAGAAATAAACAAATTCATGAACACTTAATAATGGGGGTTTTATGTAGATTCTGTACAACTTGAAGTTGGTTGCTACAATGAACTGACAGCAGACGGAAAGATCTACTGAAAAGTACAAAGCACCAGACAGCTATTTCATTGGCGTTTATGACTTCTGGATAATGCGTGCGCACGCATTCACGATCTGATAAAGAATTCAAATCAGAAAACTCAGGTTACCAGTGAGCACAAAACCATTAAGCTATTAAGTAAAAATTGGATAAACCCAATCTTTGACTAAAATCAACTTGTGATACACAACAGCGTATAGGAAAGTCATCGGAGAATAGCTGTTGCATCACACTTGACTGATCACATAAGTCATGGCTTCTCGACAGAACTTCAAGAAATCTTTCTCAAAAGTCATACAATTATTGATTACTGGTGTTTCTTATAGTTTGAAGGGAGTTTTCATCAAGAACTATTAGTAAGTCAAATAATGACGATCAAACCGACCAACAACATTCAGTTAGAATGAGTAACTCTTAAATAGTATCTGATTTACAGATAGAATCTAGTGTTCAAATACAAATATCATGAATAAATATATTTCGTCAAACTGACATTCCATTTCAGTAATATGAGAGTAGCCATGTAATCGGTTTGTATGGCGAGTTAATAACGTATAACATGGTGTGTGTAAATAAAAATGTACTGATATATGCGTATAACGATTCGCGTATCTGACTTAGAGCCACACTTCAAATGGAAAGTAATATTGTCCCAGCACCAAATTAGGAACTGAGGAGATCTGTTTAAACACGAGTGTTCTAACCAAGTGACCACCCTGTATAAATAAACGTAAGTCAGGAGTTATGCGTAAATTTGCTTTTTAAACCGTAACCTACGCAAGTTCTTTGTTGGTTGATATCTTACAAATGAATTGAAACATGTCTTTACGCAACCGAGCTGGAAAATTTAGTTATAAATTCTAGAAACATCGACAACAAGCTACCTACAGAAACTAATAATAATCAGTTTTATCATTTATAAATAAACAGTAATTAGTGAAAGTAGGGTTCTACACTGATTCAGTATTCAGAAGCGTATAACGTTAATTACTTCTGAACTGAACAAAGGAATTATGAAGCACATGAAAAAAGTTATCCATGAGTCCATAAAGTGGTGATCAGAAGTCGACACTATCAGATCAGTACAAGGAAAACGAAAAGAATACACTTAGGTAACCATCTTTGTTACATGCATAAAACATATCTTGTAACTTATGAATAATTACTTAAATGGTAAACAAGTTCATTCATGAAAAAAATAGTTTAGATTGAACAATGTAATAAAACACTATATTCTAAACTAAACCATAGATTTTACAGTGCATCAATATTAAAAATAGTTGGTGGTAAACCTGACTGATAAATGTCACAACATAACTAAACTGGCGTCGATTAGCTACAATTAAGTTACTCTTCGATGAAAAATAAGTTCCTGAGAAATCTATTAATTCGACAAATTTTATTGTTCGCTTTTACGATAAAGTATGATGATAGCTAGTTTCTCCCAATACTCGCCAATTAGCTAATTAATTAACCATTTCCGCTAAGACTTACAACTGACTGACGATTTATATTGGCACCAGCATCCAAAAGTAGCTTGACAACTTCGAAATGACCAGCTAAACTTGCGATATGAAGTGCTGTATTTCCTTTCTTAGTAGGAGCATCGAAATCTGCTCCACGTCGGAGTAGCTCATCGACAACATGAACATAACCTTCTTTTGAGGCTAAATGAAGTGCAGTAAGTCCAATCTGAAATATATTAAGCAGAAAAGAGTAATATAATTAGCAATCTAAAAAGGCTAAAATTAGATTAAATGATTGGTGAGAACAGTGAACCAGACAAACAGTAACCACACATACTTAAACTATTGATAGTTTTGATGTTTCAGTGTATTTAGTCACATTTTAAAAAATCCTCACCATTCGAAAGTTTAAATACTGAATACGTTACATTACCATCTTTTTAGCTTTTACAGATGTTTCAATCTTATTAAAGATATTCATTACCAAAATTCATCAACCCAAACTGAATTTAAAAAAGGTAAGATAGAAGGATTAATGATTTCAGTACACAGCTTAAACGTCCGTTCCAACGAATTCCATTTGAGGATGAGTAGTAGTATCAATAGCTTTCATTGAAATGTGCGTCCAACAGACAAGTACATAAACTTGTACTTGGTACGCGTTTGCTACAGAATCGAACTCATATGCTCATGAACACTGTGACTGGTAGTTTATATAGATTGTAAATATATAGTTATAAGTTGAACCCGCAGTAATCACTAACTTTGTTCAGCTAATAAAACGACTAGCAAACTGTATATCAATCTTTAAAAAATGAAAATATTTCCTATGAGTAGCATAATGTTTCTTGTATGGTGGATATAATAATAAAATCAGCAGTAGTTACTCAGTAACCAAATACTAAAACTAAAAAATCACAAATACATAAAAATCCATGAGTAAACCAAATCAATTGATTTCACTTGGAGCCCTTCTAGGGTTACTGACGGCCCAGAACTCGGATAAAGGAGAAGGGTTGGACACGGGGTCAGCAAACCCATCCTATAAAAGGCAATTTTGCTAAGAAGACGCTAATTAGAGAAAAGTCCTTGAAACCACCCAAGCTTTGTCCTGACAGTTGTTATGACGCCATGTTGTGAAAGCCGAGATTCTTCAAAAATCATGAGGTCGATACCCCTTCTAACAACCAGAGCAACAATTAACATAAGTATATAGGATATCCACACAATCAGACAGACCGATAAGACCATTCAAATAGCTGCAGAAATGAAAAACATACAAACTGTTGGTACTCGAAATAAGTGAAGGCCGTTTGATGGAAGCTGGACAGAAAAGATCAGCTTTGATAGAAGTTCTGTCGCACTCTAGTCATGAAGAAGATGAAGCTTCGTACACACAATAAGTTGCACTGACACCCTCCAAAGAAGCACTTATAGGATAGCAATCTCATGAATCCAGGATCAACAAAGTGTCCTAAAAAACAAAGAGGAAGGCTATTATGATGAACGTTATCCAGTGCGATGCACCCACCAATGAAAACAATGATGATTAAGATCAGCTTTACAAGAGGCTGCAGTCGATTGTAGAATAGTGCCCAGGATATGACCTGAACGTCCTGATGGAAGACCTAAACTCCAAGGTCGGAATGGACACAATCGGGTATGAAGACATCATGGGACGACATGTATTCGCAGAAAGGAATCAGAGTGGTGAGAGATTTGCAAATCTATGTGCCTTCGACAAAACGGTTACAGATGGCACCACATTCCCGCATAAACGCATACGCTAAGTTACATGGGTTTCATGAAGGATGTAGGAAAAAGGCAAGAAACTGATATAGCTCCAGATCAGCACAGTGGTGGCCAAGCTAAACCTGGAACTTAAAAAGTGCTGGACAACTGCACAAACAGCATTACAAATGTCTAATACAACTTTTCTTTCAGATTCTGATAAACTCAATCAATTCAACCCTGTTCAAGAGCATTAAAACTTGGACGCAGAAGTACGTGGAAGACCTAGTAATCAAAGCGGAAAGACCTGCAAGAGAAGGAAATATGAAACAACTTTACATTACAACGAAAAAACTACCTAGGGAATTTGGTGAAAGAGAGCGACCAGTCAAGAACAAAGAAACCAAGCCAATCGCTGAGATCTAAGAGCAGCGGAACAGGTGGCTAGAGCACCTCAAAGAACTCTTGAGTAGATCAGCTCCACTGAACACCTTGGACATCGATATACCCCACAGAACTTACTGTAGATGTTATCCCACCAATAATCGGAGAAATTAGCGTATCCATCAGATAAATCAAGAATGGGGAAGCAGCAGGACCAGACAACACACCAGCTGAAGCACTTAAGTCAGACATAGAGGTAACTACAAACATGCTCTACGCTCTCTTCAGAAAGATTTCGAAGGAAAAACACTTATCAACAGACCGGGAAGAATACCAAAGGAGAGAGGTTTTAGTGTGAGAATTAAAGGGATATCACACTATTATCAGTCCCAGGGAAATTTGTCGACCATCATCAAAAAATTGCGAGTATTTATAAACAGTTGTCCGTGCAAGACACTCCAGGTCCGTTGGTCGGATATCATCAGCAACAACCTACTGTGACAGACAAATAACCAGCCTTCACTTGAAGAGGAAATTAAGGTAAGACGCTAGAGGTGGGTAAGACATACATTGAGCAAATCAACAAATTACATCATGAGGCAAGTTAAAACTTCGAGTTCTGAAGGCCAAAGGAAATGTGACAGGCCAAAGAATGCATTGTGTCAGGAATTGAAGGTAGACATGTGAACGAACAGCACTTGACAACAACTGGAAAGGAGATTAAGGAACACGATAGGTTGGAGAATCCTAGTCGATAGCCTATGCTACACGAGGGGTAGCATGCACAATATATAATAAACCAAGTTACATGTAAAGCGGTGAGGACCCTGAACCCAATACATAAAACCCAAGTGCTAGAACAAGTTGTAATTTTGCCTTAGCTTGTGATAAAACTTACATCTTGACATTGGTTTCATAAACAAATAGCATACAGTAAGTAGTTCACAGCAAGTGAACTTATCTAAAATGAGCCGATATTTTAATCTAGAAGTTAAATGCTTAGTCTAATTTGATTTCATTAACGTAGAGAACGATTAACCGATTCCGTCCAAATTTTAATTTTATGAAGATTTGATACCGTTATCAATATTAAATCTATATACTTACCGAGTTGGATAAATTGATGTGTACACCAGCGTTCAAAAGTTCTACAACTTTTGACAGATCTCCAGCGCGAGCTGCACGTAAGAAGTTCTGCTCAGTTTCGTTCTGTAAAGAAACAAATGGACAATAGGTTTACCAGAATACTTGGTGTGAACCGAAATGTTTAGCAACCTTAAAAATTCCTACTTCCCAATTTGATCTACCGAAAATTCACATCTCATTACAAAAAAATTACTACGGCAAAAATTTAAAAATCGAATGGACGCAACAGCACACCACTAGAAAAACTACCAATATGTCGACAAACATCCCTAAACATGATAATATCAATTTTATCCGACACCATCTCCACTTATTAATTTACAGTATAACTAAGTACAAAAACACCTATAATTTAATTGATGTGTAGTAACTGCAGAACGCGGGAGCACAGACAAAATGTGTTACCTTTTTTGACACAACCCCTAACTAAATTGTCTCAGAAGGATTCTGTATGAGTGATCCGAAATCAGATTTCCTAAACAACAATCCAAAGTTGTGTCGTGTAACATTCAAGACGAGTTTATTAAGAATTATACTTCAGTCATTCATAGATATTATTTTCACCAAAATAAAATGCTTAGAATATGGCCCAGTAACAAAATTAGCACACGTATAAAACCCTAGGTGGACCAATATATGACAAGTATAGTCAATTCAAATATGACTACCCTGGTTAGACAAAGCATATTTCAAGCGAACATTTAGGAGTGACAGTTCTACAAACTAGTTATTTAACGGCAAATACGAATGAGCCATCAGGAAGATATGGTGGGAAACGTATGTCTTGACGTTTTATGTTATAACCAGATGCAACAAAGTGAATTTCGGCAGACAAAAATTGGTAAGACTATAATTTATGGACGACCTTTAAGCAACGCTAAAATGACCTCGGAATGTCCACCTGCTCACCGTGGTTAAATGAGGGTTATAAATTAGTGCGAGGAATTGGGATTAGGATTTACAATTTAATGTTAGGGTTACGAACTGACATCAGCTATAATACTAAAATGGTATTTAACCAAATGGATGAATTAATTTCGCGCCAAAATCCAAGTCCTGCTATCTTAAATGCCATTGGTTTGTCTATAAATGATAGTCTCACCCAAAAATTAAATAAACTTGGTTGCAAAAAACTTAAGTGCCAAAATAATTCAAGGAGATATGAAAGTCAAACATGAAGCGTTAAGAAGACGAGGGATTACAAAACTATTAAACTAAGTAACGGAAAGTCTTCAGCCTGAACCTACCTAACTTAAGGCTAGATAATTAGTATATGACATTAAGTTAGGTCTACAGTGAATGAAACCTGATGACTGTGAGTGAAAGAGTCAAAAATCCATTTACAAGATTTTAGTCGGTGTTAACCTATATAATGAAACCATAGTGATAAATGTTGCAAGACATCTAGCAATAAATGAAGTGGTTGGTTGGTTTATGAACCGAGATAATTAGGTGTTCCTTATGTCGATCTACCTTTTACATTAATGGACTGGCTAAAACTGAGTTAACAAGAGGGTGGTGATAAGAAGACAGTGAATTTACTTTCCTTTTAATCAGGTCATCTAGGTGCCCATGCGACCATCACAACTGAGAGTTGGAGACAAATTTGCAGTGGAGAACCAACTTTTTATCTTTACCGAAGTAATGAACACGGTACTATTTCGAACTCTTTACCTTTCGTACGTTTCTTTTAATTTTTATTTCGATTTACTTTACCTCTATTAGTATTAAAGTTGTTATTTATGGCTAAGTGCTGACCGTACTTTGCAGTCATTGTTAAATATGGCAAATTGGAAAGCAGTCGTGCTGTTCACAGAATACCTTCCAACAACGTTTACTTCGGTAAAACTTGACCACAAACCACTGAGGACAGAAAATACAGATCGTATTTGTCAATATGATACTGTTACGTCATCAACCTAATCAGTGAATACATGCAGTTCGCCTAGCTTCCGTGTTTCATAAGACTAATTATTACACAGGTTGCGTAAGAACACACTTTCAAGCATTTCATGCGGAATTTTCGGATGTCTTACGACAGAACATTGGGTAACTTCACAGAATGAATGTTCCGGAGTAGTCAATCCAATAATGCCATATAGTAATCGATAGATACATTTTGGTGAAAATTCATCTTTGAAACCGAATTGTCTTTTGACAATAACTAGTCAATGGACCACATAGTACAACAAATCTGTATTTTGGACGTTAACAGCATATAAGGCTTCATGGTTAGCCGAGTCTCTAGCTTTTGGCTTATGAATGCAGATCCTTATACCTTAGAAACTTAAGGAATACATAGACAAAGGTGATAAAAAGTTTAGCAAACTACTATGTGTCATGGGATTAACTCACCAACTGACTCGAAACCTTTTTACCATCACTGGACTTGGTCATGTCTCCCGAAGTTCAAATAATGCGGGATTAGGTCAAGCAGTAGATCATGAAGTTGGTTGATTAAAACGTCTTGGACAAATAACTTTTTGACAAATGAATTTTCCAAGAACGCAAAATGAAATATATTTTAATCTGCCTTAGTGTGACCCATTCTGATGTACTTATAATCAGTTTGACTTAAAAAAGACATGAAGTCGCAAAAAAGTCTCCAAAATAAATCATTCGGTTAGTCGTAATTATAAATGCTGACCTCATTAGTTTTACTGGATACACCCCTTATCTAGGCACTCGGTCAAGCACCCGCACCTGATCATGATTGAGTATGCCGTGTCATACACTTTGCCCAGCAATCGGTTTGCTCAAATTACCTGTTTCTCAACAAATCGACCATCCTCCATATATACATTCGAACACCTCAATACAAGACTTCTTGTTCGACTGATATTCCGATTCTTGATTGGAAACGTGTTACGGACAACAATGTTGTGTCGCCACAAAAATCAGCGACGTTAATAGTGGTAAAGATGCAACAAGTATTCGGAATTTGACAATGGCTTAACCATTAACACTTTTTATAATCAAAATGTGCCAACCCTGTGCAATCAAAAGCCAGAAGCGAAGAGGTTTTAAGATGTATTTGACAGAATATCGATATGTCGAGAAGCGATCAATCTAAGCTGGCTGGTGGTTGTGAGAGAAATGAAGCATGGCGTGCCCACTCGTAATCTGGTGCGGATGCATGACCGAGCCCTTCAGCTAGGTGGGTACATTAAAACTGATGCGGTCAGAATCAAATATCGAAGACTTACAGAGCCATTGATTTCGGGGGGTTATTTATCGTTCTAGACCATTACCCCCTAGTGGTGCAAAGACGACCCTAAGACGTGGCCAGCCAGAAGTTTAAACCCAACTAGTTTGTCGTTGGTAAACACTCTTCTGATACCTTGCAGTGTTCAGCAGCGTCTGGTTGCCTTTGCTCACTATAAGAAACCATGTGAAACAATACAGTAGTGTAAAACTGGTACAAATGGAAATTTCGATTCATCGTAAACTTCGCCGCTCTTTTCATGTATTGATTATAGGGATTTTTACAGGACGGCTGGAAAAGATGAAAAGGATGTTCAAGTGCATGTCGAATTACACTCGTGCGTGAGCAAAAGGAAAATAAACTTATATACATGCGTTTTGTAAACATTCAACGGCGTGGTAAAGACTTTTGCAAAGTGATTTTTTGCTTGTTTCATATCGAAATAATGAGAATATACACATACAAGAGAGCATGTAGAATTATGGTCTGTTATGATATTAGTACTGCTCTAATAATAGACCTAATCCTAAATTTGTAGATTTGTCATGATATAACTGCCTAATCTATAAGACCTTACCTGGAAGTCACACCATCGACTACACCAACTCACTGTATCGTATCAATTACCAACACATGATGTAGAATAAGGTTAGGCTAGAGAAGGAGCAATATATTTAATATGAATAGAAGATATAAGGTAACATTCAGAGGGACCACGTCTGCATGGCCGAGCCATGCCATCCGATCAACTCCCATTCATTCAATTAACTGTTCCCGCCTTTTCCAATGTTAGGTATTTCTCCGCGTTAAATATTGGATATCTCTTTTCCAAATAGTGTTGTGTTCAGCTTTGAAGATTGTGTGGTCATGGTCCAATGCCACTACAATCATACTAACAACAACAAAATTTTGGTTTTGATTTTTTAAATAAAAAACTAACTATAAATATGAGCTTACTGAAAGTAACTTTCGTTTGTTGGACATAATGCGAAAAAATCGAGGCGAAACAAAATGTTATATAGTGTCACTCGAACAGTAATTATTTAAGTGTTCTGGAAACCCTGCTCTTCTTCCAAAACGCCTTATTTCTAGTTGGTTCTCGGATATCACCAAAATATCATCGTGATTGTTGATTATCGGGTGAAGTATCGTAATTGTGAGACTCGTTTCTTTCGATTGTACCGAAGGAGAATCAACGTGAATATGGTTTCCTTCTAAATACGCTGCTTCGAGTGGATCAGTGCTGATGCCAGCGTTAGTTCTGTTTTGTCGATGATATAGTACTTAGGTTCACTCTGAAGGACTTTGAAAGACCCTTCGTATGCCATTTCCAGTGGTCATGGAAGTGAGACGCGACGTACAAATACGTGTGCATTATATCGTAGGGCAGGTTGAACGAAAACAATAGTCGATTGTGGTTGAGTGGAAACAGGTTTGACTGAACGCATTGAGTTTGTAAGCCTGCTCGTGTAAGAGTTAAGATCCACGAGTTCTCCCGGAAGTCTGAGTATCTTTCTGCAAACGACTCGAGCTGTAGTGAATCGAATGTCGTTGAGACCTCGAAAAACGTCGTCGATGAATGTCTGAAAAGTTTTTTCAGTGCTTCTCAAGCCGAATAACATGTACGAAAATTCGTAGAGTACGAAAGGTGTGATGATAGAGGTTTTAGGAATGTCGTCAGTAGTCATGGGAATTTAGTTATGTGTTTTAATTGAGGCGATGTTCGAAAAAACAGTCGAACCTTTTAAGGCATCTGTCAAACTGTGAATGTGAAGCTGTAAAAACTTAGGTTAATTAGTCAATAGTTTTCCTCAAACAAATAAGTATAAATCAAAACAACGTAGCTCAAGTATTCATTCGCTTCCTTATTTCGTATAGGCGTTATATTTCCCATTATATCATATTGGAAGTTGAAAAGCTTTGTGTGTTTGGACAGGCAACCTCCTGCGCCACTGTAACGGTTCCATGATCTAAATGAAGACCTATTCACTACTTGCCTGGTTTCTTCTATCTATAAAACGAGGGTTACTTTCAGGCACAAAATTGATGAGCTATGTATTGAACACAAATTTAATTTTATTTAGTCATTACTACTATTTTTTATTTAGTCGTAGAAGTAGACTTTCTGATTATTCTTAACCAATGTCTGGCATATATATTTGTGCAAAGACTCTATGAATGGCTAGCTATTCTGATGCGCCCCAACCCCGCTAACTAGAGAGAGAGATCCAAGTTCAAACAGGGAAATATATTCCTCAAGCAGCCAGAAGCACGCGCAATCCCGACAAGTCTAGTCGTAAATTCACTCACTTATATACTGGTTTGTACACCCATTATGAATAATAATCAGAATGAATCACATACGTGAAAATTACTTCATACAAGGATGTCGTATGTTGTACAGAATGAAATGTCGTAGGGGAAAACGAAACAATTACTATACCGAGCGATCATCAAATTGAATTAAACGGAATTAATGTTGATTAAAAATCATAATGAATAAATTCGTCTAAATTTGACTTTTCATCACGTCATAAAACTATCCCATGCTACGTTCAACACTGTTTGGGTGCACAAGACCCTGAAACCTCTTTATCTCATTTAGCTCATAGCCAATGGAATAATGGAAAGAGGTCCCCCGAATTGATCACAAACTAAAAGAAACATCAGAAGACTCAATCATGGAAGGACTCATTGCATGTGTTAAAAGTCCACTGAGGCTGTCGCCAGAATGCAAATAGGTCATAGAAGCAGGAGCAAGTCACCACGACAACCAAGCTTCAAGACGCAAAACAAGTCACAAATGTTCGGACAATCTGGGTAGTTCCTTTGGTACCACTGAAAGTTTAGTGGCGATTCAACCAAGTTCAGGGAACCATGTGTCTGACCTAAACAGAATCCAAAGAATATGGGAAACGAATAACCTCTCCCTAGGTTGGGGCGACTGATGAGGGGCGCCTAAATAGTCGCTTGTTTTATGTTGGAGACAAACATTCAGGCTTGAACGTCTTGGTAGATACTAGGGCTGCCCTTAGTATCATTCCTCAAAATAAAACTGGTCTGGGTTGAGAAACATCCCCATTTACATTTCAAGCCATCAATAAAATTAAAATCGCGACATTTGGGCAGAAGACTTTACCATTAGATTAGGGGTTCTTGAGTCAATTCCCCTGAGTTTTTATCGTAGCCGATTTAGATCTGACAGTACTTGGAATGGAGTTTTTAGAGAGATATCAATTTATAGTCAACACTTTAAAAAAGACGCTTAACACTGGGAGAAACTTCGAGTTACACGAAGGTACATAAAGCCACAAACTCCGCCTGTAGCTCTTGTAGAGTTACTGCCGGTCCCAAGCCCGGGTAAAGGAGGAGGGTTGGGCATGGGGTTAGCGTCCTCATCCCGTAGAAAACTAACTCGCTAAAAAAACGCTTACCAGAAAAAATAATTCAAACCATTTTAATTCTGCCCTGGGAGTTAGAAGGTCTTCATTTAGAAGAATTATGACGCTTTATGGTGAAAGCCGAGTTCCTTCGGAAGCCATGAGGCCGATGCCCCTTCTTACAACCAGAGCAAAAATTTTTGTAGGTACATGGAACGTCCGAACAATGTGGGAGACCGGGAAGACCAGTCAAATAGCAACGGAAATGAGGAGATACAACTTAGAAGTACTGGGAATCAGCGAAACCCACTGGACCCAAGCTGGACAACAAAGGCTAAATACGGGAGAGATGCTGCTATACTCCGGTCACGAAGAGGACAATGCTCCACACACTCAGGGAGTCGCTCTTATGCTGTCCAAAGTAGCACGAAATGCACTTGTAGGATGGGAGTCTCACGGATCCAGAATCATCAAAGCATCATTCAAAACAAAGAAGGAGGGGATCTTAATGAATATTATCCAATGTTATGCACCCACCAATGATAGCAACGACGACATTAAAGATCAATTCTACGAGCGGCTGCAATCAATCATAGAGAAATGCCCAAGAAAGGACCTCACCATTCTGATGGGAGATCTAAATGCCAAAGTTGGAATAGACAACACTGGATATGAAGATATTATGGGACGACATGGACTGGGAGAAAGAAACGAAAATGGAGAAAGATTTGCAAATCTGTGTGCATTCAACAAATTGGTCATAGGCGGCACAATATTCTCACGCAAACGTATACGCAAAGCTACATGTATCTCACTGGACCACACTACAGAGAACCAGATGGATCATATTTGCATCAACAAAAAATTCCGAAGG